GAGCAAGGGGAAGGGGAGACTCAGAGTGTCAAAAACAAAAGTGAAACTTATAAAACATGCTAATACTTTGCTTTTTAGTGAATGTGGCATTTTCAAAACGATAAAAGGTAACAGTGTGATCTAAGTATGTTATGTTATGCACAGGGGTGGGCAATTATTTTTTTCCATGGGGCTACATAAGAAACAGAAAATATCGTGGAGGGCCAATCCAAAATGCTTAACACAATTCTACATAATATTCATTGTATTTCTAAGACTTGTAAGACTAATATATACATGTTACAACTAAGCAATGAAAAACTGAGGCTGCCTTACAAAAAATGTCATTAAAAAACACCTCTAAAATAAAAGCAATGCAGCTTTAGTCCATGTATGAGATAAAATTATAAAATATGTTTATTTTGTAATTTCAAATGAGATTAATGGGCCAGTCAGGGTCAACTAAAGGACCGTATGTGGCCCAGAACTGGACAATCCCCAGGCCTGTGTTAGCAGCTGAATACCCCATAGAAATAAAATACCCCTTGACTAAATTGACTAACCTGATATGCACTAAAAGGTAAGTGTTAATTTATAAACTACTTGCTTCATGACATCACAAGGTGGAACAGAGCATTTTTAAGCTTTGGAGATGTAAACAGACTAATAATAAAGGGTTACTCAAACATGTGTGAATGTAAAAAAAAAAAAAAAACACAACTCTAGCTATGTTTTTGAGGAGGGAACATTCTAACATGGCTTAAAGCTCACAAGATACAATTTTGCATAATATAGGACCTTGAATCAAAAAATAATTGCTAGCTAGTTGATCACTAACATAATCATTAATTGCAGCCCTATCTCTATCCCAAAAAGTGTATTTATGGATATACTAGTAGAGGCCAGTGTATGTACAGTACTTTACTCTTAAGTGAATATATGTCATTGTCAGATTTATATTAAATATTCACACTTTCTCGTGGTCCTGTGTACCTCATGCATTTCTCAATAAGAAGCACATCTTGAGTCCTTCACATTATTGATAGCATTTCTCTGCCCTCTCTCAGGTGAGTGCCAGCAGGTCTTATCAGGCGTCAGCGGTAACTTCAGCAGCCCTCACTTCCCCAAAATCTACCCCAACAATATCAACTGCCACTGGAGCATCAGCCTGTCTCCCGGATACAGAATCAAACTGTATTTCACTGTCATGGACCTGGAGGAGAGAAACAGCCTGAGCGATGAGTGTGATTACGACTATGTGGCGGTGTATGATGGAGAGAGCCAGACGGACGCATTATTGGGGCGTTGGTGTGGCAGAGACCAGCCCCCCTCTCTGGTGTCAAAGGGAAACAAACTCCTGGTGGTCCTGAGTACAGACAGGAACGAGGCTCATAGAGGTTTCACTGCATCATATCTTGGAGGTAACAGCAATTTTATGATATTTGATTTTTGGTCTGCTGGCCACTAAAGATTAAATTCCAGTAAAGTGAATGTTATCTACAATCAAGCAATTTTAAGACTAGCCATAAATGTGGAATAAGGTACAGCTACCCAAAATATACCCAATCTTGTGCTCAGCTCAGGTCTCTGGCTTCCTGTGGCTCAGAGAATAGACTTTACATTAGCTCTGCTTCATGGCCTAGCATGTTAGTGCTATATGAACCATCTTTCATTCTGAGGTCCTCAGGGACTGGCCTCCTGCTGATCAGCTGCTGACTGAACATCAGAGTTTCAGTTTTGTGCGTCTAAAATCTGGGATTATTTTTACAATTTTTAATGTAGTTTTAACACATCTTTCTTGTTTTATAAGGTATTTTATTTGTGAGCAAATTGTACTGCAAAACAAATGTGTCTTGTCAACCTGCCAAAACAGACTAAACCTTAGATCTGTATTTTGTATCTTAAAACAATTAAAACCTTGTTGTCTTGTTCTTGTCTTGTTCCTGTCCTGTCCCAGTTGTCCCAGTGAACATCAGCTGCACGCGCTCCGAGTTCTCCATCCTGATCCCTCAGCAGTCTCTACCGCAGCTCGACAGAGAGAACATCTATCTGGGAAACCCGTCCTGCACTGCTCAGCTCACCACCACCGCCTACAAGATCCAGGCTCAGTTTGTCAACTGTGGCACAGCTGGACAGGTACAACACTGCCAGTGTTGGGGAGTAACGAATTACATGTACTGGCGTTACGTATTCAGAGTACAAATTATGAGTAACTGTATTCGGTTACAGTTACTGTTTGAATGAGTGGTAAATGGATTACAATTACTTTGCTGAAATAAGTGAATTACAAGGCAGTATTTTCCTGTTATCACATTTTGTGCTACATCCCATTTATTTATTTATTTTTATTTCGGTAATTCCACTCATTGCTGGAAACCCAAACAGAACGTGGCAATAAGAGCGACGTAAACGTCATGTTCACGTTGGCGGCGTCAGTCACACAATGGACGAGGTCAAAGAGCCAGTAGAATAGAGCCAGCAGCGCACAGGTAAAAACACATTTGTCTCTTGGGAATTCTTCTCCCGACGTGAGATATAAAAAAAAAACAGACAAATATAAAATCGCCTACAAGTTAAATGTCAAACCGGAGCTACTGGCACTGGTGAAAACAACCTGCCTAGGCTCATGAAATCTGCAGTACTGTCCTATAGTGACCTGCCACATGAGGGGACGCGCACACAAACACACACAAACAAACACAAACACACACCTTCATCATCGTCATTAACCTGAGAATGCGCGGACCACGTCTCCTTCCGTAGCTACTGCACGGACACCGCCTCCCGTGCGTCACGTGTGGACTGTGTTTTCTCGCGTATGCTGTGTAGACCGCGCCTCCTCCTGTGAGCCTCTAAACCAGAACTAACACCAGGACTAAAACCAGGACTAAACCAGAATTGAACCAGGTCCAAACCAGGACTAAACCAGGTCTAAACTATAGGACTAAACCAGGTCTAAAATCAGGACTAAACCAGGACTAAAACCAGGACTAAACCAGGTCTAAAATCAGGACTAAACCAGGACTAAAACCGGGGATTAAAACCAGGACTAAACCAGGTCTAAACAATATGACACCTAACAGTAGGTTGGACATAATTTAAGGTGATCTCATATAAAAATAATTTCTGTATCAATAATATTTTTTAGTATGGTTAAGGAAAGACTGAGCTTGTTATTGTCTTTTAGCAAACAAAACATCTTATGTTAACATCCTAGTCCTTATCCAAACAGATCCTGGTCTTTGCTTCTCTACAGCAAACAGTTGCTTATTCATGGAGATTTTGGGTCAACAGACAATCTGAAGAGAACAAACAAGAATTTTCAGGATGCGGTTGCTACATTCATGTCATTTTATAAAGCATGACAATATCAAGTAATCCAAAAGTATTCAGATTACGTTACTCCCTTTAAGTAATTTAATGGATTACATTACAAACTACATTTTGGGGTATGTAATCTGTAATATGTAGGGGAATACATTTTAAAAGTAACCTTCCCAACACTGAACACTGCACATAAGACAACAATGATGAGACAGGGTTTACAGTAACAGTACAGCAAAAGTATAATATTCTGTTCTCAAGAATCTAAGTCATGGTATACTTAAATTTGGAAATCTCTTGTTTCTCTTATTCAGGCAAGTAGGGCCATACTAATAATACAAACTATTTACATATATTTAAACATGCACAAATATCTTCTCTGGTTGAAGGTCCACCACCTGCTTGTGTCCATGGAGATGTTATTGCTTTGCTAGGAATGTTCCACAGTATGTCACTCTTTTCCATCTAGCATTTATTCCATCACAGGCGTTTTTATTGCCAAAATCTTGCCAAAACATGCAATCTTAAAGGGTACCTCCCCAGAGAATTGGCCAGTAACTTGGCCTGTTGGCATCATCAGCTTGTCTCCATTTAATGCCATACTGTGAAACATTCCGAACAAAGCAATAACATCTGTATGGACATATGACAGTTACAGCAATGTTGTTACCTCATCAAAAAAATATCTGGAACATATCTACTTGACTAAATGTACAGGATTTATGTGTTAAACGTGTGAATGTAACAAAACTTAACTCCAGGTATGTTTTTGATGAGGAAACATGAATACATATATCAGAAAATAGCGCAATATAGGTGCTTTAAAATGAATACTTTCTATCTTCATTCAACTCTTTCCTTTGGCAGAAACGTCGAAACATCACAGTTATGGTGAACAAACTTTACATTGACTTTTCTGATGAGAAACAGAAGAACATTCAAGAGTACAGCGTTCAGTGTGATGCGCAGAGGAAAGTGGCTTCAGTGTCCATCATCTCAGGAGAAGAGCGACACCTAGAGGAGCAGGCCCAGAAACCAGAGGGAGACACAGGAGGCTCACAGAAATACAACAGTGACCCTCACGACCTCAGCGACATCGTCTTCATTAGCATCTGTGTTCTGGCTGTCATACTCATGGTCATAGCGATTGTCTGGCTTGTTCTGCTTTAAAGGGCCCATATTACACTATTTTCTGATCCATGTTATAGTGTTGTTTCTGCATCACTGTTTTGTTTCATTCACACATGTTTAACACACAAGTCCTGCATATTTAGGCTGAGTTCTTCTCTCAAACAGAACACACTTTGGACTACCTTGTGATGTCATGCGGTAATAAAAGAAGTGCTCCGCTGTGTTTCTAAACTCCATACACCATCTCTAGAATCATTTGGGTGATTTGAGCCCTGGAAATGTTGAATGAAACAAAACACAAAATATTCTAATGTTATAAAATGTCACAGTCTTAGTCTTGGGAAAATAACTATGCCAGGTGTTCGAACTATTTTGATTTTGTATAGTTCATACTTGCACTTTAAACATTCCATTCCACTTGATTAGCAATATAAAAAAAAAACAATATAACATTCTTCAACAGTACACAAACTAGTGGCAATAACTTTGAAATGAATCCCCATAGAGTACTTATATGTATGTGCCACCAATAGATTTTTTAATCTTTATTAAAACATATTTTTAACTAAGTTATGGTGTTCTAATAATAGTATGGCTCACTCAAGTAAATGTACTAAAAAGATACAGAGACATTTTTCAGTTTCTTATCCCACATCTTTTATCTTCAGATCACACATTTGAATTTTCACTAACAACACAATCTCTGAATGTTTTATCATACACACATTGACTAGCAGCAATAAAAAAAACATCATTTAGAATTGATTTTAAAAAAGCTTTTTTGGCTACTTGTGTGCCACATATTGTGAACATGTTATCTTTTTTCCAAAAATGTACTAAATAAAACAATGTAAAAATGTAAATATTAAAATAAGTCAAGTTAATAGTTTGTCAATTTCTTTTCTTCATTTCTTGTACTTTGACACCAGTGTGTTGACTGACAGTGTATTGTCTTTAGTCTGAGTCCTGATTTCAGGGTTGTGTTTAAAGGCAAAGACCAGCGCTCTCACAGTCCGTCTGTACGAGCTGCTCACCAGCCGGGAGCACTGGTGGAAAACTTCTCTCTCAATGTTGTCGATAAGGCCACAATCCTCCTGGAGAAGACAGAATAGAAATTAGTGATAAAACATATTTCTTAATTGTTCCATACAAAGAAAAAACAATAAAGTACCATGACAACTTAAATAATTGTATCTCTCCAAATCTTAGTTGTGATTTTACATTACATTAGAAAGGGTTAGGATTAGGGTTAGGGTTATGCATGTATTGTACGCTGAACATATTGAAAGGGCCACACTAATTTACTTCATGTAAAATAGATAATGTAAGATTTGGTTTATGCCAGTAGAGAAGACACTTATTTACTTTTGCTCCAAGCCATTAACCTGTTACCTATTTACCTTTGTCTTTCTTTTTGGATTAGTAATACTGTTTGGAATTTGTTTGAGAACTATTATTAGGACCATTGGAATAGAGCACATAACTCACTTTGACCTCCAGAGCTTCAGCCATCAGTCTTCTGGCATTACTGCGCAATGTTTCTGACTGTTTGTCTGAACGAACTTCAATAGACGGCTTATTCAAATTCTCCTCGATGAACGTCCTCCACTCTGTGTAAACTTTAGCTGCCTTTGAGCTCACCTCTGGGTCCAGATGCTTTCTCATCTTGTTAACAGTATGACCTGAAAACAAAGGTTTAGCAAATAAGAATACTTACATATTTAATTATAAGAAACTGGATGTATTGCATCTCCCAAGGTTTACTTTATGGAAATGAAACAAGGCTAATATAATGCACCAGACAATTGTAACAAAAAAGCAAATGGGAAAAGGTCAAATTCTACACATATACTTATACAAATGGAGCATTTCCACAGCCTCATGTTTGAATAATTTAATAAAAATGTTCATAAGTTCACAATTGGACACTATAAATCACCCAAAACCATTAATTCTTACCTATTTTAGTGGACTTAAGCACCTCTCTGGATGGGATCTTCTGGCTGAGTTCAGTCAGAGCAGACAGCAGGTTTTCTTTGCTCTGATCTGGCAGCTCCAGCATAGATTTACAGCGAAGGATGTCTTCAATCACAACAACTCTCTGAAATATTGATAGCCAAATTAATTTAACAATTATCTGGACAGTAACATCTGCCACATCTTACAATAGTAACTCACATCTAACATACCTTTAGAGACTCAATAGTAGCTTGTTTGTACACTTTCTCTTTGGTCTTTGTCTTTGTAGGCGTTTCCACTCGCGGGGTACGAACTACAAACTTATCCATGTTGATATAATAAAGATATCGACTTATTCTGAATGGTTTTGTTGCACAACGCTAATGCTAATGCTAACTAGACATGCACTAGGCGACATCTGTGTTGCTATAAGCCAACTTGGACCATGGTTATATCAGACATCACTCTTTGTAAAATAAAAATCGTATCAGCTTGGCTAAACTTATAAAACAAACGAATAAAAAAAAAATGTTTGATGTAAAGCGAGCCTGCAGTTTGTGCCGCGCTGCATTTACTGACCTCCATACAAGTCGGTACCCACGCTGTCTTTTGCAATAGTACAACTACGGAGAGAAACTTGGCAATTTTAAAATGTTACCATCGTGTATTAAGCCAATCTAATGCTTAAATATTGTAACAAAATGCTAACTGAATTGGATTACTACATTTCTTACGACTTCTTTGACGTTATAGAAGTTTACCAACGTTTACTCGAATCGTATACCCGATTTCCGAGGATATTGAACATAGCAAACATTCAGTCACTTATGTTGCGAGAAGAGCCGTTCTCGCGAGACTACAGAGAGCTTAGGAGGAAGAAGAAGTGTGTTGTTTTGTTGTTGGGCTATCGCAGGCAAAAATGGGGGAATTTTCCTCTTTTGTCCGTATCGTAGCACTTTTTGCCTCTACATTGGCTTCCCAGGATGTGTTTGATGCCGTTTTGGGACACACCGGATCTTGCCGAAAGTCCTGTGAAATGACATACAGTTTGCACACATATCCTCGGGTAAGCGCTTTGTCAATACGGTGCAACAAATTGTGCTAGCTTGTGCCATCACGGATATCCAAAACAAAATGCCCGCATTACTGTTTTCTCTTTAGGAATCGTAGCATTTAATGTCGTTTTGCGTGATCAGCTGGTGTAATTTGTGCATTTTTAATTTGTAGGAGGAAGAACTCTACGCCTGTCAAAGAGGATGTCGTCTTTTTGCAATTTGTCAATTTGTACGAGACACAGATGACCTGAATCAGACCAGAAGCGAGTGTGAATCCTGTAAGTAATGAGTAATTCATTGTGCATGGGTGTGTACACTGCACACACATATGGCGTGCCTTGTTGTATAATCGACTAAAGCTAATCTAAGCAGGGTAGATTCAAGTTCAGGATAACATTCAGGATGTAATAAAGCTATGGCGGATGCTGGGACCAAATTACCATGCATTTTATTATCATTACTGTCATTTGTTTTGCATATCCTTCTTGCTGCCAAAACTAAATTTCTGTTGCAACTCTGGCTGCTGGTACAAGCTTCCCAAAAGCTGGTTAATATCTAATTTCTGTACATTTAAAATTACTCCAGATGCATTATGCAAAGTGGGCAGTTTGATGTGAGTCGTCAGAGTGCCGTTTAATAAGATAATTAGCTAATTGGCTTCAAATAATTATTAGTTTCAGTGTGCATGTAACCACACCCACTGTTATCTAAAAGTAATGGGAAGAAGTTGCTCAAACAGATGCCTAACTATAACACATTTTATGCCCAGGAAATGTTCATATGTGTTCCTTTGTGTTTATGGTGAACTGAAGTGTGTTAACGTGGGAGTATTGTTAATGCATTGTTATATTTCTCATGTCCGGTAGCATCATTTATATTGTGCTATAAAACAACAATGAATGCTATCTTCCTTTCAGCTTGTAATGAAGCCTACAGTCCGTCAGACGAGCAGTTTGCCTGTAACCTGGGCTGCCAAAACCAGATTCCTTCCACAGTGCAGCGCCAGGAGCAGGTAAGCTATCTAACTACTTCCAATATTAATTATGCATAATTGTTTTGCACATTCCTTTTCCCAAGTTGTGTTTCTCAATTACCTTCTCTTCTGTTTGGAAATATAACAAAACATTTTTAAATATACTTGTAAGATAGCAAAAATAATAAGGACTAATTCTGACACAGGGGGTCATAAGAAAACAGTGGCTATGGGCTATATACATACCAAAAGTCTGATCATTATATCTGGAGTTATCAGATTACTGAAATGTCATGTAAATAGGTTGTGTTTTATGTGAGTAATCTGAATTCTTTCTGATTGTTCACACCTTTTTATGGCATCGCTCATGAAAGAAAACCTGTTGGCCAATCTCTAATTAAAATCACTCTACAATATAGAACAGTACTACTTTTTAGCTCCTTCTCTTGTATCTAAAAACTGAGGTCCATTTACATGCATTTATTGTGTGTCTGTAGCTGGAGGCGATGGTTCCGCGGATGCACCTGCTTCACCCCCTGACTTTGGTGAGGGGGATGTGGGAGGACATGATGAGCCAGGCCCACAGCTTCGTCTCCTCCTCCTGGACCTTCTACCTTCAAGCTGATGACGGAAAAGTGGTAATTTTCCAGGTAAATGTAACAATAGTGTTTTTTGTGTTCTTGTAGTCGTTTGTATAAGTGATTTTGATATATTGTGGTATATTATGGAACAGAGTAGTATAAAAAGGAAAGATGCAGTGTTTCAGAGATTGTTTTTCAATATCAGTTCCTGTCCATTTTGCTTAGCAATTAATTTCTTCATTATGGATTCTTGAGGCTTAAGAAATTAGATCATAAATATCGCTTGCATGTGATTTTATTTATTGCAGTGAACTGGGGCTTCTTGACAAAAATGCCTATGATGAATAAGATGAATAACAATCTCCAATTCCTCGAACTGTATTTGTGGCCTTAATGTTGATTCAGGAAAACAACTGTAAATATCACTCATCAGTTGTGTTGATGTTAAAATATCTCGTAACGTCATTTTCCAAGGTTTTCTGGAAAGAAAAAACTGAGAAGGTAACTTAATCAGTTTGTGTTTATGTGTATGTGCTGTTTTGAATTTCACAAATTTTTTATTTTTTTTTCTGATTGGCCAAGGACAAAAGTAGTGACGCCTTCAAACGCAGCCTCTAATATGTAAACATTCAGTTTTTTATAAAAGAAAATATAAAACTGCCATTTCTTTTGTCGTCTTCAGACTGAGCCACAGATTCGAGTTTACTCTCAGATTGAAGTGGACAATGATGCCAAAGAGGAACCACAGAAGAACTGTAAGTATTTGTTTAAAATAATATATACATATTTTTAATATATTGTACTGACTATTTTGTTATTGTCCATTAATAGTTTTGAACAGTCCAATTTACAAAGAATATCAGCACACTTTAATCCAAGAGCGAGACAGAGACATGAATGAACGCACGTATGAAGGAGACTACAATATTTTTGGTTGTCTGGCAAGGTAAAATGTTTGCTTTATAGTCACATTACACCATCATATATTAGTTCTTTAGTGTTTAATTGATACGTGGAAGTAAGAGGTCTACTATTGATGAGATTGAGGATTTCAAACAAATTGTCTAAGTTTGAATATTTTCCTTCAATAGAAACCCATGGCTGCCAGGCTGGATTCTAACCACAACCCTGGTCCTGTCTGTTTTGGTCCTGATCTGGATTTGCTGTGCCACTGTAGCAACAGCTGTAGACCAATATGTCCCTGCAGAGGTAAGCTAAAAGGAAAACAAAACAAACAAAATGAAATCAAATAACCATCCAACAAAGCAATTAATAAATGGTGAACACATAAAACAGTAATTAAGATTGTCAGCCTTGACTTTTTTTATTTAATGTCAGTGATTACTTTGCTAATCTGCTAGTCTGTCTGGCTATTTATTTTTTTATTAATTCAATTAGCTGTACCATAAAGATAGAGATTTTTTAAATTAAAAATAGACTTGATTGAGTAGGGGTTTCATTTAAAAAAAAAACATAAATATTCTGTTTCAAGGAAAGACTACAACCCTAACTGCTTTTTCAATTGTGCATGCTTGAAAAAAATCATCTGAACAACAGTATATTTTGTGCTGTATAATATTACATTAGCTGTTTATATGGTAATTATTGTTATTTAACTATTTAATTTTATTTTGATACCTAGTTGGTTCTTCTTCCCTTGTTTAGAAGCTGAGTATTTATGGCGACAATGAGTATCTTGATGAAAAGAAACTCATTCCTTACCCACAATCCTCTCTGGTCATCATCACCTCCAAAGCCCCTGAAGAAGAGGCTGGACCACTGCCCTCCAAAGTCGACCTGGGGAAGTCCGACATCTAGTGGCCAAAACGAAGCACAGAATGGAACTTTATTTTATTTGATTTGCTTGGGGCTTATGGTCTAAACAGAGATGCAGCATATTTTAATGCAATATCCGAATCTCTAATTAATTTTAAGCTTCAAGGTTTTTGTGTATATTGGTAAATTAAGGCATTCTAATTTCTTTTTGCCAGTATAATTTGGGTACCTAAGTTTTTTGTGTGCAATTTCTTTGGAGTGCTTGTTTTATCTGATGTTAAAATTAATTCTCAGTGACTTGAAGTGAACACAGGTTTTCTCCTAAAAACTCACCTTTGGTAAAAATAGATGTGCTAATTCTCTACCTTTCGGACATCATGTTTGTATGGCAGTTATATTACATTTTACTATTAAAATCTATACTATTAAAGTCATTAAACTTGTGCATTGTGTGAATTCAATTTTAGTATGAAGGAAAGAGTAAATGCAGACATAACTCATTCGTTCTATAAATAACATTTTGAGGATTTTTGACCATTAAAAAGGAACATTTTGACTTAAATTGCCAGCCCAAAACAAAAGGAACATTTTGACTTAAATTACCAGTCCAAAACAAAAGGAACATTTTGACTTAAATTACCAGTCCAAAACAAAAGGAACATTTTGACTAATTGCCAGTCCAAAATTTTCATCACTCTGAAACCGATGTCTTATGTTGTGCTCCTATGGTTGTATTGTGTCACCTTTAAATTAAAAACTGTTGTTTATTGATAGTCCAGAATTAGTTAACGCCAAATATTTATCATGAGTAATTAGCTGGGTGGCCATGGTAAACTGACGTGTGTATTTTGACATGTAGACCACAGGATAAAGCAGTAAGGCAAGGCAAGTTTATTTGTATAGCACAATTCGTGCACAAAGTAATTCAAAGTGCTTTACAGAATAAGAAATACATTAAAATCATAATAAAAACAAATCGAAACATAAATAATCATAAAGATTAAAATTTAAAAAGAGAGACATAAATTAGAGAGAAGAGTGTGGAATGAAAACCTTTCAGTTATAGTTATAGTCAGTAGTAGTGATATTCAGTAGCAGTAACAGTAGCTGTCTAATTCTAAAACTTGGAACAAACCCAACAATAGATTCATTTTGGTACTTGGAAATTGCTTGTCAAGGACTTCTCCTTAAACACTCCTTTTTCTTAGCAATGATGATGATAAAGGTGAGAATACAAAAGAGACTGGTGTCACACCTCAGATAGCCTCATCAGAAATCCCTTTGTCATTGTACAAATTGCACAACAAATTTTATCAATTAAATTACAATGACATGACATGAATACATTTGTAGGACAGATAATACATTTAGTTGTTAAACTGATGAAGATTTTAAGATGCTAATCCTAATGTAGAATGAGCATTCAAAACACTCTGACACTGTGGTGATAACAGTAATGACCCAGCAGCTTATCAGTTTTTTCTGTAGGTCTTTCATTTACTTATTGCACTGTTTATGCTTATGCATCTCTGTGGATGTATTGCACTTCTGGCAAGTAATATAAAAGTTGTGGCATTCAATTCTAAGCTTTGTTGCAGACAGTACTGGTAAAACAGGTATTTTACTCCTCTTTTAAACCTGTTAATGTTATTACCTCTATAAACACCAACACTAATATCTTAACAAATGCAAATGCATCTTTCCAAAACAAACCATTTCATGCAATTATAACTTTCACTTATCTTTATTAATAAAAAAAGTACATAAAAACACAGGGCATTATGTTGGCTCAGATGAGGTAAACATTTAATAGCTGTTTAACAAGTCCATGTCCTCCGCTGTGAAAGCTGATGATCTTTTAGCGGGCGGGGCTTCACTCTCACACCTGTCAGACTGACACGGCCTCTTATTTGTACTGTTCAGCAAAGACTTAACATCTTTACACCCTGAGGGAGAATGAGGTATTTCTTGTTTCAAGTTAATATCTGAAACTTTATAGAAATGTAATATCTCCTTGGGATCATCATCTGTCTTATATACCACAGGCGCTGCGTTCAGGATGTCGCGCACAAACTTCTGCCTCCCGACTAGAAAAGAATAAATATAACTGATTAAAATGTATGCAAGATTAGGATTAAAAAAAAAAAAAAAAAAAAAACATACAGAAGCGTAGGGCAGATGTCCTTGAATCTTCAAGTTTCTTCAGCTTTGGCATTTGTGTCCCGCATGTTTCCCATTGATTAACCACCTAAAAATAAGCAGGCAAGGTTACAATGACACACTGTATTTTATTTCTTTAGACCAAATTCTATTTAAAGGAAGAATACGTTAGGTGTTTGGGCTGATTATACAACACAAATTAGGCTTAGACTTTGACTAAATTAACCCTCCACAGTTTATCATATATCATCTGAAACTGCACACTTTTAATAGCCATTATCCATGAGTTAGTAATGAACAATTCAAAACATAATGTAGGAGCTATTTGCCTATTTTGGCTCATTCTAAGATTTAGTTATTATTTCATGTCAAATTAGTTTACCAATTTACATATTTGTTATATCTTATTTATGTTAACATTTATATTATATTTTTAATTTTAATATTTCTATTTGTTCACGATAACACTGTCCATGGGGCACCTAGGGGAACTGGGGTACAGATAGACCAGAGTACATCTGGGTGGGTCTATGATTTTACAATTTGTCAGAAAAGGCAGCAAGGAAGGCTTTATACTTTAAACTTGTTTGCCTGCCTGCAAATAAATAAACCGATGGAACTTCATCTCTGAATTTGAATGTTTGTGAGTTCTGTAGACAAATAGTCACAAAATGTGACATTTTATCCTTAGAATAGGAAAAAATTCTCAAAATGTTGCATATAAGAGGAAGCTGAAACCATTGAATACTAAACAGTTGCACTTATGAAGTGTGTCAAGTTTGTAGGAAAATTTTAATCCAACTCATTATGATGATACTTATTATTAAAGGTGTACTATGCAACTTTTCTGGTGGGGGGATCTGTCACCTTCTTATGGCTAGAAATTTCATTGCATAGAATGCTCTAGTTTTCAATTAAAGCCACCTTTAATTGATTTTAATTTATTGTCAAAAAATACACTGAAAAATGTATTTTTTCCTACTGTAAGCAGGCCTGCCTTGCCACAGATCTGACCTGTAACTGGTCAGGTGGTGCCACCTGCCTGTCTCTGTAAAGATTATCCATTTAATGTCACACTATGTAACATTCCAGTCAAAGCAACAACATATCTATGGTAACAAAGAAATGGCAGATTCTATATTACAAAAATTACACCTTTAACTCAATTTTACCTGTTCTGCCCATCCTTCTGTTTTACATTTTGAATGATCAAAATCGTCCAGTGGTTTCTCAGAGTGGATGAGCCCGAGGTAGTCATGGATGCATCTTTTCAGTCCTGGACCAACCTGAAGATTTCAAACATCAAGTTTCAGTTATAACATAAAGAGAAATGTAAATAAAACCACTTTCCATACCTTCATACCCGTTCCAGATACATCCAGTTTTTCAAGTTTTGGGAGGCAAGTGAGGTATCTGAATGCTCTCTCTGTCACAGGGTTATCTATAAACAGAAAACAAAGAGAAGCAATTAGCAATTCTACAACTAAAAAGCATTACTTTATTACACTTTTATAACTCACAGGAAATGTCCAGAGACTTCAGTGAGTCCAGCCCCTTCTTCATCATTCTTACTGGTGCTGTCAGCCTCTGCAGGCCCACATCTGAAATACTGTTGCCACCAATAAAAAGTTGTTCCAAACTGCAGAAAAACATCAGAAAAAAATGTAACAATAAATAATCACTCCTGTTAGGGCCATACTGGATCTAATATTTAGTATTTTAATTTTATTTTGTTAGTAAACTAACAACATATGTGTTTTTATGTACAAAACATGTGTCATCTTGTTATGAATGTAAGCCAAAAGAAACACCTTGAAATTAACTAACAATGAATATAATAATATGTTCAAGAATTATGAAACATCTTGGGAAGATTCTTGCCTTGAGGGCCAGATATGTGGCCAATATAGTAAAGTAATGGTAAGGTATTCCATTTTGTCCCCATAAGGAAATGTTTCTTCTTAATTTGACCCATAATTCAATGCCACTGGGACTCCTGGGCCAGGAGCTGTGGGAACTGGGGACCACAGTGCAGGGCCCATGAACCCATATCCGGTTCTAGTCTTGGTCAGGACTACCTTAGCTGGAATTGTTTCCTATTGCGCATATTTAGTTTTGTCAAACTATGACATCAGCCACTTTGGTAACTTCCAAGGCACTGGCTGAAGCCAAACCTATGGTGATGAAGCAGCAAGGACTATATGATTTAAACTGCCTTCTCCTTCAAGCCATGCTTTACCTTGTCATCAGGCTGGATGTCAGGTGCTGAAATATCTCATGGGCATCTCCAAGTCTACATCCAAAAAGATCCAGTGTCCTCAACCCATGAAATGTTTTGATTTCATTCATTTTCTCATGAAACAGAGGAAACCTGCATATATAAAAACATAATTATTATAATCATTGCTCTTTATTTATGTTTAGTACAGGTGGCAATGCAAAATGATTATTACTCCTTACCTGTTCCGTAAACACAAAGATCTAAGCACCAAATCTCCATAGGCATCATTGAACAACTGCATTGCTTTGGAAGAAATATCTGGATTGGAAAAGATACGGTTTTCCTCCACTGCTGCAAAAAGCCTGTCTCCTATTTGCTCAGGAAAGCCCACGAGAGAGTCAACATGCTGGATATTATCCGCAACAAACAATAAGGCTATGTTAAAGAGAGATTTGGATGTGTATCTTAGGCTCCCTTCCTCATTGTAGGTAAATATAAAATGCTCTTTTCTCAACACAAATGGGTTCGTCCTTCTACATGATGATGACACTGGTTTGGGCTGAGCTAGCACTATGTCACTAACACGACGAAGGCTGCCTTTTTCACGGACATAAATGGTATTGCTGCTGTCCATGCCAGGGTCGCAAGATGTTTCACTAGACAAAGTAAAATATGACAACTCATACAACACGACAGCAAAACTTCCAATCAAATGTGAAACAAAATGTAATTTGGATTGTGTGGTTTTAAATTAAAGTTGGGCCAAACCAACACGCACATACTCAAACGCCATATTTTCTACATTATAAATAGTTTTAACTATATTTTACAGGTATTTCGAGTTCTTCTGCTTAGCCCACCCTGTTAGCATCACACTTCGGAGCGGATGCTTTCAGCTATCAAAATAAAACATCACATTTTAGAAGAAGTTCTTAATAGACCCAATTATCTATTTAATCAACAAATTCCAAATATATAAATATATTTTATAATGTTAGTTGCACATAATGTACCAATAAAGCCTATATATCAATACATTTTTATTTATATATTTTTATAGTTATTATTGTGAAAGTAACCGGAAAACGTCGTGTTTACATGTATAGAATTTCCGCTTCCCCGTCAACGCTGGCAAAGTTGGGAATGCAATGATTTTGTCACGGTTTTAGAAAAATATCTGTCTAAAACCATTTATTTTCCAGGAGTATTTGACATTTCAACGACTTATCATTCAAATTTGTCCATTTGCAGCATCGATTTATTAACTAGAGAAGAAGTAAGTAAAGAAGTTAGAAGCTATTGCTAACAACAACTAACAAGTTATCTTTTTAATTCGTAATTTCATATTTTCATCAGATATTTTGGTAGCTGGAATAAATAATAAAGAAGACAACACATTTTAAAATTACAAATACAGATTGTTTGCTTTTTTCCCCCCGACACTAGCGTCCCAATCAATGTTTGTAGCTTGTGCATAAAGTTTGGCAATCTAGAATAAAACCGATTAAAATGGCGTCCATGAAAGATCCCTTTGAATTCCAGGGTAAGTTTATTGCACAATTTAGATTATTGTTATTAAATTAAAGGCAATTATACATAACTTATTATATTTATGTTTTATTTTTCCACTTATAGATTTTGATGACTCTGGTAACCTCTTGGGGCACAGTGGAGATGCTGTCACGATCAGCATTGAGGATGAAGATGTTAAATTTGACCCACAGAAAAAGGCTGCTGCCCCAAGTGTAGATGCATACGAGGAAGAACCAGTGACCAGCGATGACCAGACAAAGGTTATAAATACATTCACGGCTTTTTCAAATGATTAAAATGCAAACATACTATTATTTTTTACTTATGATCTTGCTTTGTACGATTGTAGCTTCTCTCTGGACAAAAGAAAAACGCTGCTTTCTGGACATTTGAGTACTACCAGCAGTTCTTTGACATCGACACTTACCATGTAAAGTTTTCATACATTTTTGCATTAAGACCTTTTCATATTTTATAAATCTTATGCAATATATTATGCATATTTTCAGGTTAAAGAAAGAATAATAGGATCTGTGCTTCCACTACCTAGAAAAAACTTTGTCCACACCTACCTTCGGAGAAATCCCGATCTCTATGGTTAGTAAAAGTAGTGTTAAATTAGAGAGGGAAAGAAAATTATTTGATGCTTTTGAACATTGAAATGTATTATTAATTATTTTTCTTTAGGGCCCTTTTGGATCTGCACCACTCTTGTTTTTGCCATTGCCATCAGTGGAAATATCTCAACCTTTCTGGTGAATTTAGGCAAACCACACTACAAGTACACCCCAGAATTTCGGAAAGGTGAGTGAGATAATTGTATATTGTATAATTTAATGAGGAGTAATTTCAAAGTCTATAAATGCACTGATTCAACTATTGTGGTTAGGGGGATGTCATGATATAAAAAGCCATTGTGCTTTAAACGGCCAGTTAACCTAGATGTTATTTACATTTTTAACCTTTTTTGGAGTTGTATAATTTTTATTTTTTAGGTTTAGGTTTATATTGTCACCTGTATCATAATGACTATCTATTAACCAAATAATCTAGACATTCCTGAGTGTGGTACATAAAATTATTTGCTATATAGAACATGGCATCTTGTATTTTCATAGTGAATACTTCGGTAACAATCAAGTTCACTGAGTGCAATGCTGTTGTTTTGTTCTCCAGTGACTATAGCTGCCACGGCCATCTTCAGTTATGCGTGGCTGGTCCCACTGGCACTGTGGGGTGTCCTGCTGTGGAGAAGCAACAAGGTCACGAACCTGGTGTCATATTCCTTTATGGAGATTGTGTGTGTGTACGGGTATTCACTGGCAGTTTACATACCGGCTGTGGTAAGATATGTTTAAATATAAATTCCCTTGACTAAATCTGAAAAAAAAAAAAAGTAAATGTGGTAGATTCAGGAAGGACACATGTAACATACCATACATACATAACATAACTGAAGCCTCTTATAGTCTTAGTCCTTCTGTTCTGTTGAACCTGGTTTACAACTTTGAACAATGTTAAAAAGTCAGTGCATTTTCATTTTAGTTCCTGATCAAAGATTAGTAGGACAGGGCTTCATTTTCCTAGTGCAAACAAAATATATGAAAATGTAACAGTGGAGTGATAGATTAACTAGCATATTAAACATGTAAAAGATGAACTGAACTGTACACTTTGACCTTTATCATACCAACCCAGCATACACAGTTGCATTTACTCTTTTAATATTTGCTGAAAGTACATCTTATTATCCAATATTCTGAACCAGATAGAACCACCTTCTTGTATTGTATTGTAATGAAGTATTTGGGATGTAACCAACTCCTCTTCTTTTATTGGCTAATTGCACATTTTTTGCCATGCTGTCCCAGATCATTTGGATTCTCCCATTTATGTGGCTGCAGTGGTTGTCTATACTTGTTGCCTTGTGCCTCTCTGGCTCTGTTCTGGTGATGACGTTTTGGCCCGCAGTTCGAGATGACCACCCCAAAGTTTACATCGCCATCCTTTCCGCCATTGTCACTTTCAATGTCCTGCTTGCTGTTGGCTGTAAGGTAAGCCCCCAACAATCCCTGACTCAATGCAAGCCTTAGCTCTGACATAATCCTTGGTTTAGTCTCACTGAAGAGCAATGGAAAAAATCTCTCTGGTGGAAATGAGATACAGCATTCACAGAGTGTTTTGGCGACTCTGCACTTCTGTCCGCTCTAAGCCAAGCTGCTTGTCTGTCTCAGCATTGATAACAATAAACATGGCTGTCTAATTTGTTCTGAATGTTCTAAGTTGTCTGTCCAAGCTCTGGCGCAAGTAGGCATATGTCAATCATTGATAACATGCGATTAGGTTTGTAACATAGCATCATGAATTGGTTATAACTGGGTTCAAAAGAGAGACGATCCAATTGGAAAGGGTAGCCAAAATAGTATAAGAACAGCATGCCAAATATTAGGTTTCTAATTCAATAAAATGCTGAATTGCATTGAAAAAAAACAAACTATAGACAAAATGGCCTGATATTGGCTATTGGTGTAAACTTGTATCATATTGGTATTGTTTGAACACTACTCAAAATTCTATTGTAAATGTCCAACTGACGAAAGTGCATTGCATACCTACTATAACTACTACAACTATTACTACTCCTACTCCTACTACTACTACCACTACTACTACTATTACTTGGTATAAAATTGCACTCTCTTTGCCCTTCCGAGAAATTACTGTACTATTCCCAGTGTCGAGTTCACTTCTCCTGGCCCTAGCTGTATTCATCGGAAACTTTGACCGCATTTTGTGACTGGTGTGAGAATGAGCTGTTAGCGAACTTGTTAATTTGTCAGCCTTGTCTTCTTTGGGTGGCATCGTGTGTCTGCTCGCATTCATGTAATTAGTCTACAAAGTAAGCCAGTGTCTGAAGGCTTACCAAGACAAATGGCTTGCACATATTCCTTGAGTATTCTTTAAGGACTCTTCATTTGCTGCACAATTGCCTCCTGTCAAAAGAGGAGCTTTTTTGATTGATTATGGTTTGCTAATAGAGCTTTAAGTATAGTTTGTTTTCCTAAAATGTACTTCTAAGACTCCATACATCATCACTTGTGCTGTGAAGTAATACTCTTATTAGGGGTGGGTATGCCAAATACCGTAGCAGTTTTTGTGGATTTTGGTAGACTTGTAGCTTTATATTGTCCTTAACTAAATTCATCTTCCGCCTCTGAGAATTCACACTTTACTGTGATTGGTTAGATTCACCTGTCACTTAAACGACAGAGGGTAACCAGTAAGAGCAGTAAGTGGGAAAATGTGTGAAGAGATGATCAATATTATAATCTTTTTTCCTCATCAAAAACATACCTGGAGTTGAGTTTTGTTTCATTCAGACATTTTTAACATATAACGTACATGCATATGGCGTTGTTCTCTTAAACAGAAAACGCTCTGTTCCACCTTGTGTTGTCATGTGGTATTACAGGAAGTGCTTCACTGTGTTGTAAAACTCCACACACCTCTAGAATCATTTGAATATTTACAGTCATGGAATTGCTATCTCTCTACTTAGCAAAAGGTAAAACTACCACTACATGACACACGAGGTGGACTAGAGCATTTTGAGCTTTGGAGATGTATACAAACTAATAGTGAAGGGTTACTCACATGTGTTATGAAACAAAACACAAATCCAGGTTTGTTTTTGATGAGCACATGAACAGTTTAACATGGCTTAAATCTCACAAATATAGGACCTGAACTGCCGCTTGATTTGAAACACCAAACGTGCACATTGTACTTGTTTTTTCCTATCTTTACACCACCAATAAAAACATTGTTATGTCTGTTAGTGTTCATTAAAAATAAATCTTTTCAGTTGTAATATTATTTTAAGGAACGATACAATAAACCACAAATAATAATTCTCCCCATTTGTTTCAGATGTACTTCTTCAGCAAACCAGAAGCGCTTCCTGAAATATCCTCAGGTCCCACTGTAGGAGTTAAATTATCAACATAAGTCTAAGGTAAATGATGGCAAGTTACTTTTTGTACCTACAACACAACTTTTAGTTTTAAGCCTCATTAGTTTAGTTTAGTTTGGTCTTTATTTGAAGGGACAGTATGAATGAAGCTCATAAAATCACAGATATTCCAATGGTTTTACATTTTTACTCACAATTTTTAAATAAATGCTGCATAATGTGTCTTTAATCAGTTGCGTATTTGCAGTTCACCACTTCCTCCTTTGATACATAGCAACACAACAACACCACCTGTGACCTGATATGTTCATGTCCCATTGTTCACTATGTACTTTCCCGATGCCATTTTTAGCTGTACTGCTTAATTAAAAAGCTACTTCCATTGGAGACCTAGTTCTATTGCATGTTACAAGTGTTAATTCAGTGATTAAGGCAATGTGACACTACACTTCCTACCAACAAGATTTCTTCTTCTAAGTGTTTTTCTTTTTGTCGTCCTTTTTTTTTTTTCAAATCGCAGCTTCTCCTGTTGCCTTATTAGCGGGACTCAGGTTGCCGGGGTTGTGAAGTCATGGGTCGTTTGGATTTCACATGCACTTGAACATTCTACTTCGGGCCCTCAAGATTCAGCGTGGAGCCTTGTCCAAGCTACATGACCTTTTGGAAATGAAACACTGGTACCGAGTATGTTATTTCTAATGGGATGGGTTCTAAACTTCCTCGGAGATAAATGGGTTATAGTGTTACACGGCGCATCTCTTTTTAGCAGTTTGGTAGTTTTCCACCTAATCCTTTATTTAGTAAACAACTTTGATTACTGACTGTATAGACATTTTTGTATATAATTCATTAAATCAAATGTTTTTTACAAATGACTGAAATTAATATTGTGAGGTTGAGGTTAATTAATATAGTTTTGTTGTTCTTTGCCTGAGTGCCTAAACACCAAAGATGCAGTCTATATATTATGTAAAGTCATATTTTTAACTTTTATAAGTAACTTTGTAATTATGATTTATTTGTAACATATGCATATACTGGGAGTATCTTTCATGCTAAAATAAAAGGGCTTATTGGGAATTATAAGTCTGTTTATTTTTTTATGTAATCATGTTTAGGCGTTACACTGTACAAACACTATGTAACTTTTCTTGTCCACATTTTTGTCTCCAAGGAGATGTCGTTTTGCCTGGAATATTTCATAGTATGGCATTAAACATAAGGAGGTGATTCCACCAGGCCAAATTATAGGTTAGATCTGTGGAAAGGCAACCCTACTCACAGTAGGAATGCCTGTAAATACACCTCAGTGAGACAAGCAGATGACAGACTCTCTACAAGAAAGGCTACACAGTGTACTTTTTAAAATACAAGACTTTAGCAAACAAACTTGCACCTTGTCTCACCCTGGATCCCACATGTGCAGGTTATCAGATTCACGGCCTGTCTGTAGATTTCAACAGTTTGACGTTTTAAATATTTAGCATGAGATTGAAACTAATAGGTTGGACTTTATATAACATCCCGCCCTGAAAATAAACATTGCTCTGATACAGATTTTCCTAGCAGTTCGTTCATCAGCACTGTGTGAAGGCGCTAATCGACTCCACCATGTCATGCTTTAATGCACAGGTCCTTGACAGTGGAAAATTACACCTTGTTCCAATGCTAAATTTGGCTTTACTTTGTACCATTACCACTATTACAGCTCTTGACCTGTTAACTATTTCCACCGAGTCTTGTTTATGCATTAATTAACAAAATAGAAAAATTGTGTCACTTGAAACTGTGTCAAAAGGATGGTAGCGCCCTAATTAATGGTCATTCTAGCCCCAGCTTTGAGTTACACCGGAGCAGCCTGTGACAGAGCCATATCCCTGTACCAAGAATGTCACCTGCACTGTAGCCTCAGCCATGCAACCATACGCCTGCGCACGGAAAAGGATTTATCAAAACAATGGATACTTGGATAATTTAACATTTTGAGATTTTGTAATTCTAGACAATGGTTCTTTGTTCATAGATTGTTCATTGTTGTGCGGACAGCCTGTGGAAGGATGGCCTCGTCGAATGGAAAGGATGCAAAAGTTTCCAAATTTGAGACGCTTAAACTTTTGGAAAAGTGCAGAAAGGAGAGGGATGACGCTTTGCACAGAGAGAGTGTTTTGAGAGAGAAGCTGAGGCAGTATGAATCCAGGATGCGCTCCACAGAGGCACTAAAGCAAAAACTCAAGACCTTGACCATGGACAACAAGGAGCTGAGGAAACAAGTGAAGACCCTCCGGACTGAGATCGGACTAGAGGCCAGTCCCAAGTTCAATGGCAAGACAACCAAGGATATCATCTCCGACCTGCATGAGAAGGAGCGGGAGTGTGTGTCTCTGGTGGAAAAGACAGGTAAACTCAGTCTAACCATCGATGATCTGACGTCAGAGCTGGCCAACACAGTCACGTCCAAAACACTGCTGGAGGACCAGGTTCAGAGCCTCCAGCAGAACCTCAAAGACATGACCAACAACCAGCGGCGTCTGCTGAAGCTCTGGGAGGACAAGAAGGTCCAGAGGGAACAGCTCGCACTGCCAGCGATTAACCACAAACCTGGACAGAAACAGTTCACTCACAGGCACGTTCAGACTGAAATGTCCATCGGATTATCGCAGAAACTGCCTGCCAACGCCTTTGAAACCAAGCCATTCACTCGAGACAATGACAAGAAGACTGTTCTGGACAAACACAGTTTTCCCAGTTATGGAAATGGTTACCACCATGATAAAGGGATACATAACTGACCACTACACTGACTGGCATTTCTAATACTTTATACCCGTGTATATAAATAGGAAAGGGGGAACGCTTTGATAGAAAGGCCTGTTTTATGGCATGTGATGCTTCTTCAAATGAAATTAAATAATTTGGCAAAGTTTTTTGTCTTACAAACTATATATCCAAGGCTTTAATCATTATATATGACTGGGCATTTTGTCACGGTTTTACTGTGAGGTAATTGAGTTAACCTACCTTAAACAAAATAAGAGCTGTAACATAGACTGTCAAAGTGTATTTTAATTTTTAGACCGTGTTTTTTTCTCGGCTATCAGAAATGCATTTGGTTTTTTTTCCTCGCCTGTCAGAAATGCAGTTATTTTGTGAAAGGCATTTGGCCGGTCGCCTGCGCCGCGGGTCCTGCGGGTCCTTGAATGCATGTGGCGCGATGTGGGAAACGGGAGGAAAATAGTTTGACAGGAGGAGATCCGGAGAGATTATTGTGTCCTGTGGTTCTCTGTGAAGAAAATCAACATGTTTTCAGTTCAGCAAAGTTGTTGGTTTGTCCGTAAGGTAAGTGTTATAGTCGTTTTTACACCAAAAACAAGCATATGTGCTGAACGCCGGTATGATGTTGTTAGCATTAGCTTTCAGACATGCTAACTTTCAATGATTAAACAAAATAAAGTGTATAAGTAACATGTTGTCGGGGAAGTAATTGTGTTATGTTACTGTTTTAAGCAAATATAAGCCATTTTAGGTATTTAACAAGATACATATGGGCTTGAGAATCAAAAAGATGCTTTAGAGAATGACTTTCAATCGTTCAAATGTTCACGACATGTAAACATAAACATTTAATAATAATACTGTAATTCTTCACAGTGTGCCTAATGTTACTCACTGCACACTAGCTATATGAATGAGTAAATCTTTGCAATCTTATTCCTTAGTGTTTAATTGTAAATTATATATTTATGGAATTTATTAGAATATTTATTATTATTTTATTATTACTCTTTTAGGTGATTTGCTGGAGAGCTGCAGCCAGTATTGCTTGGGCAGTCCTTTTGTTGCCTCCGACCACAGCAGTCTTTGTAATCCTCAGCCGTTTCAGTGTTTTTCACCCAGTGCAGTGGATATCAGGTAAGAGGCCAATGATTCCAAAACTAATTAGATTATTTAAAAAAGCATAACTTAAAACTAAAATAATCAAATTTCCTTACAGAATGCCTGTCCCTCCTGTTAAGTATTAGTGCCATATTCTCCCTGATCCTTCTTTGTGGTGTTGTTATTGTGATTGGCTTTCTCAATCTGGAGTATTACACAGGTAAGTGTATGACATAGTTAACCAATGTGAACCTTTTTCTTTACGCTGTCAGTAATGAATTCAGTTTTTGACCTGTCAAAAAATAATTACTAATGACTAAAATAAAAGCATATTTTATCATTTTGTTTGTGTTGGTTGCACTTAAAATCAGGTAAACATGCGTCCGTACTCTAGACTAGGCTAGATTTGCATCTCCGCAAACCTGACTCTTATTTGGGGACTGGGGACTTGTTTCCATGGAAATGGTGTTCTTGTGGCTATAATCTTTCACAGTATGGCATAAAACTTATCTATCTCCATAGTGAATATTCCGAAGTACATTTTTAACCATTTCCATGGTATCAGATACAGTACAGATGGTGTGCCACCTCCAGAAAGTTACATACTGTACCTTTAATTATGGCTCTGTGTTTTAAAACTTTTTCAACCAGAGATTTCAATAGTCAATTTAACTCACAATTGATCTTGATTTGATGTTGGTGTCTGAAATGTGTTTTTCATTTATCTTTCTATTACAGTTATTCCTACAATTGCCTGTTCAAAAATTGCCCTACTTGGTCAGCTCCTCCACCCTCGCCAGTTTTTCAATTCTCTGATGCATTGCATTATGGGAATGATAGTGGCTTGGTGTTGTGCTGTCACCATTGGAGGCAGATATGAGACCCTTGGTTACTCTTGTCAGCAGAGTGATGTGTAAGTGCCTGAAATGTTACACTGGCCAATTATATTATACATATTGTATGTTATGTCTCAGCTAATGGTTTTGTTTGTCATTCCAGAGGGGGTCCCACTCACATGTGTCTGAACGAGTATCATCTTTTCCTTCTGCTCTCTGGGGCCTTCACAGGGCTTTCTCACAGCCTTTTGGATGTCATCCACAACATGAACTATGTCTCCTTCAACACGGTTCAGGTATGTTTTAATTTATTGTATTGAGTTTAGGATGGATGTAGGGCTGGGCAATATGAGGAAAAAAATATGAAACACATTTTTTTTCCCTCACATTGATCAATCTCAACAATAATAAATGAACATAGACAACAGAGTTTTAACACATTTAAAAGAAAAAATAATCACATTTCTTCTTCTGAAGTCTGAGCTCTGCACCCCAACCATATCACTGACTATAAGACATGACTGTATTCTGATCTCCTAATCTCAGCCCTAGTGATGTGACATAAAACTGTTGTGTTGATCATTCATGACATGTTTTGGTGTTATATTTTGTCATAAAATATAATGATCACTGACAATAAAACGATGAAAAGACAATAAGGCGTTTTATATAAACCTCATCATATAAACAAATTATGCTTTTGGCTTTTGACACCCCAAAAATGTTCCATTCCTCCATACTTTCCTCCAAACCATGTGTTGTTACTGCCATAGAATTAGATCTGCTAATAAAAAAAACAGGCTAATATAATTGGCCAGCAATCGATTTGATTTAAAATGGATTAATTCCAGATTTGTCCTATGAGAAACGCTATTTTACGTATACTTTTTATTCTCATTCAGTTATTATTATTGTTGTATATTAGATTGAGGATCAAATGATTAAATCTAAAGGGCAATTCTGGTGCAGCCAGCAGCTTCAAAATATCACATAAGCAAGAAATAGAAGTATATAAAAATACAAGGACAATATCTAACTTTAATTTAGAAAGATATCAAAGGTATTGTCAATCTGTTGGTAAATGTTTTGATAATGGCTTTATTGAATTCTTATTTTGCCTCCCTTTTAGCAATACAAATATCTGCGCTTCAAGGGCTCCATTCCACTGGTGGTGAAGTGCAGTGCCACTCAAGCACTTTATTCTCTCAGGAACTTTCTTATAGTTTACTTCTTTCTGGGTAAGTAAAGTGTAGGTTTTTACTAAAGTTATTCTGTGAAATATCCAGTCTATACTAAACCTTGTAACCTTCAAACCTGTGTACCTTTTGGGCAGTAGTGGCATTTTCAACAAAACTAACTGTCAAAATGATTTGTATTGTTCTATGAAAAAGGTTGACTTTAAATGTGTGCTGTCTCTGACGTTTCCTCAGGACATGTACCCAAAGGCTGGCTGTGTAAAACTCTAAACCTGGACGCAGACAGGTCAGTGGACTTGCCCGATAACATTTTGACATTCTTGGCCTCCCACTTGATGTTGTTGGAATAGATTTGTCATGTGTGAATAATGCATACATGTAACCTGCTCCCCAGCTCCGTTCACTCCCTGGACACTGTGGGCGGCCTGCTAGATCTCTCCTTACTTTACCACACATGGATCAGTGCCTCCTTCCTCCTCTTCACCTGGTACACCACTCTGCTGCTCTTTAGGATTTTTGTCACAGAGGTAAGGCTAGACTATGGTTGGACAACAATTTGGTGACCATTATTTTTTGTTTAAATGTTCTTATTTGCTGCTATTGTTGTTCCAAAACAAAATATTCAAACTTGATTATGGTACCAAGAAAAAGTCTTTATTAAATACTGATTCTGATGCCACATTGATCATACAAACATAATTTATTGACAATGCAATTGTCAACATAAAATGATTTCTTTCTTCAGTACCATGTATTCTTAAACTAGTTTTGGTTAAGATTATCATAGAAAGACCATTATAAAACTATTCTGGAAATGCCCAGTTTAGTTTTTTTTTGTATTACAACACTAGAGGGCAATTATTATGAAGTAATGACAAAATATCTAATGTACCAGAATTTGTGAAGTTTTTTTTTTATGTTTTATAGTCAATTTACTGATAAACATGTATTTGAAGATTGAAATTTATTGTCATATTATTTTAACAATATACCCCTTGATATCCTAATCCTAAATCCATGTTCTATCGTATTTCTTCTGTAGCTGTACAGTTTTCCAGTTCAGACTTCTTTCACAGACGATGCCCAACAGTGTTTGCCCAAAGTCATTGCAGAGAAGCAGCCCATGATTCTTAAGGTACATTTTATACAAAATTTCGATCTGCGTTGGTCTAAGATTCCTTTAAAACATGCATCCAATTGGCCTTTTCTTTTAGTTTTTAGCCCTACAGGACTTGGCCCTTCTTTCTCAACACTCCCCAATGCGCCGCGCTGAGGTCTTCAGCCTGAGTCAGCCAGGTAAATGTATTCTGTATTCATGGGTTTAAGATATGGCAACAGTCCTTTATTGAGCAAGCCTACGTCACCCATAGTCCCCAACGGCAATTTTCCTTACATTTACAAAAGCATGATATTAAACAGAACACTACAAACCTGATGTGATGTGCACTAGTTTCATTAGTGGGATGAGTACTGGTTGTCATGTGATGGCGCTCTGAAGGGGGAGTGAAGGCATTGGTAGGAGGGTACTCAGAGCATCCAAACAAAAAGGAAACCTATGTAATATGTCAGATGGCAATTTCAACACAATAAAGGTCCATGGTGATCTAAATCTGTTATGTGTTAGCAGTTGATACCCCTTTGAAGTATATTACCCCCTCTATAAGTTTTACAATATAGTCTTCACCTTTACATAATTTTGTAATATATATGTTTTGTTATCTGTAGGTGGCCACCCTCATAACTGGAATGCCATCAGTAAGGAGTGTCTGTGGCTGCTGTCTGATCTGACCCAGAGGCTGGTGGCCTATCACGACACTGTGGCGACAAACGGCCGCGCCAAGTCTCTGTCCACCGGCAGTGAGAGGAAGAGCTCGTCTGAAGCATCAGGTATTTTATCATTTATATTTTTTATGGTAGTAGTCTCTGTCCAAACAGTGTTATCAAATACTTGTTTAATGTACGATTTATATTGTGATATTTTGTATAGTGTTTTTTTTTTGTCCATTAGAAACAAAAATAAACATATTTCATTCATTATAATTCCTGCAATGTTGGACTTTTTCTGATTTCTAACAGCATTTAGCATCAACAGGTTTGTCATAGCAAAAATATTATATATCTCTTGAAGATAAATAATGAATCCATTTGCGAAGCCCAATGAGTTTTTTTGGAATATAGACCAAGGTTTATTCTTGTTACAGCAGATATGGACAGGGCCTAGGCCTGTTCCAGCCAAAGCCCAACAGCCTCTCTCCACCAGTGGTATGTTCCTACTACATCTCCCACTGTATCTCTGTATCTACCCATGTAGCAGAGTTTCAGCGGCTGGTGCTAAATGAACATACAGTTGATGATAACAAAGGGCTTCCTGAAGGCGGAGACAGTTGTGCCTGATGAACCTTTACACATGTTAATGACTGGTCTGGGTTTCAGGTAGAAATCACATTCATTTACACAAGACAGATTGAGAGAAATCATTCCACAATCTAAATTTCTATCACAGGTTGAATACAGATTTAATGTTACCACCAAAGTACACCCAACTAGGACTGGAAAATTAATGCAAATAACAGCAATAAGAAATATTATATTTTATTTCCACTTAGTCCTGTGCATGTAAAACCTAACCCTGTGGTTTAGATTTCTACTGCCAAAGTGATTGTACAAAACACTAGAGACAAGACTATTTACTGTAACTCCCTTCAGTGGGAAGATTCTTTTAAAAAATCTAATCTTTTTCTGACAAAAACATTTTGTTTTGCACAGATTTGGTCCAAGGTTTTTTTGAGAATAATCTCCTTTTGACAAAGAAAATATTTTTAATCATAGCAGTTGCATAAAATGATTTTGTAATGTTTTGTGAAGTATGACGCACACAATTGAATGTTTTATAAATGATTCAGCTCTTACCAATTTGTCCCCTTTGTTTTTTTAGTATCTGGAGATGACCCATTCACCCGGAGAACTTGGAAATGTCACACTGGGAATAATTTATACATTTCTTTGTCTTAATAGTGACTTCTGGAGATGACCCTTTCTCCCCTCGGCCCGCGGTTCTGCTGAAGACCCCCGCCTCTGTGTTTGCTCGCTCCATCGCTGGAGGCCCCCACAGCCCCCTGACCGCACCCTTCACCCCAGACCTGGACAGCCCCTTCTCCTCCCCCGCCCTGCGCCGCCTCACCGCCCCAGCTGAACAGTTCTCCCCCTGGCATGGGACTGTACAGAGCCCACACATCTTCAAGAGGGGCCCCAAACTCTGGTCCACATCCACAGGTGAGCAGTGAAGACAAAGGACGTGTTCATATGGCTGCATTTCATTGTGTCTAGATTAAATGCAGAGGAGCAATATTGCTGTAATCCCTCATTCATCCAGTAATGGTTCATGATGTCAAAGATTTCAAATTAAGTCAGCCTAAAGTGAAAAGTCTTTTTGAGCTCAAGATTTTTCCAACTGTGGATGAAAACCAGAATGTCTTGATTTTATACATATTGTCCTGATAACCATCTTTGAAACATTTGTTACCGTGCAGGGGCAATGTTTTGAGACACCATTTTAAGAGTAAAATCTACAGATATTTTTGGTGAAATACGATTTTAACAGAACAAAAAGAGCTATACTAATTAAAAAAACAAAACAAAAAAAACTAACTACTAAATATTATTGTACACCAATACTTGCACTTTCTTATTACTGTAATCACTTGGATTCCATATTCGATGTACTTATTACTTTATTTTTTATATCCTTCCATTACTTTGTTACAGACTCCAAAACCAACGGCAGCCCTTTTCCTTCTCCGGCCCCTGTGCTGTCTCCCAAACAGGAAGCCTCCAAACCAGGCTTTTTGGCTAAATTCCTCCAAAACAGGCGAGAGCAGGTATGGATTTCGTTCTGAAAGTATTCCCAAGAATCAAATTTTGGAGCAAAATCCAAGATAATGGCCACAATCATAACAATACAAACCCAAAACAAGTAATTTTATAAAATGTGTGTACTGCTGAGGGAATAAAACCAATTGCCAGTTTAAAATTTTGACATTTTTTTGACATTTTAAAACATACTGAACTGTCCCATTCAGGTGAAAAATTTCATGGCAAAGCGAGTGCTGATTATGTATTTATTTAACAAGGTAAGAATACGCCGTTTCAGTTTGTGGCTATTTCCATTTGGTTTGACTGGGTTCCTGCATGCTCACTCCCCTCATCAACAGATTTCTTTCCCATTGTATTGTATGTGTGTACCAGCAAAAATAACAGTAATTGAATAACTTGAATTGGACAAATAATTTCACTTCAATTCAAGTGGCACTTCAGTATTCAAAGTGAACAGACCAATATAATGCTTGGCAGATGTTTGCACTTTTTAGCGCATCAGCTGTTTTCCTCAAATCTTCAGCAGAGGCCGGTATTTTGTTTGGCCGAACCACCTTAATATACATAAAGAATATATGAATAAAGCTTTATCTATTTATTATCTATTTAACACCTATGTCCAAAGAGGGCACTGTTAAAAAAAAAGTGACTATACTGCTCTTATCCACTTTGTAATAAACGAGGTCATAGATGAATTTGTAGAAAATTAAAATTGTTTATTTTGCGAAAAATTACCAAAATTGGTCCTATATGTTGGCCCAAAATAATCCTAAAACAAAGAATCCTAAATATAATTAAGAAATATACCAAATTTAGTCAAATCTATTTATTTTTGCTGTAATTTTCCAACCTGACACAAAATGGTCACAGTACTTTGAATTTCCCTTTGAACTGGAACTGCCAAGAACGTAAGGAAAAAGTACCTTCACTTTTCCTAATGTTTTCTTTTTGACATGTCCCTGTACATCGTTGGCTTTTTCCTCTTGATGTCGTCTAGATGCATGATTAATTGACACTGGTTTGGCTTCTTAATTGTGCACACATTACTATTGCAGACTTTTTCCACTGCCCCTGCTGTGCCTGCGGGAGAAGCCAATTACCTTAAAAGCTTGTATTAAGGATTCACACACGTGTCTTCTCCTGTCTCCCCTCTTTAATTTAACTCGGCGATCAATCAAACAAGTAGAGATCCAGATTAGGGCTGCACAATATGAGAAAACTGTGGTATTTCAAAACAAAGCCTAAAACTTAGAACATGTCTTTCTCAACTGTCTAATTTCTAGTATATTAATTACTTCTATATACACTTAAGGTTAAATTCAGTACATTAAACTAAAATTTAAAGTTGCATTGCATAACGCGCTTTTCTATGTGCAAATGTAATTTTTTTGCCAAGAATATTGCGCAGTATGGCATTAAACCGTTCCGTTTTTGTTATTAGGGCTATTTTATCGCGGAAGTTTAAACTTTTTTTTTTTTTTGATACTAAGGAATTCACTCAATACCTGATACTGATTTTGATACTGCAATAAAGATATAAAACGGCCCATTTTTAGTAATTGAATCTAATTTTTATATACAAAATAAATATAATTTCTTTATCTCGGCATGAGGTCTTATATTTGTTCTAATAAAGCTCAAAATGACACTAAAACTGTTTCGGAAAGATTAAATTTTGTCCTTTTTTTCCCCAGTATCAGTACTTAATATTAGTCATAGTATTGATTTTAGTAGTACATTTTTGCAATTCCAATGCCATACTGCCAACACTCCAGGAAATGAAATAACATCTCCATGCAGTGAAAAGTTATGCAAGGTGCTTTCATTTACAAGTCAAACTCTGTCAACGTAAAATCTTAACTGAGACTAAAAACAGACCTACGTGAGGCAAAATTAAGGCTAAGTAAAGAATATTATTACCCAAAAATTTACATTTACGTTACTGTTAGTATTTTCTCAGTTTCTTGCAATATCTAAAAATCAAATCATCACTACAGTTTTGTGAGATATTGTGCAGCTCTACACGGTATCTTCCATTTGATTGCGATGCATGCTTCCTTTTTACCCGAATACTTGTTGACGTTATAGTTTTGCTCTAGTTTCCTATGGGGTCAACAGGCTCTTCAGTCCATGTGTTATGTAGTGTCTTGTTAAATGATGCATGTGTGACATAGGGTAGTCTTACTAATCCCTGTTTATCTAAAGTCCGACTCACACAGTGTAAGTCCATCACTCTACTTTTATTGCAGCTCCCTGAAGCATCCAGTCAGGCGCTGTTCGCAGACAGCCAAGCTCATATCTGGGCACTAGAAGGTACAAAATGCAAAAATGTTTTAATCAATTGTAATTGTTTTAAGGAGTTTTAATTGACAAAGTGAAATCTTGTGTATCTTGTATTTACAGGATTGTCTTACCTTGTCCAGGCTTCATACACTGAAGATCAGTTTGGAGTTGTGCAGACTACATTACCCAGCATTCTTAGTTCAATGTTGGTCCTACAAGAGGTGAATTATTTTAACTATTAGCCATTTCTCCCACTTATCCTTAAAAAGGGGTGAAATTTGTGGCCATACCGACTTGTCAAAGCCTGAACCCGTCAGTTCTCAGAAGCAAGACTGGGCCTGGTTATTACTTGGATAGGAGACTGCTGGGAAAATCAGGAGCCACAGTGGGGCGCCAGTCATAAAAACTGTCATTGTGTCCTTAGGCAAGACACTTCGCCCACATTGCCTAGTACGAAAGTGGTTTGTGAGTGATGGTGGTGGTTGGAGGGGCCGATGGCGCAGACTGGCAGCCTCGCTTCCATCAGTCTGCAGCTGTGGCTAGTAGCTTACCACCACCGGGTATGGAGTGAATGAATAATGCTCTTTGAGTGTCCAAAAAAGCCCTACATAAACTGATGCAGTACTATTATATTATTTAAATGACTCTTATTATAACAAGAATGTTAATGTCCCATAAGTTATTCAGTCATAGTTTGATTCACGCTTCTTGTTTTGCCCTGCATTTGAGGCTTGTGTGCTGATTTTGTTTTTGTTTTTTGTTCATGCCAATATGTTCTGGTACTGTAGTCTTCTTCACTTAATAACCATACCGTATTATTATCTTTTTATAGATTTTTTTCCCATTTGTTCTCTTGTGAGTTTTAAGCCATGTTAGAATGTTACCCCATCAAAAACATACCTGGAGTTGTTTTGTTAGATTAATATGCAGGGTTATTCAGTCTACATTTCCAAAGCTTAAAATGCTCTATTCTTTGTGATGGCATGAACTGTTAGTTTTCAAGTTAACAGCAAACTTTATTTTTTTTGTTCAGTAGAGATTGGCAATTCCTGGGCTGAACTACCCAAATGATACTAGTGAAGGTGTATGGAGTTTAAAACAGTTTAGCGATTCCTGTATTATCACGTGACATCACAAGAAGGGACAGAATATTTGTGGTTTTGTGTACTGAACATGTCTGAATGAAACAAAACTCCAACAGTGTAATATAAGACTATAAACACAAGTTATTATGAGCGCTTGATAATGCAGATGCTCCTTATATATTTGAATGGGTATAATATGTCTTGTACTTTGCCTGTTCTATTCTCATCACTATCTTTGTCATGTTTCCCTCCTTTACCTCTGCTCAGGCTGTGGACCGTCACTTTAAGCTTCCCCATGCCTCGAGTAAACCCTCTCGCTCCGGCTGCACGATGGAAGACTGCAGCTACAAAACAATGCGCTTTGCTCTTAGGGCCACGCTCAAGACCGCCCTCTACAGGATCACCACCACATTCGGAGAGCACCTCAAGTAAGTTCTATTAGACCTAATGGAGTTTAGCGGGGCAGACTGGATATATCGGCTAAGGGAGGCTTAGATTACCCACACAGTCCAAACTAAAACAGCTACTTTTCTTTGATTTGATTTTTTTCTGCTCTCAAATTTGGCAGACTTAAAAAAAAAAATCATTTGAGCTGTTTTAATACCAAGTTGCGTTATCCAAACATGGTAAAAAAATAGAAAAAATAAAGCAGCTACTACATGCTTTAGACTTAAAATTCTCAATGACAATGTGAAAAGATTTTTCTTCAAGAATGACATTTTTGTTGAATTGTCTTTATATTTTAAGAGTGATTGAAAATTTGTCTTTGTTTACATATTGATTATCCTGTTCTAATATACAGTGATTAGTAGATTATACAATAAGACCTCATAACCTTTGTATATCAGAATTAATAAGACAATATATCACACTAATCCTGCTCTTTGTAACCCCCAGTGCTGTCCAGATGTCTGCAGAGCATCGGAAAAAACTGCAACATTTCCTGGACTATAAAGAATAATTTGACTTTTATGGATTCGCATCTACCTGGTTTCATAACGAGGCCATTCGCACAGTGCCTATTCTAAAATGGTTTCCTCAATCCAACGGGGTGAAGCAGATCTCGATACAAAATGAGCGATCCTTGACTGAACAAAAATGTATTCCTATGGATTCTGACTTCTGACAAAAATAGGAAAACATTGATTGGTGATTTAAGTTGCAAAGGGCTATGAGATTTGTAACTGTAACTGTAAACCTGTTTGTTTTCTATATTTTGTATGGCTTCTGAGCAAAAGTACTTAAATCTGTGTCGAGTGAATGAGTTTGTATTTTTGTGTGTGTTTGACCACTACAGTTGAAAGATTAAACGTTCACCAGTTTGATGTAAAGGAGAGATGGAGTGATGAAGTGATGCTGTGGCTGTTTTGTCTCTTTTGAGTTACATTTTTAAAGACCTCTTGAATAAAAACATGTCAAAGTCATGCTCGATCAGTAAATCTAAGGTTAAAGTTCACACACATCAAACTATGACTTAACCTAGACTAGAACAGGGCCAGACTACATCAGGACTAAATTCCAGGATAAAATGTGAACAAGCCATCAATGGGAGAAAAAGAACAATTGTGTTAACTTGTCTGATAGGGTTCATCACTTTGCCTGGAAAGTTCCACAGCATGACATTAAACATACCTATGTAGCATTTATTTTACTAGGTGTTTCAATATCTTGAAACATGACTAAATGGTTCAGTAACTGCTATATCTCAACACCAACAAGCTGGTAAACTGGAGGACCACAAGAAAGAGTGAACCGGGGGTCTGGACCAACTGGGGCAAAGGTCACAAAGCTGCAAATTTGCCTGTTCACTAAAATGGCAAATGGGCTAGAGACAGGATGTTTGTGAAACATTTGTACACAGTTAAGTTGCAAAAGAAGTTGCTTTTGTATTAGTATAATATGATCAAATCAAATTGTTTTATTCCCTTTTCTTTGAATTGAGGTTGCTAGACAAAAATGAGAAGAACCCCCTAACAACCCGTAACACAATAACAAGAGCATGAACACAATCTTTTAGTTTATTGCACAAATCGTACATATTTCCAACCAAACTTATAGATGGAGTATTAGACGATGGTGGTGTGTACAAGATGTCAAAAATGCTGTGTTTGATCTGGATACAATTGTCACAAATTATGGCTTAGATCTGAAAAGGAAATATGTTTTTGTCTTGTCTTTAACAAGGAAGAGACTCAAATGTATAATACTTTGACAGCTCTGTTCTTAACAGATGTCACCAAAACAAATTGACAGAAATGATGACTTTTCTGTTTTAAAAGTACTTTGTCCTCATATATAATATAAACCTCTGCATCATTACCAATCAAATGTTGACATTTCAAGTCAAATAGCATTTGCTAAGTCATTTTTACAGTTTAATATACATTTATATGTACATATAAATTCTAACTAGAGTTCTCATAGAAAATGAGAAAAGCTGGACTTAATCGCTCTCACACAACAATTGACTGGCAAGCACGCAGACCGGCCTCCTGTACTGAGCCCAAACTCTGGAGCTGACCTGGTTTTTCTGAAGTGAAAATTGCACATTCAACCTTCAGAAAATAAGTGCATTATTAAGTCACTCCGATCTTTGAGTCGTGGGCAGTGCTTTCATTTAATCCAGGTCGAGTCGGGCTCAGAACCTCCTCATTTCAACAATACAGCTGCGATTTTTCATTAGCAACAAAAGCGCTCCCGTCTACATTTTCAGGTTCACGCCACACGGTGAACTGGCTTAAACCCGTTGGATGTGAGAGGGAGGAGAGAGGAGGGAGGAGGGGGAGGCTGGTGGAAGCAAGAATCCATTTTCCAAAAGACAGCAGGAGTTCAGTCGTCAAAACCCACCAAAATTTCCCTCTGCTTGGAAAAAAAATGAAATCACTGAAGTTTAACAAGCAAAAAAACAAAACAAATAGTGCACTTTTAAGTCTGTCTCAAAACTAGATCATCCCTGATTCAAGTGCACAGAGGAGCAGGTGAGGGCAGGCGCAGCATTTCGTGATTAAATAGTCCATAGATTTTCAGAAATGCCAAGCTCCGAACCAGGACCAAGAAGAGACCAGTACAAGACCAGAAACATAAGATAGACCCTCTTGAAGTTTAAAATATTTCCAAGTCACATTTTGGGTTTAAATCTTTCTTTTAAAAGACATTATTTAACTTTTCTGGTGGAGCGTATGCTTTCTTGTCATGGAGATGTTACTGCTTTGCCTTGTATGTTCCACAATACGGCATTAAACTTATCATATTTTGCACTGATTACATTGTAGGCATTTTCATTGATCAAAAATACCTTGAAAAATATTTCGACTGTGAGCAGGGTCACCTCTCCACGGACCTTGGCCTAGTGGAATCACCTGCTTGTATACCATACTGTGGAACATTTCACTCATAGCAATAACTTTTCCACAGACAGCAAGCAAGTGACCGACCCTCCACCAGAAAAGTTACACAGTCGATCTTTTTAACTCCCTTTTCCATCATTTCATATCTAGTATGCTGGTGTTTTTTAGCTTACTAAAGGGCATCTAATGTTACCGCGGTTACCCATGACGATACAGAAGTTCAATCTGGGATACTTGATCTTGTATGGATGAAAACAGGACTTCCGGGTAGTTTTTGGGAACCATTTTTAACAGGAAAAGTTAAATTCGTCATTAATATAGATTTTTTTTTCCACACTTGGTGAAAAGACGACGAGAGCATGTCCTTCTGATCCTGTATGTAAATATAGATCTGTGTAAAAAACTGTATGTGTCTGTATGTGCCTGTAGCAATAGTATGTGTCTATTTGCCCTTGAACTGATGCACAAGTGTTTTGAATGTAATGCTATGCTTGTATGTGCACTGCGATTCATTATACACAAGTTACAATAACTAATTCAGAATATTGATTTGAGCATTTTTAGTTTAGATGTATCTCCTAGTAAGATAGATAAATAGATTACAATAAAAGCTGGTTTTGGTTGATTTTGGTTGTTTATTGAACTGAGAAACTTGCATGGTATAATTGCAAGAATGTTTTAATCTTGTGTTTCGATGGAATAATGTAGGTGATGTGCCATCTTCGGAAAGTTAGATACTGTACATTAAAAGGTCCTATATTACGCAAAAATGACTCTCTTGAGCTTTCAGCCATGTTAGAATATTGTTATTTCATCAAAAACATACCTGAAGTAGTGCTTTTTTAAATTCACACATGTTTGAATCCTGGGTTATTAGGCTTTATGCAGTCTAATAAAGCTCAAAATGCTCAGTTCAACCTTGTGATGTCATGAAGTAGTAGTTTTCAAGTTTTCAGCTACACCTTTTACCATTTGTTCAGTAGACATGCGCAATTCCAGAGCTGAATTTACACACATGATGCTAGTGAAGGTGTATGGAGTTTAAAAACATTGGAGCACTCCCTGTATCACCACATGACATCACAAGGTGAAACAGAGTGTTTGGGAGAGGAACCCTCCCAAACAGAGTGTAAGTATGTGTGTTAAACATGTGTGAATGAAACAAAAGCGCAACTCAGTGTGTTTTTGATGAGGAAACAACATCGAAACATAGACCAGAAAATTGCGTAATATGAGCCCTTTAAATTAGGATTTAGAAAAACTTTATGACTAATATATAAACCATCTTTTTATAGTCATCTAAAATCAAGATGAATATTCTGAAATCAGGTATTTTAAACTTGTGCAGTTATTATTTTGCAGTGTGAGTGTTTGAATGTGGCTCAGGAGGACATGCACTGCACATGGTCCGGTCCGCCCTCCTCTTCGTCTGATGAGTCCGGAGAGCTCCAGGATTCGTCTGTGTCTGGGTCTGCGCCTTCACGACGGGCCTGAGGAACGGAAAACAGCATAATGGTAAGAGAGATTTGTTTATGGGGACCCTGGATAGACATTTCGTAAGTTTTAACTACTCAGCTATTACTTAACACCTTACCTTCACCCCCAAACAAGTTTCAAATAGAGCTGCTAATATGGGCAGTGTATCATATGCAATATATCGACAATCGCATGTATCATCAACCATGTATCGTGTATGAATCGTGAGGGACCGTGTGATTCTCAGCTCGAGTTTGCACAAAAAAACACTAGGCATAATAGATAATTCTATTAAAACACAATATACACAGTTAAGTAGCAAAAAAGTGGATTTAGTGTTTAATTTAATCCTCATATAATTTAATGTGGACCTAGAGATATTTTTTTATTATAACACGTGGTAATGGTGGATGTTATAAACTTGTATTGCTCTCATAAAAGGGAGTGTGTTTTCATTCTGGTGGTCTTGCTAAACTTGTACAGTTCTTATTAAAGGAGCCTTGTGTGCAGCTCACTCTCTGCGGTCGCCTGTTCCTCATGTGTCTCATCAGGAACCACAGTTGGGTGTCGTACTGGTCTCCATGGCGAACGCTGTCCTCGTCTCGTTCACGTTTGTTTTTCTTCATCAACTGAAAACACAGGATTTAGCCATTAATGTGACCTTTTAGATTAGCGTGGAAGAAAATGACCGCTCAACAAAATACAAAATCCACACATGGCCACTGTTTTCTAGTTTATTTGTGGTAATTTTGTGGTTCATTTTTTTATTGGCCCTCTGGAATGTATCTTGTTTCTTGAAAATGTCAACAACTTGGTCTGGTGATCTTGGTCTGGTCACCTACTTGTCTCCATGGAAATCGATCATTTAATGACCCATTTAATGTTACTGTGGAACATTCTACACAAAGCATTAAGAGATAGCAAAACAGGTAACGGAGCCTCCATCAGAAAAGTGACAGTCTTGCTTTAAATGCTGTACCATAATTTCCGGACCATAAGCCGCTGTTTTTTTCTCACACTTTCACCCCTCCGACTTATACAATGATGCGGCAAATATATGGACAGATTATTTGTTTGGCACATTGTCCATTCATATATACGGTCTATGGTTTGGCAACACAGCGAATGCGCCTGAGTGCAGAAAGTGCCGCTGTCTGTGTGGTTCACACATAGAACATGGGTTAACATGAAGGTGCAGTGTTTGCTAGCGATCTTATCAGCACACTAAAAGAGTTTATCGCCGTGTGATAAAATAAGTTATGATGCTAAATCAACATTAGTGAGGGGGATACATCTTACTCGTATGCGTTAAATGCAGGTGCGGGCACAAATGACAAGAAGAAATGTCTCAAACTTCAGTAGCCGGACATCCACTCATACCTGATGAACACAACTACCCTAGTCCCCGGGAGAGCCTGAAACCTGCTGAAATCCTATAAGACACTGACATAATACAGACAGGACAGCGACTCTTTCTGCAGGAGTCATGTGCGGTAGAGCGCAGGGAGAGATGGGGGTGATGCGTCAAGGAAGTTGCTTGTTTGATTGTGTTTTGAACAGTTATTTTGCGCTTCATACACACACTCCTCATGGAAAACACATGAAGAAATGCAGATGATGCAGCTTTTAAGTTAAAGGTAATTGAGCAGCGTGACGAACTAACTCAATGGAGGGAGACGACAAAAGTTTTCAGAGGCTGTAAAAGCAGATGGCTCGAAATTGAAAACGTTCTTGAAGACGTGGACACCTGCGGCTTATATTCAGGTGCGGCCTATATATGTGCAATTTTAAATTTTACTTAAAATTTAGTTGATGCAGCTTACATTCAGGTGCACTCAATAGTCAGGAAATTACAGTACTATTCTTTTGGGCGTGAGTTATTGCCCTTGTGTTGCGGTGTATTACCTCTTTGAGTCCTTTGAGTGTGGTAGGGGCTTCTGCTGTGGGGGCCCACAGTTTGATGTCGTGGTCTAAGCCGCTGGTGGCCAAACCGGGGAGGTGTGGGTGTGGCTCCAAGCAGTTAACCTGTACACAGATGTATAAACAATAGGTAAGTCAGGTTTCTTAATGGGACATAAGCAGGGCTTTTGTAGTTGCAAATGAAGTCTCATGGATTAAAAGAAAATGACTCCTTCCCATTAATTTGAATAGATTAAAGCAATGTATCCGAGTTTTGTAATTGCCATAACAACAGAGGACCATTGCAGTAGCTTGAATCCCATGACTAATGCAAAGTACCACGAGTGATAAAAAAAAAAAAAAAAAAAATCCGCACAATTGAAATGAAAAAACAAAAGAAAAAAACAAAACACTTCATCTTCAGTTGACATTTTTGACTCACCACTCCTCCTCTGTCGCCCTCCATAAACTGAACGATGCGCGCTGAGTATTTGTCCCAAAGGTAAATGTGTCCACAGTCACTGCCACTGACCACAAACTCACTGCAGGGGCCGTAGAAGTTCACCCCCTTCACTACAAACACAAATCCAGTTGTGACAAAAGGCGTACTTAGAAATTCATATTTATAAAGTTGAAATGTTTTTAGTTTAATTATCAGACCTGTTGCATTATTGCGATGTCCCTTATATCGTCTGAGGTAGTCGGCCCCATCACTGTGGTTTGAGTCAAATAAATAAATGTCCTCATCATTGTAACTAGCCAGGAGCTCTGAAACAACACACACAGTAATATTAATATGTCAATATATTCACATTCTTTCCAGCAGCAACTAAAAATAACAACTTTAAATAACTTTCACTATAATTAAGTTTATTGTTCACTAATATTTTGATTAAATCTAGCTGACTGGAGGCCTAGTCTAAAAAAATGATTGATGTTTTTATTTGAAAGAAGAAAAATGAGAGAAAAGTGTAACCTAGTTTTAAATAAACATTTTAAACGGTACACTATGAAACATTTTGGGTGAAGGTTCTGTCGCCTTCTTGTCTCCATGGAAATCTTTTTACTTTGTCTGGAAAATTATCACAGCAGCATTTGTATCGATGAAAACAACCAGCAGACCAAGCCACATCTGTGGAGAGGTGAGCTCTTTCGCGGTACAAATGCATGTTGATTGATTTAATTATTATTTTGAGCAATAAAAACTCAAAGACTTGACTAGAATGTTTAAAGCCATACTGTGGAACATTCTAATAATAGTGCATCTTTAAATAAAAGTTGTGTACCTGTGCCATCATGACTGTACACTAGGCATGTTATGTTGGTTTTGGACTCGCTTGATACCAGGTGTGAGGGGCAAAACTTTTTTAGAACGCCGTTATTGTCATTTTCATTGATCTTCCTCTGGTCATAGATCCTAAAATGTAGAATAAAACAAAGCATGAAGTACAAGTATGAATATTGCAGAGTATTTTAACTGAACAGGTGTGTACGTACCTGACGTACTGGTCTCTACCACCAACAGCAAAGTGATGCGTTGTTGCCGGGTTTACAAAGATTGTGTACAGTCCTACTTTTTTGTCTCCCTCCTTTACAACCACTAATTTACTGCAGAAAGTACAAAGGAGCAAAAAGAAGTCAGATTTCAAGTTATAAGTTATTATTTTTCATCAGATGATGTGACAGTTAAAAAAATAAGTACAATCGTATAAAAAGGATTTCAAAACTACAGAAGCTCAGAGGGCTGTCATTCAGAAACCAGCTTTGAAATATGTTTAAAACCTTAATTTATTTGCAGATTGCATATTTGCCATATTAAAAGCCAAATCTACATGCAATACTAAAAAAATACAAGTAGAAGCACTGGTACTTTGCAATTCTACACGCATGTCTATCGCGTAATGTTAAGCAGTTACCATGGTGACATACTGCACATAGCCAAAAACAAAAAAATACAAAATAGGATCTAAACACCACATTTTCAGGAGTCTGTGATCAATACAAGCATCATGGTCTCATTTATTAGATGTCTGATGTTCAACAAAAATGGGAGGGTGAAAAACAGTTGGTTAATGTTTGCTAACTTGTGACTATAATGTGATTTAGGGACTTGTTTTGTTTTAACAGCACAAAATCATCTCATCTGTTGTAGTTCCAACTAAATTATTTCTTTATAGCCAGACTGTATTAAAATAAAGATCAGATTAAAGTCTAAATTGAGTGACAAAGCATCACACCCACAGGGAATCTAAAATAGACAGGAGAACCATCAAAAGGGATGCTAAAATCACTAAGGAAGCATTTGCACTTCACTGGTTTGAGCCCAGCTTTGTCCTGATGTAGACTGTTGTGGTCCTGTTCTCGTCCAGGATTAGTCCCGGATTTATTTATTATATAACATTTTTGTGCAAGTGTGAGCACACCCCAAAAACACTCAATGGGCTGTTCATTTATTGACCACTTTCTTGACATTTTTGGTCAAACTTGTCGAATGGCCTTAAGAGAATGACTCACTTGGCGGGCCGGTCTAGACGCAGGTCAATACCGAACACAACTGCGTCCTCTCCAGCCGACAGGAAAGAGCAGGGGGAGTCTGGCTCAAGGGCCAACTGAAAATACCAATGCAAAAAAGATTAAAATACAACTAAATAAAACTAATTAAATACAGTTCATTAATACATTTTGAGATTTAGTGAACAAATATAAGCAATATAAATAGGTAATAATATAAATATAAGTAAGCAAATTGAAAACTTAATGACATCAGGGAAATATTTGATTCCTGATTCCTAATGAAAAATAGATTCTGACTGAGTGTGGTGGATACCTCTGCCACCACTCCATAGTGTCAGTATTATTTAATTTTCATTATTATTTATATTAAGTTAATTACACTACACATAATTTAATTCCGTTATTTAGACTTATGTTCTAATTTGAGTGCACGCATTTTAGTTAATATAAGTCTTATTTACTTACACTTGTTCTTTTTGTTTTTTTGAGCACCGGACGGAGGACCCTGGGAGAGACCATCAGGACTCAGCAAAGGGGGGGAGCACTATTTAGTTTGTTTTACTAAGTTAATCTGTTTAGTTTGTGTTAAGGTCACATTATTATCACTTATTATTTCCTGTATTATAATTATTTGCTTTTTTGTTTACTTTGATTAAGTTATTGGTTTAGTTAGTTAATTAGTGTAATTCCTCCCTCTTGTGTTTAGCTTTAGTTGGTCCTCAGGTATTTAAACACACCTGTTCCTTTATCTGGTTGGGTTAGTTTTGTTCTGTTCAGTTTGATTTTGAGTTACCCCAGTTGGGCCCAGCTTTTTTGTTAATAATTTGCCTAATTTGAGCCTTTGTTAAATTCTATCTTTTTTGGCTTTATTAAATTTAAACTTATTTTTATACCTTGTCTTTGCCTTTCTGTTTGGTCCACTACACTGAGCTTGGAACAGGACATGTGGGTAATTCATCATCATGTCTTTAATCATTTGTGCCCCAAGATTGATAGGATAGATTGATAAATCTATCATAAGGATCAAATATTTCCCTAATGTCATTAAACTTGCAATTTGTAGCTTTTTGTGCTCTTTAGAAAATCCTCAAAATGTTCATGTGAATTCAAAAGATTGCCAATACTTATGTCACATTTGTCATAGAAAAAAAGAGAGAGAGATTTGATATTCTGACCTTGTGTGCAGCCCCCTTGTGCTGTGCTACTCGTTTGGTGTTTTTGCAGCGCTGTGTTGCTGAGAGCTCGGCCACTCGGATCTGTCCGTCCCGAGCGCACATGGCCAGAGTCGAGTCTCCGCTGTGGGGCAGGAACTTGGCCTGAGAACACAAGAAATGACAACTTAAATGCCCACTGTCAAAGATTTTTTGTTTCAGTGCAGACAGCCTGAATATAATATAGCCAATATACGATTTAATCATTTGGAGCACAGTAATAAAAATGTATTTTTACTGACGCTATATATTAGTTAATTAAAGTGGGACTAAACACCTAAACTCCACCCACAACCATGTGTCTGTAATCCAGGTCCCAGGTAGTCACCAACTACTGGAAACCACAGAAGCCACTTGAAGGCAGCACGTGCTTAATTTTAAGTGTTTTTGACCAATCAGAAAGGTGCACATGGACCTAGTTTACATGAAAGTTGCCCAAAAATGACTAGGAACTGTAGATAATGCCATTAAAACACAACATGCACAGTTAGTAGTGAATAAAGAGGATTTAGTGTTTAGTTCCACTTTAATGTAAAAAGAATTATGTTTTTGTGTATAAAGAGGACATACTAAACATTTTTGGAGTAAATGATTCTTTATTATCTAAAGTATAATATCTAACATCTATCTATACAAGAGCCATATGCCCTGGTCCAAGCTTGGATCTAAAAGCAGACTTCTGGGTTTCTACCTGAAAGACGTTGCTCTTGTGCCCACTGTCGAACTCCAGCTCTGCGCGTTTGACCGCCCAGTCCCAGATGATCACCCTGAGGTCGTCGCTGCCCGATGCCAGCCGTGTGCCCGAGGGGTTAAAGTGCAGTGTGTTGACACATCCGGCGTGCCTTTCCAGTTTGCCCTGCAGCTCCAGCCTCTGCACCAGCCCCCGAGCCCCGCACACGCGCCTCACAAACTGGCCCGCGTCCCGTCCGATCTCCCTGGAGCGGATGGAGGGCACGGCTCTCCACACCGGACCGCGCATGTCCCGAAGCTCCGCCCCCAGCCACGCCTCCATCTCTTCATCGTCGTCATCATCATCATCCTGAAATGAGACGTAGACATAAACATAACATTTAGTTAACATATTTTTGTTTACAATTATTCTTTAAAATGTTTAGTTATAACATGACAACTACAACAATGGTATGAAGTTATTCCGTATTAACCTTATGCATACCGAGAACCCCTACATCCATCGCAAAGAGTTTTTAATTCCTTTTCACAGCGGTGCAGTGTTTTGTTATGAAAACTAACAGGAACTAGCATGCTAACATGGACTTCCTGATTATTTGACAATATAATGCTTTCTTAGAAGATGCAGGCAGAATTCAGCTGGCTTGTTTTGACCTTGAGATCTTATAAAATATACCTGTACAGGCAAAGAAGAATTTGGAGTATTTCTATTTTTTTTTTCTCTAAACATCTTTCAAAAAGTAATTGAAGCTCATTATTTTCCTACTGTTCAGTGTTAAATCCATTGTGATCACTGAACAGGTTAGAGCAGGGGTGTCAAACTCAAATTCACAGAGGGGCAAAATTAAAAACTGACTAGGTCGTGGGCCAAACTAAATATTTACTGAAAAATTTCAACAACATCTGCATGTTTTCTAATCTTTCGAGATATGTAATGTAAAACCTTTTCTTATTAAAATAAATGTTTAATAATAGTTTTGCTTAAACATTGAATCCAGAACCAGCATAATATAAAATAATAACAAAATTTTAAATATATAATGTTTCTATAGCCTATCTGAAGCCCGGGGGCCAGCTCTAACACATATTTGATATGATCTTGCGGGCCAAATATAATTATATCGCGGGCCAAATTTGGCCCCCGGGCCTGAGTCTGACATATCTGGGTTAGAGTGTAATACATGTCTACTGTTTTTCAACATAGGCTGCATTAATAAACTTGTATCAACATTCAACAATTACATCTTTCTGGTCTTCATCCTCTTCTTCATCATCATCGTCGTCATCCTCATCAGAGCTTGAGGAGTGGTTGGCGCCTCCTCCTGGCCGGTTCCTCTTTCGGGCAGCTCTTTTTGCAGTGTCTTTAGCTCTGGTCCGCTCCCTCCTGCCCCCCTCGCTCTCCCTCTCCCCGTCCTCTGTTAGGGAGTACAGTCCGCTGCCGTCCATACTGTCCGTGTCCTCTTCGTCAGCTTCTCCGTTGTTGTTGTTGTTGCCATCTTCTCCCTCCGCGTCGGCCATCGGTTTGTCCCCCGAGCCCTCTCCCGTTTCTGATGGATCTGCACCCAGCAAAAACAGCAAAACCATTAGCACAAAGAAAAACACCACTTCTCACATTCAGTTTTACTATTCAGAGTCTCTGCTTTTATGTAATTCATCTGGTGCGGCAAGATTTATCACAATTTGAATGTGTGTAATTACCAAATCGCAAAAGCTGCCATTTTTTGACTACCGAAATTTCATCCCAAAACACCCAAAATGTTCAGACTTATTTTGCATGGCTAACACTGCAGTTTAGATCTGTAACATGTTCTGAAATACATAAGATAAGATAAATCTGTATTTGTACCAGAACAGAGAAATTACATTCACTACTAGTCAAATGTTTGGATGCACCATCTCATTCAATGTTTTTTTTCCCCCCTATTTATTTTTACTACTTTCTTACTTTTTTATATATAGAAAAATGTTGTGCATGAACAAGTTCAAAAGAAACACGTTCAATGAACACGTTCATTTTTCAGTGAACTTTGAACTGCACGCAACACATTTGTAAATCAAGAATTTGAACACGAATTGTTCAAATTATGTGAGATGAACGACATACGTCACTGTTGGGGTTAAATTAAACGTTGGAATTAGTTGTCACCCGACGTGTGACAAGGTCTGCTTGCACTTAACCTCACGAAACCACAGGCGCGTGTCAACGTGAAGGCGGCTCCACCGACAGCTCTAGCGGAACATACTGACTCTTGTGTTTCTCAATGGGAAAGCCTTTACCTTCTGTACAGGCTGACCACAGCAAACGCAAGGATTTCAGAAGTAAATTTCAAAGCACTAATTACGATACAAAACTGCCCAGGGAGCACGTTGTGCTGATGGTAAATGCACAAATACAACAATAGATTCATTAAAATAAGTTCAGCCTTTCATTCACATATCTCACCTAAAAATAAAATGAACTGAACTTTAAACTAGTTCAAAATTAAAATTGTGAACTATGAACATGATCTGTTCACTTTGAACATGTGTGAACTGAACTTTGAACTAGTTCACTGTAGAAAACATCAAACATACATGGAAATATATAGCAAAGAAAAAAATCTTGAAAAATATTTAGTAGAGGTATTTAAATGATTTTACTAAACAGTTAAATAAATCTTGCTTCATATATTTGATGTCTTCTGAATGTATATAAAATGTAGAAAGTACTAAAAATAAATAAATAAAAAAAACATTAGATGAAGTGTTGTGTCCTAATTTTGGCTGGTAGTGTACATAGTCTGTCTTTTCAATATTTCAGTCTTTTGTTAATGCTCCTTGGCAAGTGTAAAACGTGAACTTTGAAGACAGTCCTATTATAAAAACATTACGTGCAAATCTAATTGCAATGCTTGACAGAAAAATCTACTCAATCGTTCAGCCCCGTCTTTTTTGTACATTTATCTTTGCATACAGGATAAAATTTTTAACATTTTTGTCATAGCTGGCTGGAATAATGGTTTGCAAACAAGTTGAGTTGAGTGAAGATGTAATTGAAAGAAACACTAAAACTGAAAAAGGCTCTGGGTAAGTACCATCAGGCCCACATACTATGAGCACTATGCATGTTTTCTAGTTCTTTAGTGCTAATCCCGATGAAGATAATAAGCAACCACCAACCAACCATAACCAAACCAAGTATTTTTGACAATAAAGTGGTTGTAACTGAATAAATGAAAGATGAATACCTTTATACCACACTCTATTAAAACTCACACATTAATGCATAATTTAGGATTTCTAACGCCTTAACCAACTTTTCACACTCTTGAACATGATTGTAGAAATATTATCCTTGCCCTGCTGGCTGGCTATACAGGCACAGTATATAGTATGAGATTGCACGTTACATGACATGTCACTCGAAAGCCCTAAACGTATTCTCAACAAATGTTACATAACAGGCTCCTAGTCAGCACTGTAATGCTACTGGATTCACCTCAAATCCCAATTTTGTTAACCACTTTTGGGCACCAGTTTTTATACGAAGGTTAACTTGATGATAAAAGTTATTCAGAGAAAACAGAGCGACTAAATACTTAGAAGTAGCTGAAAAGATAGTATTTGAATATAAGATACAGGCCTTCTTTGGTTTGCTGGAGTCAGGGTTGAACACAAGGAGAATGCAATGTATAAATTTAAAACTATGCATGTAAACAAGATGTGTCTGCGGCAAAAAATCTTAAAGCTCTTACGTATATGTCTGTATCTGATCTGACCCAAACTGCACTCACAGGACTACACCTTCACAGGAATTCATGCAAAAACAACTATTTATACAGTATAAGTTCAGAGGGATAATATATAAAGACAGATATAACTTGTGAATCATAAGTTTAATCTTCCTTTTTACATATAAATACCAAATTGTCAGCCAACACACTCATTTTTTAACTTCTCCTTTCTGCTGTTGAGCCATATAAATCCTTATTAGGCCTGTCACCACAACAGATTTTTGAAGCTACAGAGATATACTGTGATAAACAATAAAATCACAACTACTTTATGCTGCTGACAATAAAGCAGGACAATCCCTGTAAACACATTTGTAAATAGACAATATCTTTAAAGGTCTGCAACCCCACATGTAGTCATTAATGTAAGTATATACATTCAGTAAATTATTGATAATAGTTACATAATTTTGCTTTATAATGAGCAGGCCTTTTGATTTGAGAATATTAGAGTGGGTATTTTTAGTCTACTCTCCAATGCTGAAATGCCTTATTAACATTATGTAATCAACAAGTGCGATTACCATCTGTAATAGAAGCCTGTGTTTGTCCCTCTTTGCTTCCTGAGGCACCTCCATCTTTGTGTTGATCCTCGTCTGGCTCTTTATCTTCTGTCCCACCTGATACAATTACACAAGGAAAACCTACATTAAAACACGAAAGGTAGAGACGAGTCTGCAGCATGGTTAGTTATTGTGGCTAGTATAAATAGTCGTGTTATATTCTTGCACCCTTATCCTCACCGTTAAGCGCTGTGGATTTGCCGTCTGCCTCAGCCATCCTCTACGTGATTATGCTGCAGAGGGCAACCTGGAACAACCACAAAAAAAAACACCAGTTATTTATTTTTGATCCCCTTTGCCCCGTGCTAAAGTTGACAGACGATCAAATTGCTTGTGTCTGGCTTTTACGCACGAATTTCTGCTGGTTGGACTGCAGTGCCAATACTCCAGGCCGCATTTTGTTGTCTTTAAGCAATGCATATCAAACTATTTTCACTTTCACAACATGTCTATTCACTCTAGATTCAACTTAAGATATTTTACCTTCTTTGGCAACGCGTCTTTCTAATCGGTCCCCATTTTTCGAAGGGTGCTTTAAATTCGCACGTCCCGCACGCAAAAATACAGCTACACTTTATGTAATTGCGTTTATCCAGGCTGAGGTCGTGTCTAGCACATGCTACGCTAACATTTAACGAAACTAAACAGCTGTCACAAGAGTTTCGCCTGCTAGTTGTCAAAACGAAGTATGCAACTAGCAGTGCGCGGAGAGGGGCTAAGTAGCATTAGCATTGCAGTTAGGTTAACGCGCACTAGAATCAAGGCATTTGGTTCGAGTAGGCGTGGTTTAGTGGATATTTCTTGTGTTTTAATGCATATTTTAAAGTTTAAGTTCAAATAGAAGTGTAATTATAAAAGAAAAAGATATAGTTAAGAATTACTCAAAATGTACAGATTAAGGAACTTGGACTAAGATAAAATAAGATAAACTTGGGTGAGTTTATTGTAAATAGTGCTATTATCACTGCATTTAACTGACTTTCTTATTGATACCGCAAATAATTTAGTGTTATGATAAACTGACAATATAATTAACCCTTCCACTTGGTCATAAATTAAACTTGGCGTTTTATTTATGGTTTTTGGTGCGTTTTGGAGCGAGTGACGTCGCGCGTAAGACCCGCCCCCGAGCGAAATGCCTGGGATTTGGAGAGTTCCCTTACCTCTGCAAAGCGAAGGCCCGACAAAGCGCACTTCTGAGTTTAATCTTTCTCGCAGATTTCACTGTCCGCACACCGATCGTGCAAAACGGGCTAAGTGCCTCGAGTTTGAAGTCTCATGAGGAAAATACAAGACATGGGGGAGGCTTGCATAAAGCTAAACGAAAGGAAAACGGAGTAGGAGGCGAGCTAACTGCGTGTGCACAAGGCTGGCTGCTGCTTCTGCTGTTGTTGTGTTTATGTTTTGACGGTCCTCGGTTTCTTTTTTTGTCCGAAGCCATTTCCGGTGTCGTGCTCCCTTTGTTTTTATTGTCCCGGAAATGTGCTCACTGCTCACCATCACCAAAAAAGGCTAATTTATCCACAGAAAATCAATAAATGTACTTGTCAGTCATTGTGATGATGATCAAATTTAGTCGGTAGCCATCTTATACAAACTTACAATACATGGGACAAAATAGCCCACTTATAATAACACATTACACTATTTAAGTTCATATCTTGTAGAGCCACTGCTTTATTAATTTTTTATAATTGTATTACTGTTCTATAACATTGCAATTAAAGGGTCTTTTTAATGTTATGTTATAATGTTATTTCCTCATCAGAAACATACCTGGAGTTTTGTTTTGTTTCATTCACACTTTTAACACACAAACTTAAGCTGAGTTCTTCTCTCAAACAGAAAACTCTCTGTTCCATTTTGCGATGTCATGTGGTAATACAAGAAGTGCTGCACTGTGTTTTTAAACTCCGTACACCTGTCAGTCGTTCGCTAAAGGGACTGTGTCTTTCGGCTGGCCTGGGAACACCTTGGAGTCCCCCCGGAGAAGCTGGAGGAGGTGTCCAGGATGAAAGAAGTTTGGGAGTCCCTGTTACTGCCCCCATGACCCGGCCCCAAATAAGCAGAAGAAAATGGATGGATGGTCACCTTTCAGCCCTGGAATTGCCTATTTCTACTTAACTAATGTTAAAAACTTTGAAAAATACTACTACATGACATCATAAGGTGGAACAGAGTATTTGAGTTTTGGACATAGACTAATAAACCAGAATTACTCAACCATGTGTGAATGAAACAAAACACACCTCTGAGTATGTTTTTGAGGCTTTTAAAGCTCACAAAAATCTATTTTGTGTAATTTAGGACCTTTAACCATAAAACAATACTTTTCTTAGCTTTTCAGGTAGGAGAAGGATGTGGGTCACCAACTTTCACTGGTAAAACAGTGTTTGCTGAAACAACACACAACATGTTGGGAAACTTGAAGAGTATTGCCAGGTAAACTGTTCTATGTCACACAAAAAGGCCTATAAGATCTTGGATTTATGATGGTATCAGGATTTAGCAGAGCTGGCAGTGTGGGACAGAGGCGTGAGTCAACTTCCCACCCACAAGAATCTGTAAAGTGAAGCTAAAACATTTATTTTGAGGATAAGCACCAGATCTTTAAATATTGTTAATTAAGTCACTCAAGTCCAAGTTGATAGCTTTTAACTTTTCTGATGAAATTATTACAAATCTCTATGGGAACAAGCATGTGACACCAACCGGCCACATGCAGGTCAGATCTGCAGATAAGTTAAAATGCTTGTTTGGCAATAAAAACACCTGTAATTTAATAAATACAATAAGTGAGGTAGATAAATTTAGCTAAAGCAACCACTCTCCGCAGAGACAAGTGGGTGGCAGACAGATCCCATCACCAGAAAGAGTAACATAATGAACCTTTAAAGTTATTACTCAATTATGCTGTTTTCTGATCTATGTTATTATGTTGTTTCATCATCACAAGCATACCTGGAGTATTTTGTTTCATTCACATATATTTAACACACAAACCCTGCATATTTGGGCTGATTTCTTCTCTCAAGTGGAACACTCTGTACCACCTGATAATACAGGAAGCACTCTACATTGTTTTTAAACTCCATACACCTTCATTAGGGTCATCTGGTTAATTTCAGCCCGGGACTGGAATTTCCCATCTCTATTGAACTAAAGATAAAAGGAGCAATTAACTTGAAAACTACTGCTTCATGACATTATGACGTGAAATGGAGCATTTTGAGCTTTGGATATGTAGAAAGAATAATAATAAAGGATTACTCAAACATGTGTAAATAAAACAAAACACAACTCTAGGAATGTTTCTGATGAGGTAAGATAAAGAACTCATTTTCAAGTCCAACATGGTATTTACAGATTCCAGTGACACTTTTCCTGGGCTGGTGACAACAACTTTCCAGAGCAGTTTATCCCTCTGACTGTGTGGCTGGCATCCTGCAGTTTCCTTCCTGTGTTTATTTAGTGCAGGGCCATAATGATGATACTGATATACTCCAGTTCGTGCTCTCTGATTCAATTGGGTCCTCGTGCTGTCATATCTCTCACAGCAGCCAATTTATTTTCATAATTTTGATGTGATTGTTTTAATATGATTTGCAACAGACTGTGGCAGTAAAACGAGGTTGGCATGGACCTTTATTAAGTCATTTGACACAAGAAAAAAAAGTCTTTGCTGTATATGTATGTATGTATGTATGTATGTATGTATGTATGTATGTATGCAATATATTTAAAAAGTAGGACCCTGCTTATAGGTTAATATGTTTTAACTTATATCTTCTTGCTCCACAGTACAGTTGGTGAAGAAGTTAAAAATAACATTGCCTTTAAATTATAGACCTTTTAAAACATATAACACTATCCCACTGATGTTTGATAAAAATTACATTATGCTGCTTTTATAAGACACAATGTCAGGTCTGAATAAGGAAGGGGAAGTGGCCGGTGGGCGCTCACCACAGTCTGATCTGCGCCTGAGCTCAGACACAATCAGAGCGATGTGCGGATTGGACGCACGGACTGCGCGTTTGCTGCTAAAATGCCTGCACTTGCCTTTAGCCTTTAGCGTGTTTTTATTAACTTTTCCTGTCAGTTTGTGCGTATTTACGGTGTAACTATGGAGTACTGGAGACAATGCACGCTGTGGCTGATCAGCTGCAAGGTACTGCCGCCGAACCACCGGGTCACCGCGGACACGGCGCAGGTGTTTGACCTGGCTCAGGCGCTCCGGGACGGGGTACTGCTCTGCCAACTCCTCAACAACCTCCGGCCCAACTCCATCAACCTCAAGGACATCAACCTGCGCCCGCAAATGTCTCAGGTATCTACAGCATAATAACCAAATAACCATGGAAGTAAATGCAACTTGCAATTCCGATACGATCACTTAAAACGCGCGAACTTTTACTCACGTTAATTGAAAGCCCAACATATGTGCTTTTTTGTTATCTAAAGAGTTATCTAAAACATTTGCAGGCCAAGCTATAGCCTAATCCTAAATTATGTGGAGGACTCTGTGATCCATCTGGGAGACATATGATTTTATTTTTAACCCATTTCATTTCTGGAGTGAAGAAAAATAAGCATACAAAAGAATAACCAAATGCTTCAGGCACATACTGTATGTCTAAGCATGACCGAGCTTACGTGAAAGTTCTTCAGATAATGCTAATTTCAAACAACATTAATCTATTTGGCATAGTCACAAAAATATTGCACAGGACTATTACAACATTTTGGTCAAAGTAAATTGGTCTATTTTGAACAAAGTTTATTCCAGAGATGACATGTATCAGGTCCTTGATAGGCAGCTACATCAATTAGATCATAAACTATATGTCTAAGCGCATAGACTATGGATTTTATAGCCTTTTGGATTAAATACGGATGGAGTTTGTTAAATCCAGTGAAGAAATGGCCCGTCTTACCCATAATTCAGTGCGGCCACAGGAGAGGCCAGATAAAATCCTGGCTTTGATCCACCCATCAGTTTGGGAAGTCAGAGTATTTGAGCAGCAGCTTGTCGCTGGCTTGAGTTTGGGTTTAAATCCTAATAACTCTTAAACCATGGGTCTGTCTCACATTTTATGATATATTTAAACAGTAGAAAGAGGGATTTGATTAATATTTGCCCCAAACAGCCCAAAGGGAAGAATACAAATCTCTAATTCTATGCCACAGTAAAAGTAAGACCATCAGAAATATCCAATGAACACATTGCTTGTAAATTCTTAACTTCCACTTCTAATATCAGTCACATATTTTATTTTGTGATTGTTTTTTTTAGTTTACTTTATTTGTGGTTAAGGTATGCCTAAAATTGTCCCTGTAGGGTCATTTGCTCTGAACCACCCTAAAATGTACAAACATGTGTCTTAGCCAGCAGACTTATCTCCACAAACCTGACTCTTAGTCTTTCAGGGCCTCTACCTGCTTGTTTCCATGGAAATGTTATTCAGTTGGGTATAATATTAAACAGCATAGCATACAATCTATCTATATTATTGGAAAATGGTCTGAATTTTTAAAGATTTTAACTTTCTGTGTGCTTTCTGTGAACGACATGTCACCTGCAGAAAGTTATACAACTATATGAACAAAATGCCAAAGAATATAGTGCCATTTTATTGTATTTCAAATGTATCATGTGTGAAGAATAGATAAACGTGGGCAATATTAACTGAAATTAATCGCCTTTTTATTCATTTTTAGATTCTCGTAATACTTTTACCTTTCAGTTCATCACAAATGTGCTAAAATGTGCCAGTCAATTATCTTCACACATCCAATTAATAGAAAACTGCATGCTTTGGAGCACTTTTGCAGCTTCTTGACATGCTTTCGATACAACCATTTAAATTAATATTATCTTTAAAGACCCTATGACAGGTTGAACTGCTCATTTGACTAAAACAGATTTTAAAGGTAAAAAAATCATCACATTAACTTAACTGTCACTTAGCAACCAAGCTGTAAGTAAGCCAAAACTCCTCCAAAGAAATTATTATCTGAGAACTAAAATGTCGGAAAACATTTATTTATTATTAATAAATATTACTTTGTTTTGTTGAATTAATGTTTATTATATCAGAAAAAACATGTTTATTGTTAGTAAATTGTGCTGAACTTTGTATAGAATTGTCCCTAGCGTGTCGTCATTATGAAGAACTTTCTACTTCCTGCAATTTTCAACATATTTTTCAACTTTTCTTCTCAAATTGCTTCTTGACTGTTGTAAAAATAGTCATGCCCAACCTAGATACCATTTGCCAATTCCTGTGTTGCAAACTAGTCTTTATTACATCTTTCGGAATGGTTTGTAGAAAATTTTGCTGCTAACATTGAATTGTATTTTGTGGATTGTCTTTGGGTCCTCTCCAGCCCCTCTGCTCGTACAGGGACAGGGAACAGAGGAGCAGAGCCGGGGACAAAGCCTCTCGTGTCCTGCAGCTGTAGGTCAGGTCCAGACATAAGTGTGTCAGTGGGCTTCTCTTTATGCTGTCCTGTCTGAATGAGGTGAGCTGACCCCAGTCTTTTATACAGACCTGAGAGAGATGGAAAGCACTGGGGTGTGAGTAATATGCACAAAAGGGATATTTTTACGTTCAACTCTCTTCAAGATGTATGCAAGTGTTTCAAGAGAGGATAACAATTGGTAATGATTCTGTTTAAAGAGGGGGTATTTTACATCTGTGGGTTATTAACAGCTAACTTACGTGGCAAATTTAGATCACCATGTTACCGTTTATTGTTTTGAAAAGGCTATAATCTTCAAGAACAATGTATGAACATGTTTTATAAGTTTGACTTTTGTTTTTGGTGCTCTGAGTCCTCACTCCCCCTTCAGAGCACTATCACAAGACAATCAGTGTGTCCCGCTAATGAAACTGCACATTGCATCAGGTTTGTCAAGTTGCTGTGTACAATTTTCTTTCATGCTTTTGCAATTATGGAGCATTATCGTGTGGATGGATTGTCGGCTGACAGAATCTTATAGCTAACCATAAGGAGGGTTCAAATAGGGCCTGGGAGAGTTTGCTAAATTACTGAAACATGCATGGATGACATTTAAAATCTAAAACCTCTTTAGGCATGTTTTTGATGATATGGAATATAAAATAAAAGTGAAAAAATGCATAGCACACTCAGATGGCCAATGTCCAAAAGCTTTTATTTTTAAATAATGTTTTGGCAAAGAAAGCGTTTGTCAGATATTTTTCTTGCTTTGGACCACAGTATACAAAATGGTTGTCAGCCCAGGTGCTCATATCCCCCTCCAGCGAATGGGACGTCCCAAAGTTTAGATATTTAGATTAAAAACATTCTATTAATATTTAACCATATCACAAAAAAACATCTTCGGTCAAACTCTACATTCAGTCCGTGAGGAGCAAGAGTCTTAAGTTGGTGAATCCAGAAGTGTCATTTTGACAGGAGCATTTCCAGGTTCCCAACTCTAGGGGGCAGTTCTGCGTGTTCAATGCCAGTATATTTTAAGGAAAAGATAGGATGATTAAAATCTACAAAGTCAGCCGCCACAGGATAGTTCATGTTTTTACATCTGATTGTACTCCTGTATTCTACAGTACGTGTTTTCAAAGCCCTGATTGTTTTTCCCACGTAGGCTTTACCACAGGGGCACGTAATGGAATACAGAACCATAGTATACCAAGGTAGAAAGCTCAAAAAAACTATTTTGTATATTGCACCTTTAAAGTTATTTTTGTTTAGTGAAGGAAACAACAGGTTAAATAATTTCAGTGTTTGGGCAAAACAGCCTATGGTACAGCTACAAGATTAATCATAATCAAACTTGCAATTAAAATGTAATTTGCAGTTGACAAAATATCCTGTTGTTTAAACCTCTATAAGCAACTCTGGCATAAGAAGGCACAGGATTCTTCTATTAGATTTTCAAATTAAATTTAGATACCAAAGAATACACTCAGTACTTAGTACTGATTACGATACCACAGTGCTAATATAAACACTATTTATTTAGACAATCGAATGTCATTAAATTGTAGTACTGTGTATATCTGTGCAATCTCTCAGTCGTCTGTAGGTACCTTAATGGTCCATGGGTGTATACTAGTCTATGTGCTCTTATACTTGTTCTGATACAGCTCAAAATCTTTCTAAATTCTTAGTATTAATACTTGTTCAAATGATTATCTAGTTGCATTGCTAGTTTTAGAATAGATTAGTATATGATTTATGATACTTTTGACAACCCTAGAATGTAGTTAGTTTATAGTGGCTTTCTGTCGGCTGTAGTGAGTTCATTACAGGCGTCTCTATGATGGGTGACTGATAAAATACACTTTATCTTTCAAAATCTGCTTCTACTGCACATGTGGTGTACAGTGGGTGGTGTGCATCAGTGAAACATAGACTACAGGACTGGGTGATATGACTATAAACATTTAATCATGATCTGAGGTCTGTTAGAATATGCTGTTTTAGCGAAATTTTCTAATTGCAATTCTGTGGTTTATGTTTAATACAGGCTCAAACACAGACACTTTTCTCTACCCACTCGTCTGGCCTCTGTGATGTCAACCAATCACAGTAAAGTATAAACTTTTAGAAGAAGCAGACAGTTGTCATTAATATAGCATTTTCAAAACAATAAATGGAAACATGGTAATCTAAATATGAAGAAGTAAGAAGAAGTATAGAAATAAAATACCCTCTCTTTCCTAGTGATTTTCTGGCAATTTTAGTGCAAACTAGGTCTATTTCAAGATTAACAGAAAGTTACCCTTAAAGGTTGTATGGAGGATTTTTTTTGTTTCAAATTGTCAATGATAGCATTATAGAGGTGCAGTAGCCTTGTAATTATGATGACCAAAAAAAAGAGAATAAAAATTCATCAACTCTGGACGTGGTGGGGCCAGCTAAACATTTGCCAATAGATAACGACACTGCCTCGTTATCTGTTAGCTGACAGGCTGTCAATCAATCTCCCTACGTTTCTAGCGTAACTGACTTGCCTGCGCGCTGCCATTACGTGGTTTACGTACGACTGTCACACAGTCCACAGACGCAAGCCGCACAGACGCTGTTTACTCCACCAACGCAACAGTTCTTAGCGGCTTTTTTTGACCTATATCTTCCTCGCAGTTAGCACAAAGTTTGTTGCAATGGCGACAAGAAAAACGGACTTTCCGCAAAAGAAAGTCCGTTTTTGAGGTTGCTGAAAGAAGAAGACAAGGGGAAAAGCAGCGAAGCCAAACTAAGGTGATTCTTGTAGATTCATTCCAGCGATGGCGCGACTGAAGCAGACGAAGGGTCTAAAGACTGACGCATTGGTCGCCAAATTACTCCTGGACAGGTCACTTCTGCTTATTATGACAATGTACTTTATTTCCAAGAGCTAGAGACAAACGTTTTTCAGGACACGAAAGCGAAAGCGATATCCTATGTCTGAAAACGTAATTTTCAAGGCAAAGAAAGAGTCCGCTTGCTGCTGCGTGTTGTAGCTAGTTCATTCGCACTGAATCTCCGCGCACTCTTCTCTGCACCCCTTTCCTGCTCCTGTCCCCCCTGCCCGTTCCGCTCTTCCCCCTGCTCCTCACTTCTCCGGGCACGGAATCTCCGCGCACCGCTCCCTCCCCTCTCCTCTCTCCTCTCCCTGCTCCGCTCTTCTCCCTCCTCCTCACTTCTCGTCCGCGCACGAAATGTCCGCGCACCCGCTCCCCCCGCTCCTCACTTCTCCGCCTTGCCTAACCAACACTGTAGTTAGTTGTTTACAAGTCATGTGCAGCGCACCGGCTGTAAACAAACCTGTTTCTGGCGTAAGGCGGAGGCGTTTCTACGTAGGAGCTGTAGGGGAGGGGGGTGGTTTCACGCATGCGCAACATTTGAAAAAGGACAAACAGTCGCTGGATTTCTCGTTCCTTGGAAAATCCTCTATACAACCTTTAAGTACAAACCCGATTATCTTGCCTACTTTAACATTTTTCAGTAAGGGTAACTTTCTATTAAGATTACAAGTTTAACCCTCGTAGAGCACCTGTACTGCTATTTTTGACTTTGTTATGACCCAGTAAAGCGCTCTACCTCTTTTCTTCATCTAGGTCTATTTCAATTTCCAGTAGTTGGTGACATCACAAAACACTGCCCTGTTTGAAATGTGGTTGTGGAAGGAGTTTAAGTGTTTTAGGTGACATTATATAAGTACTTAGGGAACAGCAATTGTGATAGCTTTTTTCATATCACCCACCTCTACTGTAATTAGGGGTGTGCAAAAATATCAAAATATCAATATATCATATCGTTTAATGTGATGATACAGTATCGATATAGTGGGCTGCTGTATTGATATATCAGCAAGAGTATTTTTTGGTATATTTTACTAGATTATTTTGTTACAGTGCTACAGTTTTGTAGTTTGATTCATCAGTCGGTTTCACTTTCTGGAAACCGTCTGACCTCGCAGTGTTTGAATTTGTTCGCTCAACGGTAGGCAGGTACTTTTTATCATTTAATCATTTAATCTGCTATTTGGTTGTGTATTCTGTGTAATCGTCTAGTGTATTCTGATTCCTGACCTAGTTGCTGGAGAGAAATGAAACTGAGCGGAGACACTCGGTGGTGCCAGCCTGGCTAACAGTTTTGTTGCTTGTTTAGTGGCAGGAAACTTTTTTATGCAACAAATTTAACATATTCACTGTTTTGCATGTTTCATATTAACTTTGCACAAGAAGGTGTTTAACAGAGGCTTTTAGTATCTCAGCCATGATTTAGCCATTATTTTTTATTGAACCATATCAAATTGATTTGAAATATAATGTATCGAAACATAAGCTCACTGTATCGCAATATGTGTCATATCGTGGCCTATGTATCGGGGTATGTGTCGTATTGGAAGCTTCTTAATGATACCCAGCCATAACTATAAACCTTAAAAAAGTGTCTATTGAAATCTATTTATCTGTTAAAAAGGGGTATATTTTTCACATAAGAGCATGTATAAGGTCAAGTGTCATTAGAAAGTAGAACTGAAGGGCACAGGATATGGAAATGGTGTTTTTTTGCATTTTCAGATCAGTGTGTGTAAAGGGGGGTGACAGTATAGACCTCTGTCAGTGCAAGATTTTCATTGTTTAGTATTAAATGAACATTACCAGTTGTAGAGAGGAATGCTGTTTAACCTTTATTTCATTTGGAAAGTCCCACTGAGATGACTAATCTGCATTTCAAGGGTCGAGGCCAAGACAGCAGCATCGTTCTAGACAATCATAAGAAATGAATTACAAACCATCTCATTTCCAAACATTTTAGCATTAATGTAATCTTTTCTTTTAGTTTAATCTTTTATGTTAAGAAATTTGTACTTCTGGATTCTTGTTCCTTTATATTGTTCAATATAGTTCTGATATACTGATACCACTATAATAAAAATACTCTTTCTTTAGTGATTTTAAACATTAAATAATAATACTTTCTTTACCATGTGGTCTTATATCTGTGTAATCTCTCAGTCGTCCAGGTTGCTTCCATAGTGGTCCATGGGCGTATACTAGTCTATGTGATCATATAATTATTTTGATACAGCTCAAGATCATTCTAAACCTATTTAGGAAATGTTCATTTTTGTTCTGTGAATGTGATTTTTTAGTATTGAAACCTTCTTAAATGAGTATGTAGTTTCGATATTAGTTGTAATATTAATTAGTATGTGATTTTTTTTTTTTGCTTACAACCTAAAGTATGCACTGTACTGTAGATATTCTCATTTTACCCCAAATTACTTGTTGTAATGTGTTTTCTGCAGTTCCTGTGCCAGAAGAACATCCGCACCTTCTTGACCTGCTGCTGTGAAATCTTTGGGATGAAGAAATGTGACCTGTTTGATGCATTTGACCTTTTCGATGTTCGAGACTTTGGAAAGGTAAGCACACATTCATGAATAAATACCGACACAACCTCTTCTTAAATACTGTTAAAGGGTCAAATGTTGTAATTTCGATAAAGAATTGTTTTATTTTTCGTCAATATAAATGATTCAAATCGATTTCTTCATTTTCATATTTCTCAACTTAAAGCCTTTAGGCAGGATGTCACCATGAATGACAGTTAAAAGCAGTCTCTGGGCCAAATCAACAGATGTCAAACCAACACAAAATGCTTTCTGCTTTTCTGTTCATTGAAAAAATATTCGAATGTGAAGTGCTGATAACAATATCAAATGTTATGAAATAAAAATAAAAAAATATCCACTGGAAAATGGAAATGTAGATACTTAAAATAAATAATACATTTTACAAGTACAGTACTTTTACCTTTGTACTTAATTACTTTCCACCAGTGTACACAACACAAGTCATAACTATACTCTGTAGCATTCAGTCGAGTTAAGAAGGCCAGAACTGATGGTTAAATGACTTGATACATGGGTCACGATATCGATTCAATTTCGTTATGTTATGAGTCACAGAAAAAAGTATTCTATATGTGAACTCTTTGTCTAATTAATTCAGTGATTTTCAGATCAGAATATTTATTCAGTGAAAATAAGAAATGTGCTTTTTAAGGAGAACAGTTCTTCTTTCTTTTCTTTTCCTCCTGAGTGTGACACTCCTCTAACTACGTTCACATGCCTGTGTCCTTGCTGCATCCTCGTCTCCAGCAGCAGAGACAGACAGTATCTCTTCCCACACTCCAGTCTATGTTCTTACAGACACACACAACGCTCACATATCATCTTCCTTAACACTCAAACTATGTTATAGTGCAGAGAAATGCCACAACAGACAGTTTTTTGCTTAAAACTTATGAGATAAAGTCTGAGAAATATTTGCGAGTCGCATCGCGTGTGCATTTACAAGCGCATCTGATTATTGCCAATGTAAAGCCAAAAGTGATTCTAGATTATTTAAAAGTTCATATTTTTGTCTTTCTTGGGTCTATCAATGTAAAATAAAAAGTGACTTAAAGATAAAACCCACCTATGTTAGAATATTTCAGCTAAAAGCCTTTTTGGAGCTGTTTACTCAGAAACAACATAATAGTTAATAGTTTTACTGCCCTGCTCTCCTTAAAAACAAATGAACAATTTGGTCATTAAGTGTCAGTATCGCGTGCCTCCATAAGTAATGTCAAGGTACACACAGTGTGTACTCAAAGTGCCTACAGGCGTACCCCTGCAGACGCCACTAACTCAGTGCATCTAGAGAGGACATTACTTGTTACCCTTCTGGACCAAAATAAACGCAGCGTGCATGGAGGGACATGTGTGTATCGTGGGAACACATGTATTGAATCGTCACACCCTTAACAAATTATTCGATATTATATTGAATATTTTTGCGTCCCTTTTGTTAACTACTAACACATATTTACACCACCATGTTACCTTTTATTATTTGAAAATACTTTATTTTCCAAAAACAAAGTATTAACATGTTTAATAGGTTTCACTTTCATTCTTGACGATCTGAGTTCTTTGCTCTCCATGCTAAGTCACTCTTTCTTCAGAGTGCTATCATCTTACAATGTTTGCATTCTGCTAATGAAACTACAGCACATCAGGTTTGTGAAATTATAGTATATTGTTTTGAATAGGGCCTAGGAGAGATCGTGCAAACACGCATGGATGACATCTAAAACCTTTTCAGGCATAACATGGCAGAAAGCTCCAAAAAGTCAACTTTGCATAATAGCTCCTGTTTAACACACATGCCTCACAGAAAGATCAGTGCTTGTTTTACTACAATTAGCATGCCCCCTGTGTCACTGTGAGTTGTGTACAATTCCCACGTTATAATATGCTGAAAGCAAATAACTCATGAATGAACGTGTAACAGAATACTCAACAAGTTTGTGTCCCTGTTACAGCAAAGTGCAACAGCATACAGCATAAAGCAACTTAGTACAATGGTTGCAGGGAAGAGTTTTATTATGTTGTTTGAACAGTTTTTAAAGTTGATGAGCTTTAAACCTTATGTATGTCAAAGTTTTATAAAGACTATTGCATTTTTCCTGTTGATAAACACATAACTGTTTATGCCATTACCTGTAACCTCCTCCATTTGGTGCGCTACAAGAGACTTGGTTCTTTTATATTGCCTTGCTCACTGAGCGTTAGTGTTAGCAGGAGGCGAGTGGGGCTGTGAACTGCTTTTTTCTGTGGTCTGCGTTTTTTATCATTGAAAGCAACAAATCGGACCCAGGTATTTCCCACTCTTTTAGGCTTTCAAGTTTCAGGAAATGTATGTTATTTGACCTTTACGTGGTTTGAAGTTTGAAATGGGACTTTTAGATACATGGATTGGTTATGGTTATGTGCACTTTTCTCAAAAAGCCTTACTATGAAGATCTTTTTGACAAATAATTATAGATTTGTCTATATAATATCTCAGTTGTCCAGGTGGAATTTATAACAACAGGTTAGACTTTGGAGTTTTTAGTGTTGCAGAGTAGAATAAACTAAACTAATCACTTGAAAATATGCCAATAATCCAAAACAAATTTAACTTTGAGTCTCCCGTCCCTTTGCTTGTGTTAAGTAATTTCCCTTTCAGAGCACTATCACAACACAATCAATATGCATCCTCCCAATAACCGCACATCACATCAGGTTTGTCAAGTTGTTATGTGCAGTTTTGTATCGTGTGCCAGGTACTGCAGCACACCGGATTAACTCTACTGGGAGTCTATTTTTGCCTGACACCAGAGCCGACCGCAAGCCTTTTCCCTTAATAAATTAAAAGTTCTGGGGTGAACACGTGGTCTTGTGCTTCAAAGGCAGTGACACAACAGCACACCAAAGCCCTGAGTGTGAGTGTCAGACAACAAAACCACTCCCACACGAGTCACAGCTGGACCGGGTGCAGTCTGAGTGAGGAGTAAGATTCATACAGCATTTTTGTGAAGTAATCTCTTAATAATTATGAAGTAAACATTTGTGGTTTATAAATTTGGATATTTCTTGCATAAACATGAATCTCCATGAAGATAAACAGGCCCCTGCCCTCCATCTGTAATTATGATATTAACAAATTGTAGAACATGATCAGAACCTTTAAATTAATTATGTATTTAGTAAGGAAAATGAAAAATAAAACATGGGTGATTGAACACTCTTATCTGCTCAGTGAGGCCACATTTCTCAGCCTTCAATTTTTTGCTTTAAAGATGCAATTCCTCTTAATCTGATGCTCATAATCCCAACTGGGGGTCCATGGCTGCAAATATGAACACTGCAACTAAACCTAAATCTTAGTATGTAATTTCCGTCTCCACACGAGCCGCTGATGGTGGTGTTTCACATTTCAGGTTAAAAATGAGAATCTACAGGTTCAGTGCAGTTGGATGGTCTCCAGACATGCTTGTTTGGCCTGGTTAGAAAAGCACAATCTCCTTCAGAAACATCACCAATCTGAGCCAAACTCTTAATCCTCTTGAGTCATGCCAAAGAGACTGGACCAACCCAAATTCCATGAAACACTTAAAGTAGTAGTAGTAGTTTATTTGGTCATTTTGTAGCACTACAAAACAAAAAACAGACTACAACCTCGTGAATCATGACCAAAAGGTTTAGGCTGAACTATAAAGTACTTATAATGCCAAACCCTTTTAAACAATAACCAAATTCCGAGAAAGAAAGCAGCACATGAACAGCAAGTTTGCATTTACAATTTCACTTACGACTTACTGTATATGTAAGAGAAAATATACATTAAAAGCAAAATTTCTACAGTGTTAGACTTTTAAAAATCATCACTCAGATTGACCCGTATACTAATCCTTCTAAAAGAAATACAGTCACTGTTTTTCTTAGTTCTTATCATCATTTTCTTAAAGGTGCCATTTTTTTTGTTTGTTTATGGTTGTACAAATTAGGGAATAGTAGTAGTATCAAAGTAGTAGTATCAAATAATAGAACATTCTGATGTCATGTAGTGATAGTTTTCAAGTTAACCACTACCTTCCTTTAGTTCAGTAGAAATATGCTATTCTACGTCTGAAATCATCCACATGGTTTTAGTGAAGGTGTGTGGAGTTTAAAAACACAGTGGAGCACTTCATGTATTACCACATGACATCACAAGGTGGAACAGAGTGTTTGAGAGAAGAATTCTGCTAAATGTTCAGGGTGTGTGTGAACTAGTATTATAATGAAAGTATAATGATGTATTTTAATAGTTTCTCAAAAATTGCTGTTATAGTATCAGCATGATGCAAGGTAGTAGAAAAAGATGTATTTATTACTTTTTTTTACACCTCTGTGTGGACCTCAATGTGGTTTTCAGTTCAGTCACAGGCCACTTCATAGCACTGAAACCCAACTACCCAAGATCTTCCTGTAAACATTTACAGCAGGGGTGTCAAACTCAAATTCACAGAGGGTCAAAATGAACTGGGATTAAGTCATGGGCCAAACTAAATATTTATTGAAAAATTTTAATAACATCTGCATTTTTTCTCTTCTTTCGAGATATGTAATATTAATTATAATTATTTTCTTTTTAAAATAAATGTTTAATAATAATTTTGCTTAAATATTGAATCCAAAACAATCACAATATAAAATAATAACACATTTTTAAATAAATAATGTCTCTATAGCCTATCTGTAGCTGGCGGGCCAGCGCTAATACATAAATCTCGTGGGCTAAATATAATTATATCATGGGGCAAATTTGGCCCCCGGTACAGAGTTTGGCATGACTGCTTTACAGCATGTCTCTTCATTTTTCACTTATTTTTTATTTAATTTTTTTTTTTTTTACATCTGAGCGTGTTTCACTGTATTCATCTCATAGGTTTTACTTCGCAGGATATGAGCAGAAGGCATTTTCTTTTGTTTTTTTTGTTTTTTTGTGCAAAACCACAGAATGTTTTCAGACAGGAAGAGGTGAGGAGCTATATGTGTGGCTGTACGTTTTGAGACCACAAGCTCATGGTGAAAAACATTTGTGTATTTGTATGAAGATGCAAGATAAACTGCCCAGTCACTTTCATATCATAACTCACTGCATGTATGGTATGGTATTTATCTACTTTTATTTATTCAGTTCAACATATATTTTATTACTCAAAAATACCTTGAAAAACTACAAGTGGGTTCACCTCTCCATAGATCTGACCTGTGGATATTGATTGGGGTGAGTAGCTAAGCTGGCAGAGCATTTGTCCACTGATCTGAAGGTTGGCACAGGCTGGCGGTGAAATTCCAGCTCCCAAAGATAAATGCTGTTGTTGTCTCCTTGGGCAAGACACTTAACCCACCTTCCCCCCAGGGTCTGCGTATAATGATGTATGAGTGAGTGTGTGAAGCGCATTGATAGGTTTAATGTCATACTGTGAAACATTTGGGCAAACAATGACACACCCATGGAGACAAATAGGTGACAGACCCTCCACCTGAAAAGTTACATATTGCACCTTTAATTAATTTGCACCATAATTAATTTGAGTGATTTTTTGTGTTATTTCTTGTGTTGACGATTGTGCTCAAATCTGAATCTCATATATTTTCTGTTTCTCCAGGTTATGGACACTCTTTCAAAACTGTCCTACACTGCCATTGCACAACATAAAGGATTCAAGTAAGTCCTCTTTTACCATACAACGATTACTTATAAGTTACATTTTGTCATGTTCTGTATTGAGAAAAGAACTTATTTCAAAAAATTCAAATTTTACAATGCATCTGTTCTGGCAGGAGATTCGTTACCTATTTTTATTTATTTATTTATTTATTTTAAATAATAATAATGCCTTGCTTTGATGACACTTTCATGCTAGGCAATGTGGGTGAAGTGTCTTACACAAAAAATACACTAAAAACATGCATTCTTACTGTGAACCTCTCCACAGATCTGATTTGTAACTTGATCTTGGTATTCTGTAAGTTTCCATGAAGATAGATCAGTTTAATGCCATACTGTAGAACATTTCAGGCTCACTGAACAGTGGACACTAGGGCTGGGTATCATTAATAAATTGACAACATGATACATACCGCGATACGATACATATCTCAATAGAGTGAGCTTTCTATTCGATACGATTTGATACGATGTATTTCAAATCGATTGAATACGGTTCAGTAAAAAATAAAGCCTAAATCATGGCTATGATTCTAAAAATCTTTGTTAAACCACTTATTATGTAAAGTTAATATGAGACACACACATTTAATTCATCAAAACAGTGAAGATGTGAAATGTGTCACAAAAAAGTTTCCTTCTTCCAACAATCAACAAAACTGTACCACTAACAAAATAATTTAAATATACCAAAAAATACTCTTTTCGATATATTGATAAACAATACGATATATCGATATTTTGATATTTTTGCACACCCCTAGTGGGCACACCTGAAAAGTTACATGTTGTATCTTGTTTTACTGTCGTACATCACACATTACATGTTGTCGTACTCTGATATTACAATCATATTATCCATTTTGATGCATCGTTTAGTGCTTTATCACGTTACGTTTGCAGTTTTGAATAATGGACTCAGACACATCAAATCAATAACATCTGCAGCCTTTTACCATCTCAAAAACAGCAAAAATCAAAGGTTTACTGTCTAAAACAGACTTGGAGAGACTTATCCATGCGTTTGTCTCCAGTAGGTTAGACTACTGTAATGTTCTGCTCACTGGTCTCTCCAAACGAGCTGAGTGAGCTGCAGTACATGCAGAACGCTGCAGCTCGGGTCCTGACTTGAAATAGGAAGTACAAGCACATAAGTCCTGTGCTCAGGTCTCTGCATTGACTTCCTGTGGCTCAGAGAATAGACTTTGAAGCAGCTCTGCTTGTGTACAAGTCTCTTCATGGCCGAGCACCAAAGTACATCTGTGACATGTTAGTGTCATATGAACCATCTCGCACTCTGAGGAGCTCAGGGACCGGCCTCCTGCTGGTGCCCAGAGTCAGGACTAAACACGAGGAGTCAGTGTTTCAGGTTCACGCAGCTAAAACCTGGAACAGTCTGAACATGTGAGACAGGCCTTTACTTTGACGGTGTTTAAATCCAGGCTCAAAACGGTTTTGTTTAGCTGTGCATACGACTGAAAGGTTTTCACTCCTCACTCTTCTCTCTAATTTATGTAATTAATGTCCCTCTCTCTTTTTAACTTTTTAACTTAGTCTTTAATTTTATGATGATTATTTATGTTTTGATTTGTTTTTATTGTGATTTTAATGTTTTTCTTATTCTTTAAAGCACTTTGAATTATTTTGTGTATGAATTGTGCTATACAAATAAACTTGCCTTGCCTTGCCACTTTTGTCATTCTGTTTTTCTCTCTAATTGCAGACCTTTTCCCACTGAGGAAAGCCTAAAAGATGAGGACATTTACAACAATCTGGAGGACATGATTGAGTACGTGTGAGCCTCCTCCCTGTGCGGCCATTATACTCTTAATAGGAAATGATTATTTAGCACAGGAGTCACTCACCAGGGCTTTAAACAGCCACATGTTTTGGCAAAAGACACTGACGACAAAAACACAGTTATTTTGTAGTAAATGTTAAGTGTATGCAAACCGCCCTCATCAAGGTTAGGGCTCATGTTACACTATTTTCTGATCTATGTTATAATGTTGTTTCCTCATTAAAAGCACACCTGGAGTTGTGTTTTGTTTCATCCACACATGTTTAACACACAAACCTTTAAAGTATAAAGCATGATCAGATCTATAGCGAGGGCAATAAAATGTATTCTGCAGTTTTAAAGATGCTATATTATACAAAACTGATTCTTGTGAGCTTTTAGACATAATAATAATAATAATAATAATATAATCCTGCATATTTAGGCTGTGTCCTTCTCTCATACAGAAAACACTTTGTGACGTCATGTAGTAATACAGTAATTGTGCTCCACTGTGTTTTTAAACACCATACACCTTCACTAGACTTTTTTGGATATTTTCACCCCGGGAATTTCCAATCTCTACTAAACAAAAACTAAGAGGTAGCCGTTAACTTGAAAACTACCGCTTCATAACATCACAAGGTGGAACAGAGCATTTTGAGCTTTGGATGTGTAGACAGACTAATGATAAAGGGTTACTCAAATATCTATACATGCAAACACAACTACAGGTATGTTTTGGATGGGGTAACAACTTTCTAACATGGATTAAAACTCATAAAAGTGAATTTTGTGTAATATAGAATCATAAAGTTATGTAGTATGTTGAAGACACATGTTCAAAATAAACTAATAAATATTGCTACTACTTATGTTTTATGTTGCAGTGAGAATGTCCCAGAGGATGAAGATGACCTGTACTCAGCGGTCTATAACCTTGAGGAAGACTACGCAGGAGAAGAAATCTATGAAGATCTCATGAGGACTGATCTGCAGCCTCCTCTGGTACAGCTGTCAATCACAAACAGTCTCTAGGATTTCACTATTTTTACACAATAGCAAAGGACAAATGGCAATAATGAGATTTACACATTTTGTTTCTTAAAATGTGTGAAATGTTCAAAGAATTACATTAGAGGTTCCTAATTTAGCCTAGTTTTAATTCTTAAGGCTTTAGGGCTGTAGCCATATTGAATTTCCATAAATATCAATAAAGTATCTATCTATTTTGTTGTTTAGTCGATAAATTGATTAATCGGTTGATGGTGTCTTCGTTGACCAACATTATTTTATTTTGATTATAAGGATTTATATGTGAGAAAAGCTGAAAGGAGAAGTTATTTTAAAAAAAAGACAGATTCAACTCATGATTCACAAGATGAATCTGTCTTCATAAAATTGTTTCCTAGTGCTTTTTTCTGCATGCATCATGAATTTCCGTCAGGGCCAGGTCATGTATGTACAAGACAAATTAAATTCTTGCCCACCCATTCAAATCTACCACCTACACTAAAATGTTCAGTCTGCCCACCCAAATTCAGCAGCTGCAGTCCTATGAGTGCCGTTTGAGTCAGATACATAAAAATGCGTCATAGTTTTGAGAGCTTTTGCTATGCCCCTTTTATTTGAATAATCGACAGGCAGCAGGACATGTCTTTAATTTTACACACAGTTTTACACAGTTATTCAACAATTTTACTGAATATTGAAATTTTAGAAGAACTTGAGGAAACTTGGGAAAAGAAAGTGATGTGCAGTATAGATTGTAAGTTATATATAGTCAATTTTGACATTTATCTGCAATCATGCTGCTAATTTTAAAAGCAATCTGAATATTTGAACAGAAAGTCAGAGAAAATGTTATATAGGCTTAACCGTCTCTATGTAAATGTATCTGTAGTGTGTAAACAGTTTTGTTGAAGCAGGTAGAAGTGGATGTGCGGAGCTGCTGTCTGTCTGAGATCAAACAGACTGAAGAAAAGTACACAGAAACACTGGAGTCTATAGAGAAGGTATTAAATGTATTACTATAACTGTATATTCCTTTTGTCGCTCCACAGTCTCGCCCACTTTATAACCCACTGATGTGCCAGAAATAAACTTCACATTTCTTTTTCTCATCAAAAACTTACCTGGAGTTGTGTTTTGTTTTATTCACACATGTTTTACACACAAACCCTGCATATTTAGGTTGAGTTCTTTTCTCAGACTGAAAACACACTGATCCACCTTGTAAATCATTTGCATAATTTCAGTCCTGGAATTGCCAATTTCTACTAAACTAAAGGTAAAAGGTAGCTGTTCACTACCACTGCATGACATCACAAGGTGGAACAGAGTATTTTGAGCTTTGGAGATGTAGACAAACTAATAAAGGATTACTCAAACATGTATGAATGACACAACTCCAGGGATGTTTTTGATGAGGTAATAGCATTATAATTTGCTAAAAGCTCCTAAGAGTCACTTTTGCATAATATATGACCTTTAAAGACACAATTAAGTCTAACAAGCTAGGTGCTAACTAAAATGTGAGGTTTATACTGTTATAATGTTTCAACAGATTTTTAAATGGTAAATATTTGGTTTACGTAACAAATTTCTGATCTTTACAGTATTTCCTGAATCCTCTGAGAAGATTCTTTACTCCAAATGAGATGGACAAAATTTTCCTGAACATTCCTGTAAGTTTAAACTACCTTTTTAAATCCACAAACATTTGTTAGAACTGACTGCAAACACTCACTTGTGTCTATTCTACGTTTTATGCAGGACCTGGTTAGACTACACAAGAGCCTGGTGGTTGAAGTTCAAGATTCAATACTCTTCAAAAATGCCTTAAATCTCTATGAGATTTTCATCAGCTACAAAGAAAGGTATCAGTATGAACTTTTTTATTGGTTTGATTTCATTAAGCATCTGTGTTAACATATTACTTGTGAGGTGACTGTTAATAAAATAATTACAGTCAGAATCATACACAGAGTTAACTGCTTATTGTGAATGTTGAAAACTGTACAACCCAATATTATAGTATTTGTTTGCTACCATATAGGTTCAGAGGTGGATAGAGGAGCCAAAAATTGTACTCAAGTTAGAGTAATGTCACTTCAAAGTAATTTTACTCAAGTGGAAGTACAAAGTAGTGGTCCAAGAAGTCACTCAAGTAAAAGTGAATGTACTCAGGACGTCTGATCTGTAATTTCTAAAAAAAAAAAAAAAAAAAAAAAATATATAATATATATATATATATATATATATATATATATATATATATATATATATATATATATATATATATATATATATATATATATATATATATGAAGGAGCCGTGCAAGAAACACACATGTTCAAATAATTTCATATTGGTAACATAAAGTTTTTGTCACTTGTACACTTACTCACAGCTGGAAAAGTCTGCCAAAACATTTACTCAAGTAAGAGTACTGTAAGACTCTCAAATATATTACTCAAGTAGCATTCTGATAGAAATTTACTCTGAAAAGTTTTTTTTTTTTAAAGTTACTCAAGTAAATGTAACTAAATACTACCAACCCCTTTTTAGATTAGTACTAAAACAGGGTTGTGAATATGTGTGTTTCTTTATGATACTTTTACTATTCAGAGAAGTACAAAGTAATGACAGGAATTAAGTCTGTAGTAATTTCAAATCATATATTGTGGGGGAAATTATCAAATTGATCCTACATATCAGCCCAAAAATATCAGCAATGCTTTTTGGCCACCTGCTTGATCTCTGCGTCTCTCTGATGTAAAGGCTGCTCATATACGGGATCTACTGCAGTCGAGTGGAGATCGCGATTGCTGCGTTGGACCTGATCTGCAAAGAGAAAGAAGACATCCGCTTGAAACTGGAGGTTAGATAAACAAAACGCAGGTTATGATACACTCAAATCTAGGCCTGAACTATAGTGAACACTCTGCTACTTAATTAAAGGTTTTTAGCTAACTTATGTTTTTTAAGAGCACTATAAACTCAGTGTCCATGTTATTAATACATCTCCACGAAGTTCACAGCACCCTTTTACCTTTTGTTTAGTCGAGACTGGAAATTCCAAGGCTGAAATGATCAAAATGATTCTAGTGAATGTGAATGGAGTTTAAAATACAGTGAACATATTTAGGAGTTCCTCTCTCAAACTGAAAAATCTGAGAGAAGAAATCAATCTAAATATGCAGGGTTTGTGTTAAACATGTGAAAAATGAAACAAAATGCAACTCCGGGTATATTTTAGATAAAGAAACAATGCGTAATATAATTTAATAGCCTTTAATAACCACTATTGCTTTAGTTGCATCTGTCTATCTATAATTTGAAGTTTTAGTTAATATGTTATTGTGGAAATTACAACATTTATTGGTTGTTATCTATAATTTTTCATTTAATTAAACTGTCTTTTTTATCCAGGAATGTGCCAAAAGGGCCAACAATGGGAAGTTCACATTGAGAGATTTATTGGTGGTGCCGATGCAAAGAGTTTTAAAATACCATCTTCTTCTGCAGGTAAAATAAATGAATACATAAATAAACATTTAGCAGATTGAGCACACATCTGAACACACAAAAAAACTTGAGCAACCCTCATAAAAGAAAAGCAAAGAAAAGTTTGCATATCATATTTTTCAAAATGACCTCAGTAAATGAAAGTGACTTGCCAGAGTTATGGTATAGTTGTAATGTTTTTTGTGGATAATTTGATATAAAATAGCCATAACCATAACACAATTTTGACAAAACATATTGAAGTTTTTTAATTTTTTTTTATATCTAGTTCCAAGTCTGATTGATTCAAATCAGAGGTGATATGGTCTAGATAAAAATAATAATATGGCCACCAAACTATCATGCAGCCTCACATAGAACAGAATAGAAAACGTAAATACAATGTGTAGTCTAATACATTTTATAAGGGCTGCATGATATGCTGTATTGTGAACATACTGTCGTCACATCAATATTTTAATATACATTTTGACACAGTAAGTTAGGCAGAATTAAAACAAAAACTTATGCCAAGACCAAACTGAGTTAAAGGAGTATGCATTTCTTTTCAAATGGGGAACTCTGTATTGCATTTCTGTTTTTGTAAGTATTGATTATTTGCTGATTAACTGTTCAACTAAGTATAAATAAAATAATACTAGTATATTATTGATTTAACACTAAAATGCATCACTGTCCATCTGGTAGGGTCAGGCTTTGATCAGTGTTTAAGATAATCTACATTCATGTGTGTTGAAAATATGGGTGTTGTACAGTATGTGCGTACAGTATACTCATAGTACTAATCCTACATATTGCTAATGTTTTTATTTGGATTCTATTAGTGATTTGTCAGTTGCATATCCTATCATTGGCTTTAAAATAACTACATTTTGGTGACTGATGCTACTTCATTTTGACATCATTGGTAGTGAGTGCCAAAGGGTTGTGTGTGTTTAGTATTTCCATATTTCCACATGCACATAATAATATTTAGAATTTAAGAAAGAAGGTTACCCTCTAAATTTAAGATTCTTCCTCTTCACCTGCAGTGTCTCGCCTTGAATATCAGGGACAAACTGAGCTTAATGTTTTATTAAAATAAGCCAGACTTTTCATGCAATTCAAGTCCACAGTTCAAAATGGTTCATGTTGATGTGCATAGTTGGCCACATGAGGGCGCTGTTCTCCACGTATTGTCAGCAGCTCATGCAGCTAGACTTTATGACATTATTTACCATTCAGAATTGGTTATATCAGCCAACCTCACATAAGCATTTTTCATTTACTGCTTTCATCAAATTGAGTTAACACTATGCAATACAGAATAGACATGTTTTACTTTCTTTCATCAACAGTTTAGTAGTTTTATATTTTAAATAATTTTATCACTGAATAGTATCACAGTACAAAATGTCTGATGATGACATGATTTTCATACTAAGGAGTAGACTGGATACTCAATGCAGACACCACAATGACAGTTGATTGTCAATATTAAATTGTAGTACTTTCCTTTATATTACCATGTGGTCTTATATCTGTTTACTCTCTCATTTGTTCAGGTTGGCGCTATAGTGGTCCATGGGCGTATACTCATCTATGTGCTTTTATTCTTGTTCTGATACAGCTCAAGATCATTCTAAAACTATTCAGAAAAGGCTCATTTCTGTCTTGTGAATCTGACTTTTTCAGTATCAATACCTGCTAAAAATGAGTATCCAGTTTCGATACTAGTTATAGTATTCATTAGGATCTGATTTTCAATACTTGTGACACCCTACAATATGTTGATTTTCTAATAATCTTGAAGTTAGAAGCTGTTAGAAATGTATTGATATAAAAGACGTACTCCTCTAGCTCTGTCTAATGTGATTTTAATCCTTTTAATCCAAGTGGGGTAAATATGTCCATGCTGCTCCAGTAACATGTCCATATGTTTAAACACTGAACAGACAGGTGCATGATGAGTGGAATGAGAAAGAATGTTTGCTGTCTCTTTCTTTCCTCTCTTCTTCTCTTTTCTCTCTCTCAGTCTCCATCACCTTCTCTCTCTCCCCTGCTCTCTTTCTTCTCTCACCCACCCTCCACTGTCCCCGTCTCTTGCATGATGAGTATAATGGTAAATGGAAATGTTTTTTTTTTCTCGCTATCTCTCTCTTTCCTTCTTCCTCTCCTTTATCCCTCTCTTTTGCTCAGTCTCTTTCCTCTCTGTCTCTGTGTAACCCTCTCACTCCTCCTCGCGTCATCCCGCTTTTTTCACTCTCTCCCTCTTCCTCCTCTGTCTCTCCCTATTTCACCTCCTCCCTCCTCACTCCCTCTCACTCCCTCTCACTCCCTCTCTCTCTCTCTCTCGCTCTGTCTCTCCCTCTTTCACCTCCTCCCTTCATCCCTTCCTCTCACTCTGTCTCTCCCTCATTCACCTCCTCCCTCTCTGTCTCTCTTTCTCTCTGTCTCTCCCTCTTTCACTTCCTCCCTCTCTGTCTCTCTCTCTCTGTCTCTCCCTCTTTCACCTCCTCCCTCTCACTCTTTCTCTCTCTGTTCCATGACCTTCTCTCTCTCTCCTCCTCTCCCTCTTTCTTCTCTCACCCTCCCTCCACTGTCACTTGCACAATGAATATAATCGTAAAATGGAAATGTTTGTCCGCTACCTCCTTCTCTCTTTCTTTCTTCCTCTTCTCTATCCCTCTCTTCTGCTCACTCACTCTCTCCTCTCCCTGTGTAACCCTCTCACTCCTCCTCGCTTCATCCCTTCCTCTTTCACTCCCCCCCTCACTTTTATCACTCTCTCTCTTTTACCTCCTCCTCTCTCTCTCCCCTCCTTTCATTCCTCCCTCTCACCCCACCCTCTCTCCTCTCTCTATCTCCTTCACCTTCTCTCTCTTTCCTTTCTCTCTTTCTTCTCTCACCCTCCCTCAACTATCCCCCTCTCTTGCATGATGAGTATAATCATAAAATGGAAATGTTTGTCTGCTACCTCCCTCTCTCTTTCCTTCTTCCTCTTCTCTAGCCCTCTCTTTTGCTCACTCTCTCTCCTCTCTGTCTCTGTGTAACCCTCTCACTCCTCCTCACTCCGTCCCTTCCTCTTTCACTCCCTCCCTCTCATCACTTTCATCACTCTCCGTCTCTCTTTTACCTCCTCCCTCTCATTCTCTCTTTCACCCTCTCACTCTTCCCTCTCTCTTCTCTCTATCTCCATCACCTTCTCTCTCTGCTCCATCTCTCTTTCTTCTCTCTTCCTCCCTCCACTATCCCCCTCTCTTGCATGATGAGTATAATGGTTCAATGAAAATGTTTGTCTGCTCCTCTCTTCCGTCCCCCCGTCTCTACCTCTCCTTCTCTGTCTCTCACTCTATCCTTCCCTCTCTCTTCTCCAACTTCCTCTCACTCCTTCTCCCTCTTTCTCCCTCTCTGTCTTCCTCCTCTTCACTTTCCCTCGCCTCCTCCACCCCTCCTCTACCCTCTCTCCCTTTCTCCATCTTTCCTTATATCTCTTTCTGTCGCTCTCTCCCCTCTCTCCCTTCCTCTTTTTCTCCATCTCTTCCATTCTCACTCTCCCTCTCTATCCTCTTCTCCTTCCCTTCTCCCTCTACTTCCTCCTCTCCCTCCCCTCTTCCCTCTCTTTGTCTTCCTCTCCTTCCCTCCCTCTTTACCCTCAAACCCCTCTCTTCTCTTCTCTCCCTCCTTCCCTCGTTCTTTCTACCTCTCTTCTACCGTGCGCTTCATAATTAAAACCACGCAGACCTCTGGAGACTGGACAGATTTCATCAACAGATTGGCGCCTGTGTGCACGTTACACTTCAAACAATAGCGTCTGCAAACTTGATTAATCCAATAGACGTGCGCGCCATCCATTTTCCATTTCTCAAAAGCAAATACTTTCTTTTAGTTTTGTTTAAAGTTTTTTTGGATCGTCTGAGCGGCAGTGACTCGGGGGGGTTGAGAGGTTGCCCCGTAACAAAAGTTTTGCATTTCAAAAATCTCCTACAGCGAGATCATCTTGTTGCTGTGTCATGAAAGAGAAAGATTAAATTTGCTAGAAGTTGAGCTCCTATTTGTTCAATGTTTTACTGTTTAAAGGGGCACTATGTAACTTTTCTGGTGCTTGTTTCCATGACGAGGTTGTTGCTTTCTATGGAATGTTCCTCAGTATGCATTTATTTATTTAGCATCCATCTTTATTCAACCACAGGGGTGTTTATGTGAAAAATAGTACTAATAAAAATGGTTTAGGTATGATCAAAAATGTTTACCAGGCAACTTGATCGATGATTCAAACAATGGGAATTAAAAGGGATAAATGCAGTCTGTACTGCTAATGAGTTTTCAACAACTAAAGGAGAAATTTGATTTGGAAGATAAAGACTTTTTTTTAGATATTTGCAAGTGAGAGATTACTACACAAAACAAAGTAGACCTGATTTATGTGAGGACACACTAGGTGTAATTGGGGTAGTTGAATTATTCATACGAACAAAAAAAATATAAAAGGCATTTCAGCTTTCTACAACTCTCTGGGGGAATGTAGAGAAGAAACAACTCTATACCTAAAAAGGAAATGGGAAACAGAGTTGTCAGTTAATGTAACAGATGCAGAATGGTTTTAGATGTGTGAAATACACCGTAGTACAACTAATTCACTGTTGTGGAAGGAATATTGCTGGAAGAATTTGACATCTTTTTCCATTACACCTAAAATCAAGAGTTGGCAGACCTCCACCCCGCAGGAGTGCTGGAGGTTGTGTGGAGAAATGGATGCTGATCACACATGTGTTTTGGAGTTACCTGAAAATTATGGTATATTGGGAACAATTAAACACAACCCTAACTAGTATTCTGGGTTATTGAATTCCAAACACTTGTCTGGTGATGCATCTGGGAAATATATCAGATGTAGTTAGGAAGAATGACATGTATGTTTCAAAAAATGTTCTTGCTGCATCTGAAAAGGGAATTATAAAAGAGTTGGTTGGACCCCCAACCAGAAAGTTACATAGTGTGGCTTTGAGTACTGTCATATATTAATTATAAATTATAAATTAACCTGCTGAAAAAAAGTATTGAGTCATTTTCAATTATTAGTCATGTTTTGTCATTCAAAAGCTACTAGATTTGACTCTGTATGGCTTTGCTTCTTAACCTGATTCATCAGCTGGTTTCACTTCCTTGGAACTGTCTGATTAGGATTCGTTCGCTCGATGGTAGGCAGGTACTTGTTTTATTTAACCAATCACTGCTATTTGGTCGTGACGTATGTAATGTGCCAAATCCTGTAGGAGGAAGGGTAATAACGTCATTCCCCTTGATAAAATTTAGAAAACATTCTCTTTGTTCCAGCTTTAAATCTTTGATCTCGGGAATCAGTGCCAACACAGAATGTACAGCTTCATCAACATCCATCTCGACCATTTTATTTACTGTTGTGCTGTACCACGAAAGGGACCCAGACAGGCGCTTGAATTTGACGTCATGGCTTCACAGCTCTTCACTGATTGGCCGGTGCCAACTTCTGGGTTTCTAGTGTATTCCGATTCCTGACCTAGTCGCTGGAGAGAAATGAAACTGAACAGAGGCACTTGGTGGGGCTATTTGCTCCTAGGGTTGTGAAAAGTATCAAAAAATCAGATACTAAACGATACTAAAACTAGTATCAATACTCAGTGAAACTTTGTTTGTATTGTGATTTTAATGTATTTCTTATTCTGTACAGCACTTTGAATTACTTTGTGGACAAATTGTGCTATATAAATAAACTTTGCCTTGACTTGCCTTTCCTGAATAGCTTTAGAAAGATGTTGAGCTGTATCAGAACAAGTTTAAGAGCACATGGTCTAGTATATGCCCACGGACCACTATGGAACCTACCTGGACAACTGAGGGATTACACAGATATATGAATTGGTATTGAGTATCAAGTCTATTCCTTAGTACTGGTGACAACACTATAATTGCTCCAGATTTTGTTAGAAGAAGCAACAATATAATTAACTGATTTGCTTTTATACCTTATTATACTATTCATCTCCTAACTTGAAGCTCTAATTGCAGTCTTGCTTAAAATTAAATCAGCAACACATCACAACAGAGTCTTCAGAGTTGTTTTCTTTCTCTTTAATATATTCCATCTCTTCTTTTCTTTCCATCAGGAGCTTGTCAAACACACTTATGACGCATCTGAAAAGAACAACTTGAAAATGGCTTTGGATGCCATGAAAGTAAGTGTCCGTTTGTGGTAATGCCCTGTAATCTTTGTGATTGGTGCTTGTTAGCGTCTGATTCAGTGAACACTTCCAAATACCGACAAATGCCACTCAGCTTTGTGTCAGAAAACCTCTCCATCACAGGAAGAATGAAACAGCTAGACTCATTCATTTTTGTGAGTGGTTTGATTCAGATTTTTTCATTTGATATATAGCTTTTGTGAAATTTTAAAGTAGACAGTGTTTTTTGGGAGTGTGACTAAACACCTAAACTTCTCCCACAACCACATTACAATTCTTTTTCCTAGCTTCCTTCTCCTTGATTCCACTCCACAATCCTCCATTTTTCAATCAAATGCATCATATTAAGTGGTGTCCCAAAGAAAACCACTGAATGAAGGAGGAGAAAACATGAGGGGAGGCTTCAGGAGGCAGACATCAGAGAAAAGAATCAAACTTTATTGGTCTCAGTGAGGAGTTTATATCCTCTCTCCTCCCTGCGTGTCCTCTGTGTGCGGGACTTCCTCACCCATTTCCTGCAGAATCGAGGAGAGGAATCAAAGAGAAGGAGGCGAGGAAAGAGAAATGAGACGCGGCCGTAGAGCTGCTAGACTGGGCAGTACCTGGAGGACCAAAGGGGAGAGTGAGGGGTGAGAAAGGCAGATAGGTGTTTGTAATCGAAACACCTCTTTTGTGATGTCACCAACTACTGGAAAATGTAGAGGCCACTGAAGGCAGCACACACTTAGATGTATGCTTTTTTTTGCCCAGAAAAGTACAAATTTCTATGACCAAAAAAAGACTATGAACAGTAGATAATGCTATTAAAACACCATGTACACACAGCGTTCCCACGGTCATGGAAATCCTGGAAAAGTCATGGAATTTTAGCATCTCTTTCACGCAACTACAGCGTTCTGTTAAGTTATCATTAGACTATTATGATTATTTCCAAATGTATGTGCCTTTTGTTTAGAAGAGACGACAATAAATGCACTGACAGTATTTTAAATGTTAAAAAACTATAATACCAAAACATAAGGTGAGTGGAAAGGGTTAACATTTCATATTTAACCGTAAAAGTCTGATCAATTCTACACATGTAGGTGCCATAAAGTTATGGGAAATTCACTTTAGATCATAAAAAATTAATGGAAAAGTTTTGAAATTTTGTCCGTGAAAAAGAGTGGGAACCCTGTACACAATTTAGCAGTGAAAAAAGTGGATATAGTGTTTAGTTCTTCTTTAAATTATGACATACATAGATCATTATTATACATTTTGTTGTTTGCAGACCAAATAGAGTAAAGGTGCATATTTACTTCTTTCAGTTCAATAAACACAACCAAAAAAAATACAAAAAATGCTTTTATTTAGTCTGTTTTTTTGGCTAAAGTTACATAATGTACCTTTGAAATGGGACTAAACTCCTTCCACAACCACATTTTAAAACAGAGCCGATTTATAAAGAACAGTGAGACTGCTGAACAAGTATCCACACTTCAAACTCCCAGTGTTTGTAATCAGAAACACCAGGCTGTAATCAGGGCAGCCATGTGTGATGTCACCAACCACTTAAAATTATTAAATTTGTTTAAGTGTTTAGTTCCACTTTAATAAGAGGAGCAGGTCCAGGTAACTGTGTGTGCCCAAAACTGCAGAACTGAGAGACCTCTTTATAATGTCATTTAACTGTAGTAAGCAGTGGATTTTTAATAATTTTTTATCCTTTTGTCCATGAAATTTGCCTTGAATGTTCCATAGTATGAATGGTATTAAACATCTTGCAATTGCAGGTGTTTTAACATCCGAAAAATACAATGAAACCTTTTACTGTGAGCAGGGTTCTTCTCTATACAGATCTGACCTGTAACTCGGCCTGGTGGTGCCCATGCTTGATTCCATAGAGATGTATGTGTTTTCATCCATCAGAAAAGTTACATAGTGCACCTTTAAAGGGCCTGTGTCTCTTCTAGCTCATGAAAATACAGTAAATTTACAGTAAAGTAACTATTTGCAGATAAAATGATGTTGACACTGACAATGACACCTATACATTTTTAAAGGCGCTCTATTTGAGATTTCTAAACTGATCTGAAACAATGCACAGAAGACATCAGGATATTACTACTATTAAATCTTTAGTTCTTCCCCATTTCAGCAAATATCCAAGGACAGTTATATGGCCAGTATCTCACATTTTGACAATTGTGAAAGCATAATCAATAGTAGGTATTCACTCACTTCATTCCACAGAAATGTCAAGTTTCTTCAAAGTCTTATATATAAGTATAAGTTGAAGCCAGGATTCCAACAACTTTTGAAAATTGTGCAGTAAACTTACTTTTGTGTGTATTTTCATGCAGGACCTGGCTCAGTATGTGAACGAAGTGAAGAGAGACAATGAGACTTTGAGGGAGATCGACCAGTACCAGAGATGTATCGAGAATTTGGTAATTAATTATATTTATAATAATAATAGGCTATTGCATATTAAACCTTGTCACAATGTAATATTCTGTAGCTGTGATTCATACTTTGCCGCTGATGTCAACATTTTCAAGGAGGGGGTGCTAACTGGAGGCACTGCTCTGTCTGAATCACACCTATTGCTCACAGGCTCCTGAAAATGTGTTGTTTGAATACATTTTCTTTTATTTTGTTGAGTTTTCAGATAATCTAAAAATGTATCATCCATAGACATACAAGAAGAACCCCCTCCAGCGTGATGTCACTGTGAAGCATCAATTGAAAATCTTACACAACTATGGGTTCACAGAGAAAAGTTTCCCACCCTGGCAACAATGCAGCTCCTTAGAATTAGAAGGTGTTACAGTAGTTTTGAGATACTGACATGACCCTACAAAATTCACAAAGCATTCAAGAACAAGAATATACTACGTATAACTCGCTTTCGACAAAAAAGGTCAGCGAGAAACTTCAAAATCTAAGGCGACGAATGGTGTATATAAACTTAGTATTTACTTTTTTACCCTGGCAAAAATATTGTGTGAAATTTGAAATAAAATTGTCGCACTATATTTGAAAACATTTAGAAATACACTGAAGTCAAATAAACTATGCCTGTGGTCAAACCTCTGTGCAAAGCCTGATCTTGTCAGATCTCAGAATCTAAGTAGAGCTGGGTCTGGTTAGTACTTGGATGGGAGATTGCTGGGAAAATCAGATTCCACAGTGGAGTGCCAGTGGCAAAAACTGTCATTGTGTCCTTAGGCAAGGCTTTTTACCCACATTGCCTGTGAATAGTATGAAAGTGGTGTGAGTATGAGTGTGGGTGGTGGTCGGAGCGACAGATGGCGCAGATTGGCAGGCTCACTTTTGTCGGTCTGTCCCACGGCACCTATGGCTACAGTAGTAACTTACTAGCCTGATTCATCAGCCGGTTTCACTTTGTGGAAACCGTCTGACCTCGCAGCATTAGGGTTCGTTGACTTGATGATAGGCGGGTACTTTTATTATGCAACCAGTTTCTGCTATTTGGTCGTGATGTATAGTCTGATTCATCAGCCGGTTGCACTTTGTTTCACTTCGTAGAAACCGTCTGACCTTGCAGTGTTAGAATTAATTCGCTCGACAGTAGGTTGGTACCTTTTATCATTTAACCAATCACTGCTATTTGGTAGCCACTTATGTAATGTGCTGCTAACGGGGCTAACTGGTATATTAAGCTTTTCCCAAATCCAGTAGGAAGAAGGGCAATAACATCTTGCCCCTTGATAAAATTCAATAAACATTCTCTTTGTTACGGCTTTAAATCCTCAGTCTCTGGAATTGTTGCCAACGCAGAATGTATGCTTCGTCTACATCCATCTCAACCGTTTTATTTACTGTTGTGCTGTACCACAAAAGGGACCCAGACAGGCACTTGAGTTTGACGTCATGGCTTCACAGCTTTTCGCTGATTGGCCGATGCACGCATTATTATTATATTTAGTATTTATTAAATTGATGTCTCAAGAATACATGTACAGAAGTTGATGAAAAATCCCTATGCTTCATGTACAGTCTGTATATTAACTTGTACAGACTTGATGCCATAGCAACTCATTTCCTTTGCAAGTCTGTGAATACCTTTTAATTATGTTTCAGTGTCTTTCCAGGCAAACACATTAAACAATGTCCCTATATACTGTAAAGGACTATTCTACATATGAGTCATTATTTTCGTAGGAGTAAACAGTGCAATTTTTTTCTTTTTTCAGAACCAGCCTCTCATCACATATGGTCGCCCCAAAGGAGACGGGGAGGTACGGCTGGTCTCAAGTGTGGACAAGAGAAGACAGGACAGGTGGGTTTACATTTATGGGTGGACGCTGTGCCAAAAAACTCTCAGCATAATTTTTTTTCCCAGCCACATCATGATATCGATTTTATCAGGACTCATGTTTTCTTAGTGTCTTCTAAACAGATCAGAGATACGTTTCTTCTCCACTATGATTGGTTATATCCACCTGTCACTCACTCAGAGCATGAGAGGGTCTGACCAATGGGAAAAGAAAGTGGTGGAAAGTGTGAGCTGCATTAAACAAAAAAGCAGGGAATCATAATACGGCAATGATTTGACCTTTTGATTTTAACATATTGTCACAGGGATGTGATCATGGTTTGATTTTTATTGCCATTTCGCCCAGCCTTATTTACAATAGTGAATAATAGAGAAAGATTGTAACAAATATATAAAACAAAAGATGGGAATATCATGAAAGTTGTTTAGAAGATATGCAATCTGAATATTGGTGTGGTAACATTTAAAATGTATGTTTTGTTTTTCTTTTGTTGTAATCTTTCAAACAAGGATACATAATATTGTACAAGGGTCATGAAACTAAGGCCTGCGGGCCGACGCTGGCCTGCCATGCCTCTTTGACTGGCCCCCCCAGCCCCTCTGCCCCCGCCACTTGAACTGGCCCTATGAGGCAATCCTCAAAAGTTGTCATAGTTGTCATGGCCTTTTTTTTTGAATGACTTTTTGGCAATAATAGTAACATGTCTGCATCTTGATTTTTTCAATAAAAAATTTATATTTATATGAGGTATTAATATTTATATTCAAATAGTTATATGACTATAGTATTTACATTTGCCACCGAATTTTTGCCGCCTGACAAGCTCGAGATCAAACAGTGACAGTCAACACACGCGCAGAGTTCTGTAGTGCAGTTAAGGACAGCAAAATGGCTCATGTTAAAGTACGAAAAAGTTGACAGAGACTGCAGAGTTTTCAAAGAACAGTGGACGACCGATAATTTTTTTGTTCAGTGTAAGGACCATGCAGTTTGTCTGATATGTAAAGAAAGTGTGACGTTTTTCAAAGAATATAATCTGCATTGTCACAAAACAATTGTTACAAAACCCGCCACAAAAAGTATGCTAGCTTGCGAGGGCAAGCGAGAGAAGATAGGATTCGGGGGATGAAAGGCGGTTTGGCAGTTCAACAGTATGTATTCCTGTATCGGCCTACCTGACCCCAGCCCCCCATCACAGTCAGGAGTGATAATGTGGCCCCCAGAGAAAAAAGTTTGGTGACCCCTGATACAGGATATTTCTGCATATCTGCGAGTAATTTTATAGTTCGAACAATAGTAATGCATTAAAAGACATATTATAACTGTATTCCCATTTATTGCAATGCTCATGAAAACAAAGAAAAAAAGTTATTCACATAGAATTACATATACATTATAGAATTGGCATTACTCTACAAATAAATACCTAAATTCTAAAGATGGATCCTTACGTTGTCCCACTAGCATTGAAAAAGTGGGTCAAATGTAGAGGACAAGTTTCCCTGTGGAGAAATATTAAATAAATATACCTGAAGGTTTTTGGTTTGTAAATTAACAATGGATGAATACATTTCTAACTATAGACTGTTATTTATGAGTAGTATGCACTGTAGTTATAACTTTTGCACCCACAAGTTTGTTTATGTGTCGAAAGTAAATGTTAAAGTTTGTACATAGTTGACTTTCTTGAAATAAACTATGGAATTGGACTCTGTATTGCCTAATTATCAACCAGCAGCTGCTTTTAGGTCCAGTTTATACTCTTGTATTTAAAACCAAACGCAGGATTTATCACAGTTGTGCTTCACTAATTGGGACTCTTTCTTCTTGAGCTGCATGGGCAATATGATGAAAAATATTGCATAATTTAACATAATTACTGTATGTTATATTCAGGTGGTTGAACAATGTGTCAAAAATATCTAATTGCAAATTTTACTGACAAGATTTGGTTTTATCATTACATTATAAGTGTTGCAATCTAGATTCTATTCACAGTGCACTTTTATGCATATGACCCCATGGATATGTTGTTGTTTATAGTGTTGTTTTGTTGTTTACATCATATTTACTGTTTATATTAGTAACATATTATATAGTATAGTTATTATGATCTATCCTGCCCTGACACAGTATTTGGTCAAAAATCAAAAATAGCATCTTTAAAGTTTCTATATAACAAAAAAAATGATTCTCATGAGCTTTAAGTCGTGGTAAAATGTTGTTACCTCATCAAAAACATACCTAGATTTGTGTTTTGTTTCATTCACACATGTTTGTGTAATTCTGGTTGATTAGTCTGTCTACATCTGTATTGCTCAAAATTTGATGTGGTTGTAGTTTTCAAGTTAAAGGGACAGTCCAGAATTTTGGACATAGGACCTCATTTCCTAGTGAGCCAGAGTGTTGGAGACGTGTAGAGACACTTTTTTAAATATTCCATCCAGTCCTTGTATTTGCAGAGGTCACTGGTGCTAGGCTAGTACATGTCAATGGCCATAGTTATCCTGCCACTAAAAACAGTCTTACCCACTCCACAAAACACCCGAAGCAAATCTATTATTACACCAGACTGTCGATGTGAATGTCTGTGTTGACAGAATAATTTTAGAAGTAAAACCAACCTTTCAGTTGAAGGATTTATGTCTGAGCAGCAGCAGCAAGTTGTACTTCCTGATAGAAAGCTTGGCAGCGGCAGATTGATATGAGAAAATAGTCCCTCAACATGCGACGATTCATGTGATGCAAGGTTAGTTTTATTTCAAACATTATTCTATCAACACAGACATTCACATCAACAGTCTGTCATTATAATAAAAAAACAAGTTTATTTTAAAAAGTGTCTCCACACGTCTCCAACACTCTGGCTCACTAGGTAATGAGGTCCTATGTCCAAAATTACGGACTGTCCCTATAACAGCTACATTTTACCTTTTGTTTAGTAGAGATGGCCAGTTCCAGCACTGAAATCATCCAAATGATTCTAGTGAAGGTATACGGCATCTAAAAACTCAGTGGAGCACTTCCTGTATTACCACATACCATCGCAAGGTGGATCAGAGTGTTTTCTGTTTGAGAAAAGAACTCTAAGCCTAAATATGCAGGATTTGTGTGAATGAAACAAAGGTACATTTTAGAAGAGGAAACAGCTTTATGACATAGATCAGAAAATAGTGTAATAGGGCCTTTAAACAGACAGCTTAAACCTATATATATTTGGTATTCTTTTATCAACCAATTTTGGAAAGAAGCATCCATCAAAGTCCCTGCTGCATGTTCTTCCCCAATGGAAACTTGCCTTGTAATATTATCAAACCTAACCACACCTTACACAGTGTATACCATCATAACATTTATTACAGTATTGGGTAACCTTCATTTGGCACTTAACAGCAGCTCTCCGGCTTCCTCCTGAGACTCTGGCATCACCACATATGAAACATTATCCATTCCAATGCATTTTAATATGATCATTTTCGGGAACGCTTTCCATACGAGAGTCATAAGGAGCCAAATCAAATTCCTTACAATCAAACCAGACTGGAAAAATTGTCCGTGTTTCAAATCGTACCCGAATCCAATCTTAATGCTGCAAAATGAATTACAGCTTGCCATACAAATTGTGTCTCCAATTTGCTATTATTTATCATTGCACTCATCCATCAAATGCAGGCACGAGACCAGGAAATACATACGTTTCTATGGGATATTAAACCCGTTTTGTAATTTTGAGTAAAAAAAATGAATTATGCAAATACCACACATTAATCATTGTATCAAAAAAAAAGAAGACATATGATAATAGTTATGGTACATTTAACATGGTCATATTTGAATATATGCATATATTACTGCTATTATTAAAACTGCCTGTTGTGTTTTTAGGCATATTTTCTTATTCGACATAGCAGTAATAATCTGCAAAAGAAGAGGGTACAACTATGAGATGAAGGACATCCTGGATCTGAACTGCTACAAGGTCACAAACAACCCCTCGTCTGACAGAGAGGGGAAAAAGGTAGCATTTGTTTGTGTTTATTTTGGGTTACCGTTTTTTGTCATATGTTTTTCTGCTACTTTTTATTTACTTGCCGTGCTGCTCTTTTGGCAATAGAACAGTTTCAAGTTCACACAAGTATAAATACAAGGTCTGAAAATAATAATTAGAATGGCATTAGAATAAAACTTTAGTTGTCTGTGTTGGAAAAGCATAGACCTCCACTAAAGCACTGGCCCTATCTCGCAATATTAAAACGTTTGCCGATTTGCCTGGGGCGACAGTAGACAGTAGTAGTGGTTGAGTGGTCAAATCCACTGACCCACAGGTTGGGTAGTGTGATTCCAGCTCCCACAGATGTATGCTGTTGTTGTGTGACACTTAACCCATCTTGCCCCCAGTGTCTGTGCACACTGGTGTATGAATATGTGTGTGAATGGGTGAGTAGTTCCTTGTTGTAAAGCGCTTTGAGTGCCTTGAAGGTGGAAAAGTGCAGCATAAAATGTGACCATTTACCATTTATTTCCCTAGCTAAGCAAAACTTTAACACGCTTAGATTCATTTATTAACTCTTAAATGTCCTATATCACGCAAAGTCATAAGTTTGAATGTTGTTACCTCCTCAAAAACATACCTTCAGTTGTGATTTGTTTCAGTCTGTCTACCTCTCCAAAACTGTATAACAAAGATCAGAAACTAACATAATATGGACCCTGAAGTAGTTGCTAGTTTTTAAGTGCTTTATTTCCGAAGTAAATCTGAATCCAGAATCCTGGGCTAGTGATGGATTATACCACATTTTTTAAACCATACCAAGACCAAGTACTCTTGGGGTGTTTTGTATGATGATACTCAGTACTGCAGGCATTTCCAACCTGTAGCTCTGGAGCTACCAGTAGCTCTCCACCCCCTTTCAAGTAGCTCGCCAAGGGATTTCAGAATTATATGTATTGTGCTTAATAACTGAAATCTGATTATTTACTTTTGTAAATGTGTTATTTTGATCCCTAACTTGTACAGTAATAAATGGATAATGGTTTATGTTTAATAGGCATCTGACTGTACCCCATCTAAAGCTTGTCATAGCTCTCTGACTTTCTCAATTTCTTTAAAATGAGTAGCTCTCTGGCATTTTAGTTTCATAAAGGTAGCTCACCAGAGGAAAAAGGTTAGAGACCCCTGCAGTACTGGTTGAAGGCTTTTCAATGGATACATCGAAATAGTATTGTTGTAAACAATGTTATTCTTAAGGGCTTTAGATAGGCTATAAAGGACAAACAATACACCTGACACAGATGGTTTGACTCAAGAGAGATCATTAAATTACTCAAACATGCATGGAAAGCATCTAAAACCTCTTCAGACATGTTGCTGATGAGGGAATAACATTATAACATCACAGAAAGTAAAAAAAAAGAAGAAAAAGAAAAAGATTTTGCATAATACCTCCTCTTTAATAAATTTGGATGTCTGTGCTGATATTTGCATAACAGTATTGATGTTAGTCCTGAGTCAGTATTGCATTCTCATCCCTTCTAAACTCTTTTCCATTGTGCGAGAGCCACCACCTGCTGCTGCTTACCATAATGTTTTATTCCCTTACTTATTTACCATTAGAACCTGCCTGTGATGTATTGCTTTGGCTGTGCATGTGTGACCAGCTGAGTAGATACAGTACCCCTCCAATAATACATCTCCCTTTAAGCACACTCACACGACGCGGAAAAGACATGCTAATAACAGCTGATAAATGCGCGCGCTCCTCCAAGGCTGCCTCAAGCTATAGATCATTTTGTACTAAATGAAACTTCAGCCAGAGCACCCGCACTCCCATCAATGATTTAGGGCACGCCGTCGCTTTAAAACACTTTCTGGCTTCTTGGCCAATCAGAGCCGTGCTGATTGGCCGAGGTGCATTTCCCAGTTATCGCAGACGACGCGGCGAGCAGGGGCAGATTAGCGCGGGGCAAAAAGTCGAGAGATTTGAGAATTGATTGAAAAATGATCCATAATACAGCGCCACAGGCAAGGTGTTCCTCTAGCCGTCTCAGAGACTTGAAGAGGCTGAGGCTGGCTTCAACCTAATACAGTTTATCTACTGTACATCCATTATAGTAATAACAGAAGAGATGGAATAATGGAAAGCTTGATGAAGTTAAATGACCAGTAAATAAAACTGTACTACTAATGCTACAAATTTCTAATAATCAGGTGGTTAACTTGACTTATGCCTATACAAAATACAAAAATTAAAATGTGTATGTATACAGAAAGATATTAAATATGAGAGAAAAACACAGCCTAAATATGCATGGTTTGTGTGTTAAACATGCATGAAGGAAACAAAACACACCTCCAGGTATGTCTGTGATGAGGAAACAACATTATAACATAGTTCAGAAATAATATGAGCCCTTTTAAATACAATTATAAGTAAACTACAAATCCTTTGAAAGTGAATTTCCTATCTTTGAAGTTGCAGAGTAAAACTTGTTCCCAAAATTCAGCTAAAGAGCTAAAGTTTCTGGGTGCCAGTGAGTTTTTTGTAACATTTTGAAGCTAATTTGTCTTTTGTATTATTCAAAAAGCGGGATGTCATGCTCCTATACAAATGATCCAAATGCACAAAAGCAAAGCGTTGTAAGTTGTTTTCCTTTTCAGTAATGCCCTGACTATTCACCTGGCCGTGACTCACCACCATAATGTGTTTGTCTTTATCTGCTTTGTTTTGAAAATGTTGTGCAGTCAAATAGGCAAAGACAGTTTAGTTGACAGTGGACCCTTTCATGATTTTGAACAGAGAAAACTATTTGCCTGAGAAAAAGCTCTGCTGTGATTGACATAATTGTGAGTTTATAAGCCCAAAACTGACGTTTATTTTCAATCAAAAGTTGCACAACTTTCCTAAATTTTCTCTGCCATCCATATACTAGGGCTGCAACTAATGCATATTTTAGTAGTCCACTAATCACTGATTATTTATTCTATTACTCATATAGTCAAACCATTATTTCTACACTGAGATATTTTAGATCATTTTTTACTAAATAAAGGTTAAAATTTGCATAGAGAAGATTTACGAATAAAGTGTATTATTGACGAAAAGCCGAAATTATGTATTGTATATCCTATTTGGCAATTTTGATTTAATAAAGGCACTATAATGTTATAAAACTTATTTTAGAATCTGCATTGTAATCATTAATCGCTATAGTCATATACCATTAGCCAGGCTGGCACCACCTAGTTCCTCCACTCAATTTCATTTCTCTGCAGTGACTAGGTCAAGAATCAGAATATACTAGATGGTTCGCAAAAACCCTGAAAGTGTGGGCACCAGCCAATCAGCGAAGAGCCATACATTCTGTGTTGGCAACATTTACCGAGATCGAGGATTTAAAGCTGGAACAAAGAGAATGTTTGGTGAATTTTATCAAGGGGAAAGACGCCCTTTTTCCTACGGGATTAGGGAAAAGCTTAATATAGCAGTTAGCCATGTTAGCAGCGCATTACATACGTCACGACCAAATAGCAGTGATTGTTTAAATGATAAAAGTACCCGCCTACTGTTGAGCGAACGAATTCTAATGCTGTGAGGTCAGATTTACGAAGTGAAACCGCCGGCTGATGAATCAGGCTAATATACCATACTATATACAATAGAATCCATATTATAACTCTTTATTATTCTCTTTATTTAAAACTTTAATTTAATGTATTCATTTTTGTTGATTTCCTCAGTGGTGCTACGGGTTCTACGTCACCCATCAGCAGGGCCACACAGGCTTCGAGCTTTTCTTCAAAACCAAAGAACTGAAGAAGAAGTGGCTGGACCAGTTTGAGATGGCCATGTGAGTACTGTGTAATCTTATATGATACATACATGATTGGTCATAATTAGGGCTTGCTGTTTGAAGGTACCAGAATTTGTTGTAGACTACCAGTCAAAAGTTTGGACACACCATCTCATTCAGTGTTTTTCTTCTACGTATATGTTTATGTCACCTTTATATATATATATCTGTAATTCATAGTTTGGCCAAATTAAATGTTTATCAGCATGAGCTAATCCAGGACTGCACCCAAAAGTAAAATACTCAAAAGATGACAAGTACAAAACATCGAAAAAGTCTATATTTTCTGAGGAGAGAGATGTTGCCTCATTGCTGTGAAACGTTTGATCGAGTTTTACAGTAATCAACAAACCACTGACATTTTTGCAATACAATCGAGCTCACAGCATTCAAAAACAGCAAAGCTTCTTGAAAGTTGGCAAAGAACAAATAAATATCTTGTTTTTCATATCTCTGTTTTTAGGAAGCCTTATCTTTTGTATTATTTTCGAACAGTAGGAGGCTTTGGCTGGGAAACTTCCTGAGTGTGTGCTTTGTTATGTTGATGTGGGAAATACAATGTTGTTTTGACATGACATCAAGATTGACTGAAACAGTGTGCAAAGATACAGTGCTTACAGAAAGAATACTTTATTATTATAAGTCAGTCTGTGGCAATGTGTCTGGGATGTTAAAGAGAGAAAATGATTGGAACAAACTGTGTAAAGAATATCACATTATTTGCTAATTGATGAAAATATACTTTAAAGAGAGAGTATTATCCCAAATAGATTTTTTTTTGTTACTTTCTACCATGCTATAATGCTGTTCCCTCATCAAAACATACCTGAAGATCTTTTAGGTCGACCATGCATGTTTCAGTAATTTAGCGATCCCTCGGGTCCTATTTGAACCCTCCTTATGATTAGCAGAGTAAGCAGTAAGATTCTGTCCAATGCTCAGCCCACAAACCTACATCATCCATACTGCCACACAACAATTCTCCATAAATATACAAAAGCATGATACAAAACTCTAACTGCTGTAGTTTTATTAGCGGGATGCATGCTGATTGTAATGTGATAGCGCTCTGAAGGGGGAGTGACTTAGTGTGGTGAGCTTCAGAGAGTCAAAAACTACAGTGAATAAAACATAAAAACTATAAACTTTTTTTTATCATAAATTTTTTATTAAGAAGAGTACACAATATACATTTCAATAGACATATCGACAATTGTTGGTTCTTGTTTTTTGTTAGATCTGGTTGTAAAATTATAAACTTATAACACATGTTAATACATTATTTTAATATACCGAAGATAGCAAAACAATAAAAGGTAACAGGGGTGATCTAAATATGTTATATGTTAGTAGTTAATACCAAATAGAAGTAAAATATTCCCTCTTTAAGAAGTAGTTTTCTCAATTACGCTGTACTTTTACTTTTTAGACAAATAATTTCTGAAGTTATCATATTACACAGGGCGGAAATGAACCTTTTCTGATCTTGAACTGTATCAGAACAAGCATAAGAGAACATAAACTTGTATAGGCAAGGACAAAATATCACAGATGTAGGCGGGAGAGGGAATGAAAATTATAATTCTTTGCGGGAGGGAGCAGGACTGAAAATTCTGTCCCACACAGACCTCTTGCCCTCTCCCTCTCTCTCTCTCTAAAATCCAAGATTGGTCCTGGTTTAGTCCTGGTTTAGACCTGGTTTAGTCCTGGTTAAGTCCTGGTATAGTGGGCTCAGGTGTTTTTACTTCTACTCTAAGGGGAGGCATTCACTCTGAAAACCCCTGATGTATTATATTATTTTTGGTACATTCACTTGACCAATTTCTGCATAAAAAACAAGCCACTGCAGTATGCCATATGACTGGCATGTGAATTAAACTATGTGAAAAAAAACCAAAACAATAAAACATGATTAAGTACTAAATAAAGGCCAAAGCACACATTTAAATATTTTTTGTCATTCTTTTTATTCATGCATGTAAAGTGTGATGTTTGGAGGTGCTCTAGCGCTGTTGACGCCTGAGCCTCCTCCACTGCTGCTCCACTACGGCCGCTCCTTTTGGGCAGCTGGATCTTTCACGATCACCATGAAGTTTCAGGAGACGCAGCTCCTCTCGTGTTGAATAAACTTCAGCAGTCAGCTCCTGCACCCTCCTGGACAGTTTCTCGTTTGCTTTGGTGGTTTGATCTCCACCAACATCGTTACAAGTAGTTTCAGTCTCTAATGTAAGTTCTTTAAGTTGTTCTTTCAACTTCTCATTCACTTTCTTGGTGTTGAACAGCTCTTGTTTGAGCTCTACTTTGTCTGCTGCCGACTTGTTGTAGAGACATCTTAATTCTTTGTACGCACTCACCTCATTTTCCAGCTCTTTCTGATTTGTCAGGAGGTTGGCTTTGAGCTCTTTCAACTCAGAGTCTTTTTCATTCGTTTTTTCACTGACTTTTTTGAAGTTGGCAAACTCTTGCCTGAGTTGCACGTGCTCCTGTACTTTAACATTGTACAGGACGCGGATCTTCGTATGTGTGTTCTCTAAATCTTGGAGTTCCTTTTCCTTTTTTTGGAGAGTAGAAGTAAGTTTTTGCAACTCCAAGTCTTTTTCAGCAGACTTTTCTGTGACTTCATCGGAGTTCAGCTTTTGTTTTAAGTGCTCATTTTCCTGTACTTTAGATTCGTACAGGTACTGGAGCCTCTTATGTGCTCTAACCTCTTCTTGGAGTTGCTTGTCTTTCTCCTGAAGAGCATTAGTGAGCTCCAAGGCCTTTTCTTTGGCCATCTTCCCCTCAGTCTTAAGCTGAGCCCTTGTCCGCTCCAGCTCTACGCGCAGCTCTCTGACCAGAGCGCTGTCCTCCAGGGGTGGAAGTTCCTGGACCGGACTTCTTTCCTCAAAGTTTGAGGAGTCCTGGATTTCGGGAGACACCTGGGTCTCCGCTGGCTTCTGAACGCCACCTGATGGTGTGGGGCAGAGCAGAGCCTCCAGGTTGAAGTCCTTGTCGTAGAGGTGGGCATCATCCTCTAGTGTATAGAGGTGCCAGGGTTTCGAGGAGAAAGTGTACGAGCTGTCCATGGTTGTGTGCGTCTTCAACAGTGTCTTGAGAAGTTGTGTTTGGTGCCAGAAGTGTTGGTGCCCTTATAGTCACATATAGAATGTTACATAACATCTCCATGCTGTTAGCTGATTGGCTGACACAAGACATCGCCACGGTGATGATGGAATCTTGAATCGTAATTCCCTCTTTGCCACGGTGATGATGAAATCTTGAATCTTGATTCCATCATCGCCATGGTGATGATGTGAAAATTTGAATAGAACCATAACGTTTTATTTGTCATAGATACATAAAATTTGGTATACACATTTGTGACATGGTCTCGATTAAAAAAGTCAGTGATGAGGTACAGCATTTGCAGGGCACGTGTTTGCGGAGTGCGGCGTTTGTGGGGCCACTTGGATATGTGCTCCTAAAACCGATACACATTCGATCTTTGTGTGTGACTTCAGTCTGAACGGCCATCAGGCTCGGGCCTAAAAATAAAATAATAATATTTTTAGCAAAAACAATATATCAGAAAACATTAGAACAACATATTATACATTTTTTGAAAGCTCTCGACCTTCCCCACATCACCGTGGGGTCATTGGTGAGTGACAGGCGCATCTGCACCATCTCGTCGGGGTCGAACCCTGACCTCCCATTGACTTCCATTCATTTTAGCAGTAGTAAATATGAGCCAGGCCTTGGGCGTGGGTTACTGGGATACTGCTGTTCGTGCCGGGGGCGACCGTGGACATAGTTGCATGTCGTCTTGTCGCATTCGGACATGCGCACGTCCCTTCCCATTCGCTCCGCGTAGCGGAAGCAATAGGCCCTACGCCCTGTCGGGGCTCGGGCCTAAACATAAATAATAATCATAAAATTAAAGAGAGATAGACATCCACATCCACGGACCACTATGGAACCTATAGATATAAGACCACATGGTAATATAAAAGAAAGTACTATGGTTTAATGTTGAAAATCACATTCTAATGTCTTAAATAAACAGTATTTTTGTTATCATCATGGTATCTGAATCAGGTATCGAGTCTATCCTTTAAAATTGAAATTGAGTTAGATTAGTTGCAATTTTTGTACACTAGTTGGTTATGGTAATAGTGAGTTTTGTAAATGTGGTTTCTAAAGTCGCCCAATAAAGGTTCATGGACAGACTGTAGAGTCACCTATTGTTGACCTTTAAAAGCTTTAGTTTGCATCAAAAATAGACACGTTCTCAGTTTCTATAAGCGTCTCCTTCTGTGCAGAGGATGTAGTGAACAGTGGACTCTCAGCTTTTGGTAATAACGTTGGAAAAGACAAATTGAAAAAGTGGAAATTGTACCTGTAAAATGGATCCAAAAGCAGCCCTCATGCACGGTGCACTCAGTTTAAGTGGCCTCTGCTGATGCACTATGAAAAGACATTGAAGGTGTTTTGAAACATACCTCGTTGTAATTTCTTTGTCCAGAAATCATCAGTATTTTTGCTGTCTTTGTGTTCCCTGGGTCAGGATCAGGTTTTCAAAAAATCTGTTACAACTGATACTAAAACCAGTATTGAAGCTAGACACTCATTTGAGCAGGTATCAGTACTAAAAATGTCACATTCAGAGGACAGAATTTAACTTTTCCTGAATGATCTTGAACTGTATCAGAAAAAAAATAAGACCACATACTGTAGAGTAGTGTATGCCCATGGACCACTATGGAACCTACTTGAACGACTGAGGGATTAAACAGATATAAGGCCAAAATGATAATATAAAAGAAAGTATTATGATTTAATTTTGTAAATCACACTCTATTGTCCAAACCCTGAGTGCTTATTTTATTTTAATTTATTATCCTTGTGGTATTGGAATAAGTATTGAGTATCAAGTCATCCTTAGTATCAAACTTTACAAACTTTAGTATCATGACAACACTAGTAGTCAGTATCTACAGCAATGTTTCCCAACCAGGGGTATTGATTTTAAAGGGACAGTCCAGAATTTTGGACATAGGACCTCATTTCCTAGTGACCCAGAGAGTTGGAGATATGTGGAAACTAGGGATGGGCATGATTAATCGATTAATCGATAATTGATCATTAAGAATTTCATCGATTACGTTAATTTTAATCGACAAACCGAATGTAGGTTGCTGTACGTAGCGTGACCAAACAGGGGTCCGTACATGTGTCTCTCTGCATCAGAAGGAGCGAGCAAACACAAACATTCGGTCAGTCTGCAGCGTACCGAAGCACAAATGCGTATGTAACGATGATTTGCACAAGAAATTCCACACTTTCTGTTGCGTTCGGGACAAGTGTGAGTCCATGTGCACAGTGTATAAAGCAAGAACATATGTTTCGGTGTCCAGTGGGAAAAAGCTTTACCAGGTGAGAGTCGCGCAATGTCAATGACGAGTCCCCACCTCCCTCCCCCCGTACGGTGTCCTGGTTTTGACAAACGCAAATCTGGTCACACTAACCTGTATTCACCTGAGTCATGTCTTTCAATCCGACAGAAACTGACCGCATCAGCGACACAAGAGCTGTAGTTTTATTTTCGCTGAGTTTATGCAAATTAGCGATGTGGTTTTACGTTTCGTTTCTGTGAGAGTTGCGCTAAACTGAATTAAACACATTATAATCTAAAACGGATTGATGTGGCTCTTGAGTCGTTACGGTTTATATGTCGTAAAGTTGAATTTGTTTTATGCAGATTAATAGTGCAGATAGTAATAATAACGATGATCATTTTAATATAAAAACGTTAATGATTAATCGATAAATGATCGTTAATTCTTCCAACGATCGATTAAGAAAATTTCATCGAATGCCCATCCCTAGTGGAAACACTTTTTTTAATATTCCATCCAGTCCTTGTATTTGCAGAGGTCGCTGGTGTTAGACTGGCACATGTCAATGACCATAGTTATCATGCTACTAAAAACAGTTTTACCCACTCCACAAAACACCCGAGACAAATCTATTATTACACCAGACTGTCGATGTAAATGTCTGTGCTGATAGAATAATGTTTGAAATAAAACTAACCTTGCATCGCATGAACTGTCGCAAGTTGAGCTTTCTATCAGGAAGTACATCGTGCTGCTGCTGCACAGACATAAATCCTTCAAATGCAAGGTTGGTTTTACTTCTAAAATTATTCTACTGACACAGATGTTCACATTGACAGTCTGGTGTTATAATTGTTTTGCCTCGGGTGTTTTGTGGAGTGGGTAAGACTGTTTTTAGTAGCAGGCTAACTATGGCCATTGACATGCACTAGCCTAGCACCAGTGACCTCTGCAAATACAAGGACTGGATGGAATGTTTAAAAAAGTGTCTCCACACTTCTTCAACACTCTGGCTAAAAAGGAAATGAGGTCCTATCCAAAATTCCGGACTGTCACTGTTTGCGTTTAGCGTTTGACTTAAAATAATATTTAAACCCTAAAACAATGTATATGTGTATGTTTTTGAACTAATGGCCATCTTGTGGTAATAGGAATGAACTATGTTAATTAAAATAGAGTAAAAAGAGGCAGAGCTAATGTAAAACAAGACTAGCAGATGGATGCCTGGCAGGTCCACAATGATATCTCTCTATTTTATATACACAGATTGTTCTCAGTCTGATCCCCCACACCACATCTCAAACCAGAACCAAACATGATCGACTAATCAGAAACGAAGGAGCGCATTGGTCATCATTATCATCTACAAACGATCAAATTTTTCTCACCTCACATTTACAGTTTAGTGCTTGGCTCATTGATTCTGCAAAACTCAGACTCACATCTTTGTAAAGTATTGGAGAAGTGTCACTGCGTTACTGATGTAATGCAGTTAAACGGACTCAATTCCTCCTCTGTGTCTTTCAGATCAAATATCCGACCGGAGAAAGCCAACCACAACCAGCACCACTTTAAAATGCACACTTTTGAAGGGATCGTGTCCTGCAGCTTCTGTCACCTGCTGCTCAGGTAATTCAACAGGTTCAAGAGAGACTTGAAGAAAAATAATGGTACTTCAAATGTATAATGAACAAAATAAACTGAAAATCACCTCATTTTGAAATATCAAAATTTCTTCCATTTGGCCAATTCCAATCAATGACGCACCAATTCAGCTTTTTTAGTTCCGATAACGACTCTGATACCATTGCTTCAAATATCTGACCCGATATCAACCAATACCTGTACCAGGGTAGCCGCGGGGTCTTAAAAGTCTTAAAAAGGTCTTAAATTTCATGTTCCTAAATTAAGGCCTTAAAAACTCTGAAGTTATGTTGTCCAAGTCTTATTTTTTTCACAAAAGTCTTAAATTTCATTAGCCTATTTTTTTGTATACTCAACTGGTCTGCAGTGCAATGTTAAACAGAGGGAGGGGAAAAAACAACAACGTGAAATCAACGTAAATGAACGTGAATGAACGTCTAATTTGGAGTATGCGCAAACAATACTTTGGTTTCTAGCGTCGGCGGCAATGAGTAAACGATCAGTACAGTGGAGGAAGATGTTGGATGGATCATGGGGAAATGTAGGTTTAATCCACAGTGGCTCTTAGATTCTAGATATAGTAGTTGGTTGGTCATTATTAGAATTGGATCTGGTGTTTTTTGCCCGCATAATGGCTACGATGTTGGTCTTAATTTTCATTTAAGTAGTCTTTAAAAGGTCTTAAAAAGTCTTAAATTTGGGGTAGTCAAACCTGAGGATACCCTCTGTACAGATACCGAAAACAGTATTTGTTTTCTTTTAACAAAAATAACATCCTAAAACAAAGCAAAATTTATTTATCAAGTAACTGCTGAACACCTTTGTATAAATACAGTTTCCAATATTATGAGACTTTCTGGGTCAAATACAGCCAGTAAATCATCTTATAATGTCAGATTCTAAATCCAACCAGTATACTGACTGAATTGATATTTGAAATTCGTTACCCGGTCCAATAAATTTTCCTGGATTGACATTGATATCTGATACCAATATCAAATTGGTGCATCCCTATTCCAAACCTATAACATACGTATACATATTTATTTTATTTATTATTTGATTATATTTTTAGCTTTATATAACTAGAAGAATCCCATTGAGACTAAAACCTTTGTTTTTTTCAAAAGGAGCCCTGACCAAGAGGGCACAAAGAGCAGAAATTACAACACAGCAAGTAGTTATAGCAAATACACAAAGAATAATGAAATAAACCTTTTGATGGCCCAATCCTGCACCATATTGACAAAGTATATGGGCTCCACAGTCCGAACAGTGTAGACAATACAAGCAAATAAATAAGACAATATATGTATCTTTAGAAGTAGAAATTAGTGTGACATTTCTATTCAGCCTGCAGGATACTTTGTTTTTAATTAGAATAAATCTGTCCTGGAGCTGTGTTTTCACTATGCGTCAGGCTGAAGGACGTCTCCTCTGTCTCTTTTCTAATCTGCACAATGGGACAGGAGGACGAGAAATCCAAAATGTCAAGACATTTATTATACAGCTCCAATCCTGTGTGCACTGTGTGTTTCAGGGGCATCTTTAACCAGGGCTATCTGTGTCTCAAGTGTGGAGTGGGGGTGCACAAGGAGTGTCTGGGACAACTGGGGCTGTGCAGGAGAACAGGTAATGCTGCTGGCTTTGAAAACATTTACACTAGTAATTAGTTCTGTGTTACTTATGGCTATTGGTGGCCTTTCTTTTAGTGCTTCATTATAACTTCCTCAAGTTAGACTACCATAACATCCCCCAAGCTTGTCCATCTAGAGCAGGGGTCGGCAACCCAAAATGCTCAAAGAGCCATATTGGCCCAAAAAAACAAAAACCATACCTGCCCGGAGCCGCAAAAAACGAAAAGCCTTATATAAGCCTAATATGAAGGCAACACAGACTATTAAAATGACTAAGTCGGCTACAAATACAAAATGAGCATTCATGATACACAAACCCCTCTGTGACCCTCTCATACTCGGTGCGCCGTCTGTAGCCACTGAAATCAGGTGGTTAGTGTTTATTCCTTTGTCATTTAGGCCCCGTTTACACGTACACGGGTATTTTTAAAAACGGAGACATTTCCCTTCGTTTGTTCACATCGTTTACACGAAAACGGCGAATTCACCTCTGAAAACGAATCTTTCTAAAACTCCGGCTAGAGTGGAGATTTTGGAAAACTCCGGTTTCACGTTGAGATACTGAGATAAACGGAGTTTTAGGAGCTGACGCGCTGAAAGTGCGACCAACGTTTACCTGTTGCTTTGACGATGATGATGGAAGCATTCAGAGCAGGAGTCGCATTTCTTCTGATTGTGCATAGGAGCACTCATAAAACAGCAGCATGTAGAACTTTGTACACAACTCACCGCACCACACCGCTCAGAGCAGAAGCTCTGTGCTCGGGCAGCAGCGGCAAACACGGGAGCAGTCAGCGCGCAGCTCCTCGAGACAGGTCTGGGGGTCCAGTGTTGGTCAGATTGTCCGAAGGCTTCGTCCTCCATGTCCTGGTTCCAGACGGGGACGAGCAAGACCAGCTCGCAAAGGACTGGGTCCGAGTGCTTCAGTGCAGTCATCTGTGTGCTGGTTCAGTGCGGGAAAAGCGAGAATGCGCTGTGGACCACAGGTCCAAGTGGGCTGCTCCGGTCCTCTGCGCTCGACCGTGGCTGGTTCCGAGTTGGTGCAAAGCATCCGGACAGAGGCATGAATCTCGGTTGGTTCGTTATATGTTGTTCTGAGCGGTCCGTCTGCGCACGTGTTTTTTTTGTTTTTTTTTGGGGGGGGAAAGCGCTTCTCAGGTGGAGGCACTGGACACCACCCCCGCTTCAGCTCATCTATTTGTTCTGCTGAAACACTTTTCATCTGTTTCATTTGCACGCACAGCTGATGGATCAGATCCATGACCAGAGATGAACGAGGGTTTTACCCCTAAAGAAACCAGATTAAAACAACAACAACAACAAAATAATTCCTTTTCCATTTTCACTCATTTTTGAAAAAGCTTCAGGGAGCCACTAGGGGAGTGCTAAAGAGCCGCATGCGGCTCCAGAGCCGCGGGTTGCCGACCCCTGATCTAGAGCAGCAATTCTTTGTTTACTAGTAGTACATTGTCAATTCTTACTATTATATATATATTTTTTGTAATTAGTGTTCATTTAAAACTCAATTTTGATACTAAGGAATAGACTTGGTTTTAAGGTTCATCTCTGCGAATCAAATTTTTTCAGATTCTTGCTCAAATCTAGTTTCGATACTAGTGCTATTACTGATTAGTATCAGATTTTTCTATACATTTGACAACCCTAATTGCAATGATACTGATGTCCAAAATCCTCCAAAACAGATATAACTTTACTACAACTCAATTCCCCCTTTTAAAATCTGAAATCATTCTGTGTAGTTACAAAAAGTAAATTACAATGTCTCAAAAAAAAATTGGCTGAGATTACAGTCAAACATTCAGCTTCCCACCCACAGCAAATACAAAGGACCTGTTACTTCAAAAGTGTCTCATAGTTGGTGTTTAAAGTGTGTTTTTGCTTGCGCTCTGTTGCTTGTATCTCTCTGGACCTCAGACAGGTGGCAGGTCCAGTCGGTGACAGGTTCTTAGCAGACCCACCCACCTTTCCCCCTCTCCCTCCTCCTCTCTCGCTCTACTTATCTTCTTCTCTTTCTTTCTTTCCTTTTTCTATTCCACTCAATCCCTTTATGTATATTTCCTCTCTCATGTGCTTCTTTTCTCCTCTCTCTCTCTCTTTCCTTTCCTTTCTCTTCTTCTTTCTCCCCACTCCCTTGCTCTCCACTCTCTCAACTTTCTGTCCTCCCTCTCTCTCTGCTCCTTATGCATTGGGCAGGTGTGTGTTATAGGGGCCACACAGGTTGACAGCTGGGGTTGTATGTCAGTGAACCACAGTCTCATAGTGTATTCCTCTCACTTTTGTCCCTGTCTGTCTCTCCCATGACACTGCAGACTGCGCCAAGACTCGGGCCAAGGTAAGAAAGAGCGCCTGCAAACTCACGTCAAGGTTACAACTATCAGTGGAGAGTTCAATGCAATGCTAATTACACAAAATCACACATCACAAGTCAGATTATTTTGATATTAATTAAAGCTGCCAATGTTAACGCATTAACATAGAGGAATCATTGGTCTGTTTTGACCAAACTGCCACGTACATTAGGCTGGGAGAGAAACACTTTGCTCATTACACAAGGGTAAATGTACACATAACCTCATGTGGACAAGCTCAGCAGTGAATGTTATGAGCTCGGAGAAACAGTGAAAGGTGGTACAGAGAAACATGTTACAGAGAAACACATTTACGGAGAAACACTTTGCGGGTCTGCTTTGTGTGGCAGAACAAACCAAAGTCGCTGTGGGGATCTTGAGTTGTACACTGTGCACACTGTGAGAAAAACATAAATATAAGATAAATATAAGAAAAAAAAATGTTTCAAATTAGAAAGTTTAAATTGCGATACTAAACTTAACTCATAATAAGATGAATCTTGATTAATCATATTTCAAAAGTCTGATTAATCCGATTACTTAATCATTTGACAGTACTATTATTAAGCTGGCAAATGTGTGGAATGTATGCATAGACTTGGGTTTAAATGTGTGATGTATTATGTAATTTTTTTTCTGGTGGGAGGCCCACCACTCCACCTTGTCTCCATGGGTATTATTGTTTTATATGGCAGATTTGCAGACCATTGCAGATCTGACCCGTAATCGTCTGCTGCTACGAAGACATGATGCAGTCCACCTTCTAGTCCCAAGGTTCTACTCCCAGCAAACCCATTTTTATTTTCAATAAAGGCTCACTAATTCATGAGCTGAGAAGCCTTCACATGAACAGTATGATTTATTACAGCATAGCAATGGCTCAATGCTGATATTATGATATAAACCATAAATGAGCAAATCATTATTTGAACATGTACTGTTGCTAAAACAATCATTTCACCTTGAAAACAAAACAAACCTTAAATAAATCCTTTGTTTAGCCTGATCTAACAGTGAATGTGTGTAGGTCCTCTGCCCACTCACAACAGACGGCGATCACAGCTCCACCTGCTGCTGTAGCTCTTTATGTTCTTAAATACAAACCATAGTTCACTCGCTTCAATATGAAAGTGAAGCCAAGGGAAAAAATAAACAATTATCTCCATGGTTACAGCATAATCAAAGAAAATATTAGATTACTTTATTTGCTTAATGGATGGTGACAGTTTAAGGCCCTCTAGTGCAACAACAACTGATCAAGAGCAATATAATAAAGGCCTGTATATGTGTATATTAGGGATGGAACAAGATCTTATGCCACAAGATACCATGAGATAAATTTACCACCAGACAAAATAAAATAAATAATACATTGTGTGGCCAAAATGGTGAACTGAACTGTACAATCTGTTTATTAAAAATGAAGGCAAAATTTCGTCTTGTCTCGTTCTGGTTGGCAGAATCTTGTTGATGAGTGTTTTTGTTATTTTTACATTTTAATTCTAACAAAAAAAAAAAAAAATAGCCTATTGTTTTCTGTGATTCATAATATTCATTTTAGAGCAACGTCCTGGTTTCATTGTAATTTCACTGAGATCTATTAATTTACTTTATTAGTATTATAATAGAAAACAATTTTTAGAAAGAATTCAAGATTGTTCGGTGACCTTATCCACTCCTCGGGTTATCGTGAACTGGTCAAGGGGTCTAAATGTCCCTTTATTTCTCAATCTCCTCCTCTCCTCTCTCAAATATCTGTCTCTCTAATTTTCTTTGAGTGCTATAACATGTCTTTTTTTTATGTCTGCAGGAAATTGCCAGTCCTCTGGATCCAGGTCAGTGCATCTTGACCACCTGAAAACCTTAACAGATCTGCTCTTATTTCTCCTCGCTTTTGTTCAAAGTAGTTCTCATTCCACGTCATGCAGGGTTGTTTTGTATTTATCTGATTACTGGTGTTCCTATTGCTAAAAACACATTAAGATCACGATCCTCTTACGATCACTTCTTCACAGATCTGACTTGTAACTTGGCTCGTTGGCATCTCAGTCGGCCCTGGCTAGTTCTTTTTCTCATAAAAGTGTGGATTTACTCTTCCCACGGTATTCGTTCTCATGAGGAGATAGCCAAGTCACACCAAATAAACCAATATTTGAATATCCGACAGCAGACAGTTGCAGATGGATCACAGACAGCATGTTAAGACCTTTATGACGAAGTAAATACTTCACTGGAGGAAACGTCTGTGTTTATAAAAGTAGGCATTTGTGTAAAATTCTTAAAAATAGTGCTACAATCTGAACAATCCTGCACACAGAAACAGTTGACTCTTTAGAAATTAAGATAAAGTTATGCGCAATGTACACGCAACAACGCAACTACAACACAAGTGCGGTGTAGTTTGGGACTCTCTTGAGTCCCACAAGAATAAGAAAGTCTTTAAAATCTATGTGCCCTGCAACACTGACCTCGGCGGAGTGCAGATGCGGGTTTGGGTATTTTGAAAAAAAAAAAAAAAAAAAAAAAAAACATGGTGAGGGAAAATCTGTCTACGGGTTGAGGTTTTCTTGGGCTGGTTTTACAACTTGTACTGTACAGCTGCAAAATATTATCATATCACTTTTCTAGTTGAGGAATTTCCCACTAATTTGGGAGATTTTACCATGTCAGATGCTTCCTCTCATCATAAACACTGCAGGGAGAAGTCTGACAAAATGGTAATAAAACAAAGATGCTTAAATAAGAGAGTAGCAAAACATAGACAAGGGGGACAAAGGTATAGCCTAATAAATCTATTTTTTAATATATTATAATAATTATAATATAATATATGTTTTATGTATAATGGCACAGTGGAAGAAAAGAGAGTATAGAAGAAGCAGGACAGATTCAATAAGCTACAAGAGATTATCAGGCCCATGTAAATGTTTTAGCACAAGCTATGGCAAAAAGATAATTTATTGGCATTAAATTGTGTTTGTGTGTGTGTGTGTGTGTGTTTTTTAATTTTTTAAAATTTGGCTGTTTTTCATATTTGTGGCAATTTTTGAGAGCACATTGGGCTGTATTTTTTTCTTGGTCCTGGCATTACTGGGGTGAGTTGAGGTGCGGGTCTGCGAAAACAATCCACAAGAAGTCTATTTTCCGGGACACCGCAGCGGTGTGGAGCAGTTTTCAGGTCATTATGTGTGTGTTATAGCATGAACCCATGTGAAGCTGCATTACTTTGATCAAATACACACTGCAGTTGTCGTACTTGGTGTAACAGGCTACCTGCAAGTAAATAGTGCTCACTAGACCCGCCTTGCAGTAAGCATAAATCTGGTGTTAACATTAGTTTCAAGACACAAATACCTACTTTTCTAAACAGAGACGTTTCCTCCGGTGAAATAAGGTCTTAACATGCTGACTCGACTAAATCCTCATAGGTAATTAATGGTGCGGGAAGAGAGAATCAGAAGTAGCCAAAGGGCCTATAGATATAAATATGTTTAATGCCAGAGGGGAACCCTGAGGGCCTTCACGATATTCAGTGGAGGCCCAAGAAAAAATATTAAAAGAATTTTTGTACTACTAATGTATTTTTTCAATATTTTTTATTCAGTGAGTAATAAACACTACACAAGTAATAATTTCTAGATCATTGTTATAAACTTGGACTAATATTTCGTGGGAAACAAAGGGTTAATATAATGAAATGGAAATGGACCAATTACAATTTTTCTTCCAATGGCATCTGGGTAAATCAGTAACTCCCCCTGCAGGCATTGAACTACAGAAACACCTGCAGGGCCTTCGGTGGCTGTAATGAAGACCCGTGCAATTCAAGTCAATGTGGGGATGATTTTGAGTTTGACAGTCGTCTTAGCCAATCATATTTCTTTGAGTTATGGGCAGGATTATAGCATGACATCTTCTGGGCCTTCGCAAATACCCTGTGATTGCATATATAAGGGTCAAAGCATCAAAAAACGTGCTGGACGTCACTATTTGGACGCCTCGGGGGTGTCTAAAAGAAGGAGACGAAAGACCTGAGAACCGGAGCTCAGAGCCCGGCCGGCCATGGATCCATCCATCTGTAGCTGCTGAACACTAGCTTAGGATTGTTAAACATCCATTTGAAGTAAGTGAATGTGTGATTCACTTCATTTATTATTATTATTATTTTTTATAAATGATGTCATGATAACCAGCAGTTGGTCCTAGTGAAGGCCCAGGGTTCAGGTCCACGGTTTGCCACTGTTTAATGCCATACTGTGTCACATTCTGGGCATAGCGTTATAATCTCCATGGAGACAAGGAGGTGACAGGCAGTCGACGAGAAAAGTTTCATAGTGCACCTTAAATAAAAGACACACATTCACTTTAGTAGAGTAAACAGTGCAGCAGAAATAGCCCGTATATGAGTATGCATAGTTGTCGAGAAAAACTACTTTGGACCATTTTTGTTATAAATCAATTCACATAAGCGTCTTTACGAGGCGGACAGGCGTGCTTATTGTTCGTATTAAAAAGTGAGATATTCCAATCATGGGAGGCCAGTGGCAGCTAATACTCTCCAGAGGGGTAAGAGCTATGGGCCACTGTATCCGAAGGCGATGGGCGAGCGAGGGATGCGCGAGGCGGGGGAGAGTAAGTGGCCGTGTCTCCAGTGTTGACAGGAGCGTTTCGTCTTAGCTTTAGCGCGCTGCTCGTGGCTGTGTTAGTCTGATATTGTACAGAAATCAAAGAGATGAATTTGCGGAACAGGGAAATTGCTCTAGCTTTTTAGGAAGGGAGGAAAGAGCACGATCCAAAACGCAGTGAGCCTTGGATGTGTGTATCGGGCGGGATGGGGGCTGTCAGGCTGAGGAGATTATAACAGGAGTAGTGACAAGACATGATAAGAGTAAATACAATGGATAAAGAGAATTTGGTTTTGATGACAAGGCACTGAGCAGCTGTAAAAGCGGTCATTTTGAAGAGGATTTATTAAAAAGCTGGGTAACTGCACATAACATATTTAGATCACCTTGTTACCCTTTATTGTTTGGAAAATGAGTATTGAAATGTTTAATAAGTTTCACTTTTTTGATGCTCTGAGTCATTCCCCCTCAGAGCACTATCACATCAACTCACTATAATCACTGTAACTGCTAGCCTCAATTGATTGGAGCTGAACGCTTTGGGTGACGTCAAACTCACTTAGTCAATTTCTTTATACAGTCTATGCTCCAGACATATGATATTAAAGAGCACATATTCTTTTTCTCTTGACTTTCAAGACTAAATCAGCAACTAAACCTGGACTAGACCATTAAGACACGACTAGAACGTGATCAAACCAAGTACCGTATTTTCTGGGCTATTAGGCGCTCTGGATTATAAGACGCACTGTCATTAAATGGTCTATTTTCAAACTTTTTTCACAAATAAACCATACCGGACTTTAAACAAAACACAACAGTTGGATGGGTCAGTGGGACTTTGTTCGGCGCGTTCACGGTGACTCTGGGCTTTGTTCAGTTGTGGCGTGTAGGGAGGGTGCTGTCTGGGACCGCTGGATTGTTGGCGTGTTCGCAGTGACTCAGTTGTTCAGTTGTGGCTCAGAAAGGCACATGGCACTTGCTTTTTCTGTTCGTTCCTCTGTTCCATTCCTTGTTGGTGTGGAGTGATGAGTCTGGCCGCAGGTGTGTTTTGCTGCGCGGTCACTATTTGCTCCGTGTGTGTTTGCGTGCGCTGTGGGGGGTGCGGATTTGTAGTTTGCTGAAGTCGTGCTGGGACACCCGAGTGGATTCGTGTATAGGGTGCTCTGGCTTGCGGGGTGCGCAGTCATTTTTAGATGGGGTTAGAGGCTTAAGAGCGTGTCTAATAGCCTGGAAAATACGGTATAAATCAGAACTGAAGTGGGCTCAAACTAGGACACCTTTAGTGACTTGTACGTTTGCCCCCGTGTCAGGTTTGCCCCGGATGGTGGTGATCAGAGACTACACCGGAGTGCCCTTTCCCCAGTCCGGCCCTCCTCTGAGCGTCCACATCGGAGACGTGATTGAAGTCATGTTTGCAGATCTGCACAGCTCCTGGTGGCAGGTGCGTGTCCCTCTGTAACTCAACAGCTGTGCCTCTCTGAAAAACAGCATGTTACGCCTCAATGCTCCACAGGGGCACGCCATTTTTGTGAGGTGGAAATTAAGAGATTCATGGTATAGAAAAAATAGTGTATTGTCACACAAACTGAATTTATTTTTTTAGTTAGTTCAACCAAAATGCAAGAAGTAAGCTTGTATCAGTTTAAAACAGCAAATTGCTATATGGAATCCATCTAGACTGTACAAAATGATTTTAAATTAGTCAAATCAGATAGTCAAAAATCTATTATTTTCACACAGGGCTGTGCAATTAATAACATTTTTGTTTTAGATACAACTCGGAAATTGTTATCAGCTTGGTGCTTTTTAATTAAAAGGTCTGCAGCCAGTCCTCTACCTCTGAACGCATGTGGTTTGTAGCAGAGTGAAGGTAATGTGAGGTAAATTCAAGGCCTGGGTATCATTCAGAATTTGCCGATATGATACATATCTCGATACAGTGAGCTTACAATTCAATACGATTCAATAAAAAATAATGGTTAAATCATGGCTGTGATACTAATAGTCTTTGTTAAACCACTTCTTGTGCAAAGTGAATATGAAACACACACGTTTTAATCATCAGAACAGTGAAAATATCAAATGTGTCACATAAACAAGTTTTCTTTCTCTGAACAAGCAACAAAACTGTAGCGCTGTAACAAAATAATTTAGTAAACTATACCAAAACATACTCTTGGTGATATATATCGATATAGTAGCCCACAATATCGATACTGTATCATCACATTAAATGATACGATATATTGATATTTCAATATTTTTGCACTCTCCTAATTGAATTCATTCTCTGCATTTGACACAATCTTCAACCAGTACAGTATAGCGCTTGGGGACCTATCTCCAGATTTTGAGTTAGGTCAGAAATCGGAATACACTAGACAGTTCGCAAAAACCCCAGATGTGCAAGTTCGGGCACCAGCCAGTCAGCGAAGAGTCATATATTCTGTGTTGTCAACGATTCCTGAGATTGATGATTTAAAGCTGGAACAAAGAGAATGTTTGGTGAATTTTATCAAGGGGAAAGATGTTATTGCCCTTCTTCCTACGGGATTTGGGAAAAGTTTAATATACCATTTAGCCCTGTTAGTGACACATTACATACGTCATGACCAAATAGCAGCGATTGGTTAAATTTGAAAAAGTACCCGGCTACTGTCAAGCAAACGAATCCTAATGCTGCGAGGTCAGATAGTTTCTACGAAGTGAAACCGGCTGTTTAATCTAGGCTAGGAAACCAGAGCGTCCAAAGAAACCCACCCAGACACAGGGAGAACTTGCAAACCACGCAGAAAGACCTTGACAAGCTGGGACTTTAGACTTCAATTCAGACTTTAGTTTTTGGTGTTAAATGGAGTGAATTAAAGTCTGTCTTGTTATGTTCATGAAAGGAATACTGAAAGTCAAAATGTGATCAATCAATACATTATGATTATTTCTTTGTCATTTTGCCCAGGCCCAATTACAGCTGAGTACAATTGCGAATCCAGTATTTTAATTTTAATCCCATCTTTTCTCCTCCATGTTGTTTCTCATCCATCCCTCTCTCTCCCTCTGCCTCTCTCACAGCATAGACAGGCCATAACCCTCTCTGGGACATTTATGATGAGGTCAATTTCAATTAGACACACAAGTGAATGTGTGCAGACCCCCCTGTCCTCTCCTTCACTCCTCCATCGAATCACACATCAGATGATCTAACCAATTAACCACTGCCGCTGATTAATTACACGCCACGCTGAGACAATAAAACAGCACAGGCCCAGGTCGCCAGCGGTGCGTTTAATGACAGTGCGTAACCTCGTGTACCGACGCATTTAGCAGCTATCTCACTCCATCGTCCAGAGGTTTAGAGTACTTGACCTTATCTATTTTTGAAGGGAGCAGATGTATCAGATGTCCCGAGATGTAACTCAGTGCAGCGTTAGAGGTTTGTGCGCTTCCTGGTAATGATCCAATTAAACAGAAGAGTTGGAGGTGTGACTGGGTTAGCTGTTTTTTTAGTTCACTGGTGGTGACATAGTATGACTAGGTGGGAAGTAAGGTGCAGCCTAAGGTATAGTTTAAAAAAAAAAAAAAAAAGCAAAAAAAAAAAATATTATTATTATGTTGTCAGACTTTTATTACAGCAAAGGACCAACCACCACTCAGGTTTCCCATTCATTTTAACAATAAACTTAATAATAATACAAGTTTGAAATGGAAGCTTGATAGTAGCCAGGGGTGTGCAAAAATATTGAAATGTCGACATATCATATTGTTTACTGTGATCATACAGTATTGATATCTTGGGCTGCTGTATCGATATATTGCCAAGAATATTTTTTGATATATTTTACAGCACTCCAGTTTTGTTGTTTGTTCAGAGGAAAGAAACTAATTTATGCGACACATGTGACATTTTCACTGTCTATTTTGATGATTAAAATGTTTCTGTTTCATATTAACTTTGCACAAGAAGTGGTTTAACAAAGACTTTTAGTATCACAACCGTGATTTAGCCATTATTTTTTATTGAACCATATCAAATCAGTTTGAAATATATCTGAATCAAAAGTGCACTGTATTGAGATATGTATCGTATCGTGGCCTATGTATCAAGGTATGTATCATATCAGCAACTTCCTAATGATACCCAGCCCTACTAGTGACCACAAGACGTAAAGTTTTTGTGAAAATCTGTTTATGAAACTTTATAAACTAAACCAAACTAAAACAGTTACCGGAGTTTTAAGTTATAAATCAGTTTTTGGACAGCATCAATTGTGCCATTACGCGTAGTCACCCAATAGCTCTTCTTAGACTTAGACTTATAAACTTTATTGATCCAAGGGAAATTATTTGGAAACAGTAGCTCACACATCACAGTATAATATAATATAACAAGGAGTGAAAATATAAATGGTAATAACAAAAGATAGATAGCAAAAAAAAAGATAGCTAGAGACAGTTGTCAAAAAAGACATAATTCTATAAATGTACATGTACAAGTCAAAATAAAATAGAAAGATAAGTAATAAAATATAGTCACTATAGGTAAATTTGCAGCTTTCTAATCAAAAACACATAGATTAAAGTTTAGCTTGCCTTCAGCTGCTTCTGCTATTCCTAGTAGTTGGTAACATCACGCAGAACTGCTCTGAACATTGTTTCTGATACAAACACCTAGCTGCAGGGGGGGAGTCTGAAGTGTGGATACTTGTTAGACCAATCGTACTGTTCCTTATGCCCTCCCCACCCCCGCAAAAGTTTGGTCCCTCTTTAGACCCCTAATATTTGAATTTAATATTTGAAATTAATGGAAAAGTTACTTTGATAGTGTTGGTGCAGTTTGAAGTGAGCGTGACTATTGAGCTCCTTATGCAACCATGTTAAACCTGATAAATCTATACAATAAAGCTGTATTATTTTTATGTATTTTAGCCTGAATCTTTAGATCGTCCATTTGTTTACATACATTAAGCTCTCTCCACAGGACTCCTCTATCTCTGAGCTCCCAGCGGCGCCAGAGGATGGAATTACAGAACACTGAGAATTCATATCCCCTGTTACCCAGAAGGCAATTATCCACCATCCCTACGGCAGAACAATACAATCAATCATCGTAATTTCATTTGATCCTTTGCTCCTGCCTGTTTATGCCCAGCCCGTAATAAGTTTAATCTTTATCATACGCTTATCACGCCGTAACAAATAGAAGAGCTTTCAAAAAGAAGAAAAAAAAATCCACTTTGATGAAATGTTATTACACAGAATGAATCATAGAAATGGGCAAAGATTCGCTTTCGCAATTTAGTTACCGCTCCGGCCCGCGCGCTCCCGAAAAGCATTTGATAGCCTAATAAAAGAGGAGAGGCTATGGAGGAATAAGCAAGGCCAGTAAGCAGTGTACATAGCCACATATAGTGTCTATTTGCTCTCACTCAATGGACTTCAAATTGACCCTTTGAAAACACTGCCAGCTAAATTACCCTGTGCATAATTCACATATGAAAGCTTATTGGCCTATCCGCATGATAAACCGCTTCGACTTACTATAAAGACACAATATCGTGGGTTATAAAATGCATCAGGAATCAATATCTAAGCAGGAGTAATTTGTGCACGAAATTGGTTTACTTGGCTCTGAAAATACCCAATAATACTGCTTATTTTAAAAACAAATGCTCTTCATATGAGGTGTTCTCTACCTCCAGGCGGTGCTTGCTTGCTTTTCTATCTCGTATTTTCAAATACTGGAAAAACAGGTCCATTATTGTAGCGTTAAAGTCTTTATTTTGATGCATTCATAATTAACTCAGGAATACAAACGAGATGCACTGCTTGTTGTGCGCTAATTGCAGAGGATTTATGGGAGCCAAGTGAGAAAGAGGTGCTCCCAGACAAATTTAATGCGATTAACTTTGGTTTTTTCCCCCCTTTTTTGCAGGGGAAAATCCTGGCAACAAGCAGGATTGGCTTCTTTCCCAGTGATGCTGTAAGGCCCTGCCCCTGTGTAAGCATACGATTTTTGCTGCTAAATCAATAAAACACATTTATAATCTGGATTAGCTACCTTTGTGCTAATCCCAACTGCTAATAAATAGATAGAGATTCTTAAAGAAGGGCATCTGGTATAAAATCTAGGTCAAATAAATGTAAAAACACATTTGGACATAGTTGATAAGATGTGGTTTTAAACTGGACATGTTCTCGTTAAGCATTTATACGTCTTCTTTCACGCTACATTACAGCACATGGCCTTAAACTAGGACTAAACCTGAAGCTAAACACACAACCTAGATCTTACCTGGACTAAACCAAGACTAGAACAAAATGGAAACCAAGTCTACATCAGAAGTAAACTAGGATCAAACCAGAATAAATGTTAGACTAATAAAGCAGTGTTGCCCTTGAAACTGAATCGGCGAAAGATGCAAGACACAGTAAGATGTCACGGGAATCACATAATGATGGTAACTAAATGTAATGTCTGCTAAAGGTGCCGCTACAAAGAAATTTTGTAGTAAATTAAATTACTTAAGTCACTAATAACTAATTATTTTTATTCCCAGGTTCCAAAACCATCTGAATACTCTGGGCAACCGTGGTAAGTGTTGAACTATTTTTTTCATTATGAATTAAATCTTTCATCTCACATTATTATTATTATTATTATTAAAAGCTGGTTATTATAAAGTGTTATGAAATTCATATACTATAAATACATCACATTTCACTTTTGGAACAAAAATATCACTTATTTTCATTTTGTTACCTAGCAGTCATAATCTAAACAAAGCCAAAACTTATACTTATAAATTACACAATAGTAGACAAATGAAAATACATGGCAACACCTTTATTTTGTTAAATCAATCTTTAATCTGTTAAAAATGTGTTCCTTCCTTGTACAATTTTTTGGATTTTGGATGGAATTTTCCACATTGATGATGTAGGTAGAGGGATTCTGGCAGAACTCTATACAACTTCCTGTATCTTTAAACTTTTCTCCTCAAGTTTTTCTCACAAAATATCCCTTAACTGCAAAACTATGATCCGTATTTCACACCAAACCAAGTAATGATTAGAAAAACCTGTCATATACACGTTATGTCATAAATATTGAATGGTTTGTAACATCCTTAATGTTTCTTAATGGAATATGATTGAGTGTCAGCTTGGTTGGAGCAGGGATCTTGGTGATTATGCTTATGTTGTTTATGTTTTGACACTGGCTCAGGTTTGCAGGGCCAATGGACAGGTCCCAGGCTGAAGAGGAGCTGCAGGAGAGAGACCACGGAACCTACCTGATCCGAAACAGGAGCAAAGAGTGCACTGAATATGCCATCAGCATCAAGTGAGTCAAGAGCTCTTCTGTTTCTCTTCTCAAATCTAAAATCAGCAGAAGAAAAAAAATCTAATCTTTTTACATGATGGTTGTTTTATCATTGTATTTTATTGAAAACTTGAATACAAACTAACTTATGAACTTCTGTGAGCTTTAAGCCATGTCTTTTACCTTTTGTTCAGAAGAGTTTGGCAATTCTAGGGCTGAAATTATAAAAGTTTTCCTAGTGTAGGTGTATGGATTTTAACACACACACTGAGAACATACAGTAAGTGCGAGTTTTACAGGATTACAGGTTTTGTCTCACTTATACTAAACTGCACAGTGGGCTTTTCCTCTGACCACTCCCCTCTAAGAAGCACTCCAGTCTGTTGGTCCCTGACAGTGCCCCTTTCCCTCTAGACCCCGGGACCCGCTGAAGCCTCCGTACCCCCACAGCCCCGGTGTCTGAGCCCATCTGTGGAGTTGTGCCTTCTGTCCACTCCAGGCCTCAACCAGTGACCCCCAACATGTGCAAAAACCCTACTGTACTTTATCACAAGCCTTTTTGCACAGCTACTGCGCTTTCACTCTACAAATGGTGATTGTAAAATATATTTATCATGGTCTCTGTTAATTAAAGCAGACCTATTATGCAGAATCAACATTTTAGAACTTTTAACCATGCTACAATTAATTGTTTCCACCGATCAACCCATTTTCTTAACACTGGTATATTAGTCTGACCTCGCAGTGTTAGAATTCGTTTGCTCAACGGTAGGCGGGTACTTTTTATCATTTAACCAATCGCTGCTATTTGGTAGTCACGTGTAATGCGTATAACTAGTAACTAGTAACTGGTAACTGGTATATTAAGCTTTTCCCAAATCTCGTAGGAAGAAGGATAGTAATGTCTTTCCCCTTGATGAAATTCACCAAACCTTTAAATCCTCGATCTCAACACTGAATATATGGCTCTTCTCTGATTGACTTGCACTTCCCGGGTTTTTGCGAGCCGTCTATTGTATTCCGATTCCTGACCTAGTTGCTGGAGAGAAATGAAATTGAGCAGAGGCACTAGGTGGCGCCAGCCTGACTACCGGTGTACACCTACAGTGCAGAACTCAGCTCTTTTATTACACTGTTTTAGATGAATATTGTGATTTAAAATGTCAAAAGCAAAAGCACAAAATGTCTTCTTTAAAGATTTTCTAAAATTATGTTTATTAGATTTGCAAGAATTTTAGTGTAGAAATCACAGTGAAATATCTAACCTACTGCTTCTAATAATAATACTACATCAAATTTATATAGCGTGTTTTTTGTACATTTAAAGACCCTTGAGGAAAACAAAATAATAATAATAATTAAATGAGTTATACAATGTAAGCAAACTCTCTCAGCTCCTATAAACACTTTATTATTTCAAAAGTTTTGATGTTTATGACTCCACGGGTGATCATTCTTTTGAGTAATGCATTACAGAAAACTTGAAGGACATATTTGAATCCCAATAAAAGTATATCCACTGACAAAAGTGCATCGGTGTTAAGCCCTAAGTTGCTAAATGTATGATCTCAGTACATGGCCCTTTTTAAGTAGCTGCTTTATCTGACCCTTGGACAAGTTTGCTATCACTTTACTGAATCACAGCACTGTCCATTTTGCATTTCCAAGTAGTCTTTTGAAAACTATGTTGCGTGTTCAAAACAAAACGGAGCCTTCATGACCAGGATGACACATGGGTTTACAAGGTCATTTAGTTTTAGTGCTTCATTTTTACCATTTTCCATTAGAGCATAGATTTCAGCATGTGGTGAAATAAATAATGCAATGAATAGAGACACTCACTACTAAACAACCAAATTCATATTCTCTTTGCCTCTAAACCGCTCTCATTTAGGTCAGAGATCCAAATTGATGCGAACAGGGGCTAAGAGACATTCAGGTGCATCTGATAACTCAGCATAAACACTAAAACTTTCCGTATATATTTCCAAATAAAAGCATAAACATACATATATCCACACTAGGCTGAATATGTTTTTTGAATGAGAAAGTGTTGGCTGTTTCCCTGAAAGTTTTGATTTAAATATTATTATGTAATTTTTCTTATTCTTTTTTTTATGAAGATGCTATTGCTTTGTGTGAAATGTTTCACAGTATGGTATTAAACCTTTTTATCATGGAGACCAAACTAGACGAAGTTACAGGTCAGATCTGTGGATAGGCAACCCCACTCCCAGTCAGAATGTCTGTTTTCTAAGTATTTTTGAGTTATAAAACCACCTGTAATTTAATAAATGTAAGGTAGAGCTGTTTAATGTCCTACTGAGGAACATTCCAGGCAGAGCAATGGCATCTCCATGGAAAAAAGTAGGCGACGAATCCGTGTATCATTCGTTGATTTGTTTTTCAATATAAAACCAAAAATAAGAAAAACTAATAAACAACTATTTTCTTCATTATTTGTCTCCAAAACCAAAATTTAAAAAATGGATAATGATTTGTATTTTCAGTTTTCGATTTTGTGTTTAAATGAATAATGGAAAAAAAAAAAACAGATAACAGCCGTTTCCTGTTTCCATGACTTAAATTGTGATGCTTTTGCACTTTTGCGCTGCATACGGACTGAACCAGGACTGAACCAGGACTAAAACAGGTCCGGGATCAGACCGAAACCAGACAGGGACCAGACTGGGACTGAGACCAGGACTTAGACCAAGACAAGACCAGGACTGAGACCGGGAACAGGACCAGGACTGAGACCCGTACTGAGACCGGGACCAGACAGGGACTGTGACCAGAACTGAGGCTGGGACCAGACTGGGACCAGACTGGGACCAAATGAGGACTGAGACCAGGATTGAGACCAGGACCAGACCAGGACTGAAAATGGTTTAGTCCTGTTTTAATCCTGGTTCAGTCTGTATGCGGCGCAAAAGTCTGGCATTGTAGTTTAAGTCATGGAAACGGGAAATGGCTGTTATCTGTTTTTTCCATTATTCATTTAAACATAAAATAAATTTTAAAAAAAACGAATAGTTAGTTTTTTCATTTTGGTTTTGGAGACAAATAATGAAGAAAATAGTTGTCTTTTTGTTTTCTTATTTTGGTTTTATATTGAAAAACAAATCAACAAATGATACACGGATACACTTTCTCGTTATACAGTTTTAGTATCAGATAGCCCAGCTTTAAAGTTATACTATGTTATTTTTCAGGTAGAGGGTTTTCCACGTAGTTGCTTTTATGGTGTTATTGCTGTGTTTAAAATGCTGCACAGTATGGCTTTAAACTTATATTTTACAGTACAGGTACCGGTTGTTGCTTACCTATCAGCTGTATTTCCATGTGTGGCCTTGGGATCCTATAGCCGCATTAAAACAGTGTTCACCCAAAACAAGGCCCAGGTCTCCATATGTATAGCGCCATATAACTCGACCTCATCAATAATGCATCCCTCACCATATATTCATACATGTATCAGTGGATCTGCAACATGACCATACCCGCCTCATCCGTTACACCCCACACCAGGAGGTTTACAATGTGCATCTTTACAGTGAAAGTTGCCAGTGTTTGAGTATAGAAAGCACGCAATCTCACTTCCTCCATATGCAGAGCTGTTTGTGTATTCAGAAGACCAGGTCGTATTATCACGCTGTGTACGGATCACATGACAGGATGTAGATTGGGCAAGATCAGACATGCATCATCTGCTGTCGCTCACAAATGAAGATGAATCTGAAGAAGTAGCAGTGGAGAACACTGTATTAAAAGATGGACTTGACAATTTTGTGACAGTATAGTGCTATGAGTATATTTTTCAGAGTTTTGAGCTTGTATTGAGGGCATTTGCTTCTGTGGTCTCTGGTTGTACAATAGTGACAAACTTAAGGGGGTACTATGATCAGTTGGCTTTTTGAAGCTTTCTACCATGTTATAATGTTCCCTTGTCAAAAATATGGCTGAAGAGATTTTAAATGTCATCCATACAATAATTTAACGATCTCTCTCAGACCCTTTTGAACCGTCTTTGCAGTTATCTGTAAGATTCTGTCCAATGCTCAGCCCACAAGCAACGTCACAACAATTCTCCATAAATATACAAAAGCATGAAACTGTACAAAACAACCTGACAAACCTGATGTGATGATGCACACTGATTGTGTTGTGATGAGCATTCTCAAGTGCTAACATGACAGCCTTAGTTTGGCTACGTTCAGACTGCAGGGCTTAATGCTCAATTCGGATTTTTTTGTGAAATACGATTTTTTTGCAAGGTGGTTCACATTTCCAATTAAACGCGACTTGTATGTGATCTCCAGTGTGAACTTTAAATGCTCCAAAATTGTCCCGCATGTACATTGGAGGACACAACGATGTCACACGCAGCAAGCGTGCTCAGTGTTTACAGAAGTCGCCTAAACGCTGGGTTTGTCTCCCAGAATACAATCCAGTTCTTCATAAAATAGACAAGTAACACATCCACAGCCGCTTCGTTTGTTTGTGTCTTTAGCCTCCTTGTATTTGGCTCGCAGGCTCTATATTTTTCATTGACACTGGAGCCAGGACCGCCTGTAGCCACGCTCGGCCATTTCTTTGGCAATCATTTCAAAAACCCTCCAATTTGGCCTGAATACAGCGATCCCTCCTAATATTAAAGAACCTGCTAACCTTGCTATCCCTCCATTGACTAGACTCTGAGCCTGACGTATAGGTAGGATGAATGCGACCTGACCGTTCAGACTGAAGTTGCATGTCAAAAGATCGGATATGTGTCGGTTTTATGAGCACATATCCAAGTAACCTGGGTCGCATTCGAAAAATCAGATCTGTGTCATTCAGACTGTCATTAAAAGATACAGGTCGCATAGGGATGAAAAAATCGGATTTGAACACAATTTTGAAACTCAAACGCGCATTTCTCTTGTTAACTATCTCTATTTTTTTAATTTGTCCTGTACAGGTTCACTGATAAAGTCAAGCACATCAAGATCCTGACCAAAGATAGCTGCTTTTACGTCGCAGAGGCCCGGCTCTTCAGGACTGTACTGGTACATCAAGACCATAACATATATATAACTATAGTGATTTGTGTACCTTATTATGTAGAGGAAATGTTTACCTACATAATGTCAATGTTTGCAACTATTTCAATTGCAGTTCTGATTACAGGTGTGCAATGTAACTTTTCTGTTCTATGATATTGCTCGGAAGGTTCTTCAATATGCCATTAAAGCTCACCTATCTTGCAATTGTGAGAAACATTCTGGTAAAAGCAATAATATCTCCTTTAGGGTTGTGAAAAGTTTCACAAATCAGATACTAATCAACACTAAAATTTAGATTCTGTGTCATTCTGAGCTTTATCAGAACAAGTATAAGATCTCATAGTAACAAAGAAAGTACCATTATTTTGTGTATATGAAAATATATTCTACTAAAAATGTAGCCTGTTTCATGTTCATTCTAGTTGTAGATTTTTGTACTGTGACAACACTAATCTCCTTGGATCTCCACAAAAGAAAAGTTACACAGTGCACCTTTTATTCTAAATGTTAGATCTTGCTCTTTCAACGCTGCATCACTTGACCTGAGCATTCAGAGTACCCTTTCCTACTTGTCCTTGTATATACACCTGCTCTTTGTAAACACAGCCATTCTAATGCAAAGCCTATGTGTGTTTGTTCCATTGTGGCTGCTTTTACACAGGAGCTGGTGGAGTATTACAGACAGCACTCTCTGAAGGAGGGCTTCAGCAGTCTGGACACCACTCTGCTCGTCGCCTATAGGGAGCTGTCCAATGGAAACATGCCCAGGGCCATTACCAAGGCTGCCACCGGTGAGTGCATGCCACACATTCACTGCACAGTTACACAAGATTAAGACGTTAACTTGTGCGGCTAAAGGAGAATAAAAAGCAGGCGTTTATAAATGCTGTTTAAAGAAGAAGAGTTTTAGATATCATCCATGCATGTTTGAGTAATCTAGCGATCTCTCCTGGATACTCTTTAAACCCTCCTTTCAGTTAGCTGCGAAGTGAGAATTTTTCACTGTTTTTTTTTTTTAGCAATAAAAACACCTGCAAGGGAATAAATGCATGCAATATAGATATGTTTAAAGGACACCTATTATGCAAAATAGATTTTACAGAGATTTTAATCATGTTATACCTGTTCCCCCTTCTCATTTACCCTCTGGAAGTTGTATTTGGAGTGATTCGTGCATGTTTATTTAATCTTTAATCACTTATTTTCAAGACAACATATTGCCGATCATGCCCTGTATTCACCACCACCACCGCATACGCCCACTGTGATGTAATAACTTCGTTCTGCAGTTTTATTTTCTCCATCAGTGATACGCATAGTATTCAGAAGCGTGGTCATTTTGGTACAAATAAAAAAAAAAAATCTGCTGCTCGCTAGCGTGACGTGCAAATATCCATTGAGTTTCCAGTGTTATGGATCTGTTGGTGGTGATATGTCGACATGGGGCAATGTGGGCGTGCCTTGCAATGACCCAGCTTTAATAAACCTAATATTTCATTTTAAACACGGTATCCATGTTTCTATTGAGTGTGTTTCACATTATTAAATCATCCCGAGGTACATATGAGGCAACATGGGCGTGACAGCGCGTTTGCATTGACTCATATATGGAGACCTGAAATAGCTCTCACCGCTTTCCTTTAGGGCGAACGAATACAGAAATCCACACTTCGACTTCAGACAGGGAGGAAAGGAAACCAGAGAAGAATGTATATACATGATTTAGACAGAGGCCCTAAGACAGGTGTCTGTGCAGATGCCTCTGTGTCTGTCTGCAAAGGGCGGCTTTCTGTGGCGTGCGCGATTTGAGCCATTTACACACCGACCCTAACAAATCCGTAACACTGGCTCTGTTGGTGATGATGTTTACGGGGACATTAGCCCCCATTGGGCACCGCATCTTTCTAAAGCGGTAGTGTGCAGACTATTTCTTTAATTAATTTGTTATAGATAACTATTGCGATTTCAAATGTGTAAAAAATAACATAATGATCTATGGGTGTTGTACATTTTAACTATTTAACAGGCTCAAACACAGTATGTGATCTTTAATGCCAGTAGAACATTCCAGCTAGAGCAATAACATTTCTGTGGAGACAATGTGGCGTGCACTACGTCTGAAAAAATGTACTCAGCGCACCTTTAAACAACTCTCTCATGGAGTTGTGGCTTTTAGCAGGCTCATGGTTAATTAAACACTGAAGTAGTTTTATTCAATATGGAAGTAAAACTAAACTTGAGTGTGGCTTCCTGTTGTTCACACTTGACACAGTCCTTCTGACACCACAATGAAAGTAGCTTAATTAACCACATATAGAGAAAACTGATTAGTATACGTCATTGAGGTCTAGTGGAAGCATTTTATTTAATTACTATTGAATTAAAACCATTATTAGTTTAGTTTATTTAGTTTGTTTTACAGGGACCATGTACAGGAGCATTAGTCAAACAAACATTGAAGAGATGCTTTGTACCAGACTCATTTCCATCTGTAGTCCCTGAGACCGACATATTATTTTAAATTTACATTAGTTTCTGTTATTTGCACACATTATACATGAACATTGAAATCCTTAGGTAACCACTGCAATGGGTTAATAGTAGGAATACAATTATTGACCCAGTGGATGGAGAAAAAATCACTTTACTCAGACTGTATTGTGTTGCTGAAGTACTGGTGTGAATAGCTGATTATGCTAATGAAAAGCAGCTATAGGCCCATTGTTTGAACCGACAAGTGTGTGTATATATTCCCAGGTGTGTCCTCAGTGCTAAAGCTCAACAAGCTAAAGCCAATCTGTGCAGTCTGTGGCTGTGGAGATGAGGCAGAGGCCAGTGCACTCCGAGAAAGAGAAAGAGAGCTCGTTTGAATACGAGAATTACACAAGGAGCCAATGCAGTTAATATTGTTGTTTATTAAAGATTGAAATATGCTGTACGTATACAAATAAATCAGAACTCAGTTAGGTAATGGAGGGTCTGTTCTTATGTTATTGTGTTGTTTTGTTGTGTTCCAGAGTATGGCATTAAACATATCTTGCATTTAATAAATTGTTGGTGTTTTAAAATCATGCTAAAAATAAAACATGTATGTGAGCGTAGGTGCATCTTCAAAGATCTGACCTCTTTCTTGGCCTGGTGGCATCAGGGGGCCCATTATCGCAGGGATACAAGTTTAATGTCATGCTGTGGAACATTCCAGACACCGCAATACCATCTCGGTGGAGTCAAGTAGACCCTCCACCTGAAAAGTCCATAGTGCACATTTGATTTAATTTTTTAACTTGGACTAATGCATTTCTTAATTAATGATTATGTCTGTTTTATTTGTCAAATAAGAAAGTTTTATTAGACAAGCTTTCCTCCTTGTATACATTACAGTTATGGAGTAACCTTCACGTACTGTATGTAACTTCTGCTGCCTAAGTTCAACCAGGAAGTAAAATTAAAAATGTCATCAAAATTGTTTAGAAAGTAGAAACTATGTAAGATTTCTTGCAAAGTATATGTCAGATTTATTAATGTACTGTATGTCAGTATGTCTAGACCTGTAACGATAACAGAGTTTGCTGGACGATTAATTGACCAAGAAATTATTTCAATAAATGATAATATTGACATTTTGAGACCATTTTCAACTAATATAATGACAATAGAATAAAAGAAAAAGCTAACACGCCCTTTCAACATTTTTAAAGATCACTAAGTTTTTACTCTTTACTCTACTTGTAAAGAACACAGGAACTGCAACATTTTATTTAGGCCTATTGTTTTTTTAGGCCAAAAACAATAGGCCTAAGTAAAATAGACTTAGCCTAATGTAGTCTTGCTGAGAGCAAAGACTTGTTAACAAAAATGCACTTGAATAAACGATTGTTGAACCAACCACAACCAAAACAATAAATAAAATGGATTATTAAATCTCTAACAAAATTGCCATTTTGGTCTCGAAGTGTTCTCATAGTCCACTTTTTTAGTTCACTGGCTCCAAGCTTAGTTCACTTTTTTTATACAGGGATTATCACTATGTGCTGTGCATGTCTCCTGCAGAAAGAGCTGCTGTCCTGTCTGGTATCATGTCAGTGTCTTGTGGGATTTCAGCGGATTTCAGCAGCGGACTGATATTTAAGAAAATAGTCCCTCAACATGCGATGATTCATGCAATGTAAAGTTAGTTTTATTGTAAACATTACTTTATCGACAAAGACATTTACATCGACAGTTTGGCTCTACTTTCTGCACTCGGGCTGCGTGCACGTCGGAGAGGGATAGAAGCCTTTAGACATTCAGTCTCTTTGGTAGAGAGAGAGAGAGAGAGAGATGAGGAAAACAAACAAACATGCAAATAGAATTGATCGTGGCCAGACAAGTTATCGAGCTCGCTAAAAGTTATAGTACGATTGAATCACTTATTGATTACCGTTACAGGCCTAAGTATGTCAAAATGTTTTAGTGCAGTGTTTCCTAGTGCAGTGTTTTTTTTTTTTTTTCTGGTGACCTATATTTTAAAAGTCACAAACCTTTGCAACACATGTCAATAGAGATTATTTGTAAATCAAAAAATAAAGGTGGATTTAACCGTTATTGAACATTAGGGAGGATATTTTATTGTTGAGTGTGTGATCGTGTCTCTCTGAACAATCAGCATTAGTCAAGTTTAAACAAATGTATATATATAATATATCTTGCGACCCACCTGAGGCTTCATTGGAACACTTTGTAATGAATTAAAATCACTGAATTTGGGGAAACTTATCAAAAATGGCACATATTAGCCCAAAAATATCAGCAAACCGTGGCGGCATCAACCACCATGAAAAAAACATATGATATGGTTCGATCTCTCATCGCACATGCACTTTAAACCTCTCCAGTCCACCGGGGGAGCCACACACAGGTGGAGGAGGTTGATGGTTGAGTGAAGGGAGAAGCCTGTTTAGCATTGGCAGAGTCTCGTCAGCTGCCTGTGCCCCGGGCGAACACCAGGAGCCCGCCTCTCCAAAACGCCACCGCACCGCACGCCGTCCCGCTCCGAGATGGCTTCACAATCTTCCTGACAGGACATGACATTTCACTCGGCTCAGAGCACAGAAAGCACCGTGACAGCCCCCCCAAGAGGCCCACGAGAGGTGTACCCCGGGTCGGACCACGGAGGGCGTCTGTCACCTCAAAAAACAAAAGTTCAAAATCTGATAAAACAAAAGGAAGAACCCAGCTGGAGGAAAGGTGTTGAGAAGTATGTACACAAGCCAAGGAGAGCAATGCACGACAAAGCAAAAAGCAATTGGGCTTTCTAATATAATAGAAGAGATAAGAGAACCTTAAAGAGTGGGTATTTTACTTCTCTTGGGTATTGCTAACACAACTTATTTAGATCGCCATGTCTCTTATTGTTTTGAAAATGCTGTATTCGTCAATAACAATGTATCAACATGTTGAATAGTTTCACTTTAACTTTTGGTGTTTTAAGGCCCCACTCTCTTTCCTCTCTGCCTCTTTTTAAAATTTATTTCTGTTTATTAAGGACGTCACAATCACATTAGACAAGCCAGATGCATTGCTTTGAGTGTTTTAGTACAAGTCCTAGTTTTCAACACCTGTCTGTAGAAAAAATATGCATAAAAACAGACATGACACATTACTTACATACAGATAAAACATATATACAGCATTATTACATTTTCAGTGAGTGCATTTTTGCTTGGAAACATATAATAATTTTGATTTACTTTTAAATTTGTTGCGATTGATTTCCAGTTTTACATCAGCTGGTAAAGAGTTCCACAGTCCA